TTCTTGGTTTCTGCGTTTTTTGGTTTCTGGATTTGGAGATGTTTCTGGATCTAAGTGTTTAGGGCTTCTAGGTTTCTGTTTCTGGGCGTTTCTGTGTCTAGGTGTGTCGGGTTGCTGTTTTTCGATGTTCTTCCCGAAACGCAGTTTTTGGGTTATGTGTTCAGGTTTACTGGGTTTCTGCGTTTTAGGGCGCTTCTGGGATTAAGCGTTTAACGTTTCTGGGTTTCGGCCGTATGCTGTCCAGGGGAACAAACCAGGGCACACGGGTACCACGAGCCCTCGCTTACCCATCCATAAGAAAACTGGCCACAGCAGCACAGCGCCGGCTTCCTGTTGTAGCCGTCTCGAGGTTCCTATCTTACTCAGACGTCTATGTTGGCTTGGGATCTATAGGGTCTGAAGGGTTTGGCGGGTTTGGGGTTCCTGGGTTCAAGACCTTTTCAGATTGTTGGGTTTGGTGATGTTTCTGGGCTTAGGTGTGTAAGGTTCCTGGTCTTTGCGTTTCTGGATGCTTTTGTGTTTACGCTGTTTAAGTTTCTTGGTTTCTGCGTTTTTTGGTTTCTGGATTTGGAGATGTTTCTGGATCTAAGTGTTTAGGGCTTCTAGGTTTCTGTTTCTGGGCGTTTCTGTGTCTAGGTGTGTCGGGTTGCTGTTTTTCGATGTTCTTCCCGAAACGCAGTTTTTGGGTTATGTGTTCAGGTTTACTGGGTTTCTGCGTTTTAGGGCGCTTCTGGGATTAAGCGTTTAACGTTTCTGGGTTTCGGCCGTATGCTGTCCAGGGGAACAAACCAGGGCACACGGGTACCACGAGCCCTCGCTTACCCATCCATAAGAAAACTGGCCACAGCAGCACAGCGCCGGCTTCCTGTTGTAGCCGTCTCGAGGTTCCTATCTTACTCAGACGTCTATATTGGTTTGGGATCTATAGGGTCTGAAGGGTTTGGGAAGGTTCGGCATGCCGGGGTTCTCGAGTTTAGGGTTTGTGGGTTTGTGCGTTTCTGGACGTTTTTGGGGGGTTCCTAGTCTTTGGACGGTTTTGGGTTTAGGTGCTTGGGTTTCTTGGTTTCTGCGTTGCTGGGTTTGGAGGTGCTTCTGGATTTAAGTGTTCAGGGTTTCTGGGTTCCTGCTTTTCTGGGCGTTTCTGGATTTAGGTGTTTAAGGTTTCTGGGTCACGGGGTTCCTCCCGAAACGCAGTTTCTGGGTTTATGTGCTTAGGTGTTTAAGGTTTCTGCGGTTTGGGCGTTTTTTGAGTTTCTAGGTTTAGGTTTATAGGGGGCTTCAGGTTTTGGGGTTTCTGCGTTTCTCGGTTTGGTGCTGCTTCTGGGCTAGGGCTTTTGCGTTTTTGCACGATTTTGGGTTTAAGTGTTTTTAGCGTTTCTGTGCGTTTCTTTGGGTTTCGGTGTTTAGGATTTCTGGGTTTCGGGGATTTTGCGTTTCGGGTTTAAATGTGTTTGGGTTTCGGTGCTCACACTCACTCGGGCAATCCAACGTTTAGATTTCGGCGGTCACACTCGGACAATCCAGGCGCGGCATATGGTTCGGAGTCTAATTAGTGTTTCTGAGTTTCTGCGTTTTGGGATGTTTCTGGGTTGTTATTTAATAGCTTCTCGGTTTCTGCGTTTCTGAATGCAGTTTTGGTCAAGCGATTTTCACGAGCACGCACCCCGGGACACAAATCTCACATCCATTTCGGTGCGACCTGGACCTGTAATTCAATCTCGCGACCCGCCAAACCGAGAATAGTGCGCAGCGGCGGCCAAAAGCTTAACGCCAAGTTTGGTCCAGAGACTGGAACGAGCAGGCACCGCGGGACACAAATCTCAGATCCATTTCGGTGCTCGTCGACCTGTAATTCAATCTCGTGACCCGCCAAACCGAGAATAGTGCGAAGCGGCGGCCAAAAGTTTAAAACCAGTTTTTGTCCAGCGATTTTCAGTTGGGTCTGGAATCCACGGGGCTGGGAGGGTCTAATATCCTGAACCCCGGATTTCAGACCCTGCACTCTCCGGCCCCCGGGGCCAGGATTCCAGACCCTCCAGTACCTGACCCTATGCTCCCGGATGAGCCGTGTGAGCCTGCCGCGCCGAGGGCGATAGGTCGGAGGCAGCGACCTTCTCCGCCGCACACGGCGTCGCGGTGCGGCACCGTGCACGGGTGCGCGCACCAGCCAACAATCCGCCGCTCCTCCTTGCTGTGCCGCACCGTGATTCTGGCGCCGACCACGCCGGTGGGCAGGCGTCGGAGGAAGGGGTAATCCGCCTCTGGCGGGTCTTCGCCACGCCGTGGCGTCAGGGGCCTGGGCAGGGCGCCGCTGGCCTCCATCGCCCTGAGCTCGCCGAGGCCAGTGTAGGCGAAGCGCCGAAGGTGTGGTGGCACCGCCGTGTCCTCGGCTGACGCGCCGGCCCTCTCCATCTGGCGTTTGTACTCGAAGTACGCCGGCGAGATGTGGCCCACCTCCTCCGCCGTCCACGGGGTGCTGCCCCACCGCCGCGGATCGTATGCCTCATACTGGCGTCGCTCATGGGCCGATGCCTCCCTGCGCCGCCTCTCTGCCCGCATGGCCTGCGTCGGTACTGAGGACCGTCGTCGGCTGGCGTCGGCAGGCGGCTGGCGGATGTATGGGAACTCCTCATTGCTCGCCGCCGCCGCGATCCTGGCCATGGCCTGGGCGTCGAGAGGGTTCTCCCAGGGGACGTCGCCCCAGTCGGCCTGGGCGGGGGCCGCACCCGTAGCGGGGGCCACGCCCGCCGACGCCGAGGCCTCATTGATCCATGAGCTCGCCGAGGACGATGCCGCCTCTGGGCCCTGCCTGGTCGTCGTCGAGGTCTGCGGGAGGGGCCTGTCCGCCGCAGAGGCTGCGGCTGTTGAGTGGCTCCGAGGTGCTCATGGGCGGGTCGTCGAAGGGGTTGGGCGTCGGCGGGTAGACCACCGGCTCCGTCGTCTCCATGTTCTCCGCCGCCACGGTGACCGTCGCAGCGATCCCCAGACCCGGGTGTATGGGCGCCGCCTCGGCGCCGCCGCCCCTGTTGGGATCAATGACCAACGCTGTGGGAGGCACCAACGGCGTCGGAGGGGCTTTGTGGCGGGCGCTGCCAGTGGGAGACGCCGCTCCTGAGGCCGCCGCCGAAGCCTCTTCCATGGCGTCGAGGCCAGTAAAGAAGGGACGTCGCCCGGCTGACGTCGAAGATGAGTCAGGGCGAGACTGCGTCGCCTGAACATTCAACGCCGCGACAATCTCCCTGGCGTTGGGCGGGCCTCGCCGCCCCGACTGTGCGGGTGTCGTCGTCCCAGAGGAGGGCATCGAAGTGAGCGCCGCCACCTGCCATGTGTCGGCCCGGGACGCCAACAAGGACGTCGCCTTGGCCTTGGTGGCGGCGTCGATGAAATAATCAGCCGGCGCTGGTGTCGTCGTCCCTGATGCCGGCACAGAAGGTGGCGCCGATGGCAATGGGGCCAGCTCCCCAGGAGGCGTCGCCTTCACAATGGCCGGCGTCGATCTGCCTGAGGGCGTCGGTGCTGTAGCCATCGGGGTGGGCGCCGCCGCCGTGGAAGGACCAACGGGCGGGGACCCAACCTCCCAGTGCCGCCGGTGCCACCCGCTGTCATCGTCGCGACCTCCGCCGCATCCTCCGTCGTCGTGCCTTGGACCATGCCCACCATCAGCTGACTCGCCGCGTGCCCGGCGTCGATGAGGTCCGTCATCTGGTCCGTCGTCAGGAGGCCGATGACCGGGACCCAGCCGGTACGCCGAGCCGCCGCCAGGGCGTCGGCCAGCATCTGAGCAGCAGTCGTCGGAGGAAGAGCCATGACCGCCGAAGGCACAGGAGGAGCTAGCAGAAAAGCTTTAGGCGAAAGGTCGCGTCGAGCCAGAGTGCTGAAGGCAGCTACGCCGTTCACGGTTGTTACTGCGCACACAAGTGTGCTACACCACACGCACACCGCCAACGGGCAATGCATGATATCCCAAGCCCTTCCTCGACCTGCTGTTCTCCTGGGTGTTCGTCAAGTCCTCAACCTCCGCTTTAAGTGGGCTCCCCGCGTCCGCGTCGTGTGCCACTTGCAAGCCCTATAGGCCCGCGCGGCCCCTGTCTGCATCTGAGTGGCACAGTACCTGTGCTGCATGGACTCGTAGTCTTTTCGCCGGAGGCACAGCTCCTGGATGGGAGAAGAGCCCCTCTCTTTCTCGCCGTTTACAACTCACAACGTCCCTTCTGTCGCCTTGGTGAGACTCTTCCGGTCGGTTACACGCACCTGAGCGGCGAAGCCGGCTCCCAGCGCTGCGGGCTCTTTGTTGCCGAGGCGCATCGATCGGCTGCGAGCTCGTCCCACCCATGGCCTCAGCTGCCGCTTCGAGCACGCTTCGTCTGAGCGGGGGGAGGGAAGCCTCCACAGGCCGACAGTGGCTGGGGGGCGCCGGTGCACCGAAAGGCGTGTACAGGATACGTCGAGCTCCGATGGGGGGCTTAGCCGCGTCTTAGCCAGCTGGATCCCAGTGTAAAGTGTGTGTTTTGGGGCTGTGCAGGGACGGCTGTGAGTCTGCGAGCCGTTTACCGATCATGGCCAACTGCCGCACCTCTGCACGAACTCCGCAGTGTCGGACTTGAATAGATACTTGCGCAAGCCAATAACATGTACAATGGTTCTACTAATTGCCAAAACTACCTCGTGTCAAGCTATGTTCGTGTCAGTGTGTGCTCTGAGAAAGGCCGCTGCATCACATCAGGATCAACGAGTACGAAGCACCTAATTCTACTTCTGACGATGGGCTTCAAAAAGGTCAAGCCTTGTCGACGTTACCTTTCTCCTCTTTGGAATCGGACTCCGATCTTTGAGAAACGAAAGCGTCCCCTTCGAGGACACTTCTGTCCCTTTCAGTGTCCGAAGCATGTTTCTTTCGTCCAGCCGGAGGCCACGACATCCCACTACTCCAGGCTGGGAGGTTGGGGCAAGTGCGGTGGGGTCTGTCAGGTCTTGCTTTGAGGGTCCTCACACGCCTGATGTCACTTCGGGCTCAGCAGCTGCACTGCTTGGTCGGTATTCCGTCGCACCTCGATGCACAGATTCAAGACGCGAAGCTAAAGACCTGAAATTAGACGAACCTCATCAGCAGCTCTGGAAATCTTGCTGACCTCGCCACAGGCACACAGTCACTCCAAATCAAGAGACTTAGTGCACAAGCTGAATCCTCCGCTGCAAGACTGCTGCCAGATCGTTCCACTTACGCGACCGCCTTTCTTTGGAGGAGGCCGTGGCTTTGCTTCAAGGCCTGCGAAAGTTTCGATTGGATCTGTTGTGTCTCTGCGTTCCCTGGCGTCGCAAGGCGCGAGGCGAGCGAGCACCGTGAGGCCATGGCCGAGAAGCTGCGCCGCAGCTCCATCAAGCGCTTTGCTTTCGCTTCGGACGCGCCGGACACGCCCTGCGTTGGCGGAGGCGCGGCAAAGGAGGTTTTGGTAAGGCGAAGTCGAACAGTCGAAGTGGCCTCGGCCTCTGGAAAGAAACCGGTGCCTCAAAGAGGCTCAGCTGAGGCTCGGCTCACAGTCAAAACTTGGCGCCTCACAGACACATCTGCTGGGCTGCATGCGCATTCGGTCCTTGGCAGCCGTGGCGGGCTCCTGCTGGACGACGGCATTTGTGCACTGCAGCAGAACCTGACATCTGCTACTCCTGTTCCAAAATCTGAATCACGCCCAAAGCGTGTTGTGGGAACATCGAGAGTGATGGCACCTCACTGCACCGGGTAAGCACTCAGAGAATCTCAGACATAATGCACCTATCCAATATTCTTGAAACTGTGACTGGTGGCTTACTAACCGTTACGGCAAAACAGAAGCATAACAGATGCTGCTGCAAAATGAAGTTGCCAAATCCTGGTATTGACCCAGCCAACGCCAAGACTCTTGGCCAAGACTCACTCATTTCAAGTAACTTCATCAACATCTCAAAGAACATCCACAGAACCTTCTCACTAAAGAAAGACAGCCGCACGCACGCTACCATACCTCGTACATGTACATCCTGGTCCTAGTCCCATCATACAAAACCCTAAGTCATGAATCAAACTATCATTGGTGACATGCTCACAGCCGTCCTCATGCCGCGACAGCTCCGGCGGCCCTTCGGCACTTGCTTTGCACACGCGGGATGCCGTGCCTCGCCAAACCGCACTGCCCAGATCCCTCAAATCACACAATCTGACAATCCTCCCACATGCTCTTGGTCCCTCGCGGCAAAGGATTCGCTGAGTGAGGATTCGACACGCGCTGGCATCCTGGCTTCATTTCAGCTTAGCCTGCCCCTCGCCAAATCACTGCCGTTTCCACCGTCTCCACCCGTCCTCGTACACAACCTCAGGACCCGCATCCTGTTGCAACATGAACCATGGCTGCCATTGCTCAAGCATGCCACATGCCACGGATTGCCGCAGCATGCCAGCCTCACGCCGCGCCAGCTGCGGCGGCGCTTCGGCACTTACCTTGTACACGCGGGATGCCGTGCCTCGCCAAACCGCACTGCAAAGATCCCTCAAATCACACAATCTGACAATCCTCCCACATGCTCTTGGTCCCTCGCGGCAAAGGATTCGCTGAGTGAGGATTCGACACGCGCTGGCATCCTGGCTTCATTTCAGCTTAGCCTGCCCCTCGCCAAATCACTGCCGTTTCCACCGTCTCCACCCGTCCTCGTACACAACCTTGGACGAGTGGTCGGATGTGCCAGAACCCGCATCCTGTTGCAACATGAACCATGGCTGCCATTGCTCAAGCATGCCACATGCCACGGATTGCCGCAGCATGCCAGCCTCACGCCGCGCCAGCTCCGGCGGCGCTTCGGCACTTACCTTGTACACGCGGGATGCCGTGCCTCGCCAAACCGCACTGCAAAGATCCCTCAAATCACACAATCTGACAATCCTCCCACATGCTCTTGGTCCCTCGCGGCAAAGGATTCGCTGAGTGAGGATTCGACACGCGCTGGCATCCTGGCTTCATTTCAGCTTAGCCTGCCCCTCGCCAAATCACTGCCGTTTCCACCGTCTCCACCCGTCCTCGTACACAACCTTGGACGAGTGGTCGGATGTGCCAGGACCCGCATCCTGTTGCAACATGAACCATGGCTGCCATTGCTCAAGCATGCCACATGCCACGGATTGCCGCAGCATGCCAGCCTGACGCCGCGCCAGCTCCGGCGGCGCTTCGGCACTGACTTTGTACACGCGGGATGCCGTGCCTCGCCAAACCGCACTGCAAAGATCCCTCAAATCACACAATCTGACAATCCTCCCACATGCTCTTGGTCCCTCGCGGCAAAGGATTCGCTGAGTGAGGATTCGACACGCGCTGGCATCCTGGCTTCATTTCAGCTTAGCCTGCCCCTCGCCAAATCACTGCCGTTTCCACCGTCTCCACCCGTCCTCGTACACAACCTTGGACAAGTGGTCGGATGGGCCAGAACCCGCATCCTGTTGCAACATGAACCATGGTTTCCATTGCTCAAGCATGCCACATGCCACGGATTGCTGCAGCATGCCAGCCTCACGCCGCGCCAGCTCCGGCGGCGCTTCGCCACTTACCTTGTACACGCGGGATGCCGTGCCTCGCCAAACCGCACTGCGCAGATCCCTCAAATCACACAATCTGACAATCCTCCCACATGCTCTTGGTCCCTCGCGGCAAAGGATTCGCTGAGTGAGGATTCGACACGCGCTGGCATCCTGGCTTCATTTCAGCTTAGCCTGCCCCTCGCCAAATCACTGCCGTTTCCACTGTCTCCACCCGTCCTCGTACACAACCTTGGACGAGTGGTCGGATGTGCCAGGACCCGCATCCTGTTGCAACATGAACCATGGCTGCCATTGCTCAAGCATGCCACATGCCACGGATTGCCGCAGCATGCCAGCCTCCCGCCGCGCCAGCTCCGGCGGCGCTTCGGCACTTGCTTTGTACACACGGGATGCCGTGCCTCGCCAAACCGCACTGCCCAGATCCCTCAAATCACACAATCTGACAATCCTCCCACATGCTCTTGGTCCCTCGCGGCAAAGGATTCGCTGAGTGAGGATTCGACACGCGCTGGCATCCTGGCTTCATTTCAGCTTAGCCCGCCCTTCGCCCGAGGAAGGTACAGTTGGGCCTCTGATGGGCTCGCATCCTGTGGAAGGGCCAGGGAAGAAGAAGAAGATTGCAGCACGGCATTTTTGCGTTTCGATCACTTGCACAACTTTGACGCCAAACTGGCTGCAGTCCTTGAAGTGCGGCCTGGGTCTCGCAACCGGCGGCTTGGCGCCTGCTTTGCAACGTCGCGCGGAAGAATTCCGGACACTTGATGTCTTGAATTGGCGCTGCAACAATCGGTCTGCTTGCTCACACCGAGGTTCTGCTCCGAAATGCTGATATACAGGCAGCTTCGGAATCACACTGTGGCGGAAGGCAGATCGACGCATACGTATAGCACTGGGCCAGCAATTAATTTGGGATTTTGTTTGTAATTTGTTTTTCAGCTGTGTGCTTGGCCTAAAGCATAGGAAAGCAGCATGTTTTCCTGCGTTTTACAAGGGAAAACACTATTTTCCTTACATTTTGGACGGAATCCTGTGTTTTGCCTAGGAAAGACACTGATTTCCTACGGATTCTTTGATCTTTCCTTCGGTGTTGCTTGGTAGTTCCTCAGGAAAGCACGATATTCCTACGGATTCTGTCTCATGTTCTGAGGCTTTGCGACCTCAAGAAACACAGCAGGATCTGCTGAAACCGTTGACTGGGGGTTTAAGCTTTCATTTGGAAGATTTCGCCATTTATGTAACGTTAGATGCCGAGAGGCCGAAAAGCCAAGAAGCCAAGGAAGCCAAGAAGACAAAAACCCGTACGAGACAAGAAGGCAGTATGCTCGAGCCATGACAGCATAAGAAGTTGAAAAAATGAAAAAGGGTATTTGTTGATACCTTTTTTGTTCCTTTTGTTCTTTCTCCTGTCATGGGGTTGGGGGGGGAACAGCACACTTTGCTGCAGCCGAACGTAAAATAAAATGATATAGCACAATATAACGCCCTATACAAATGAGACACTACATTATAATATGATGCAACAGGATAAAACGGTAATGAAATACAACATAAAACATTGAAAGTTACTTAATCTAATGTAAAATAGCATAAATAACGTAACATAACATAACATAATAGGACACAGTACAACATAAAATGACACTACATGATGAAGCATAAATCATACTGATACCATGGAATAATGAAACACAAAATAATATAACATTCTATTATAATGTAATGGAATGTGAGATATCATAACATAGAACCGTACAATATACAATATATACACATTAACACAACATCCTGAAAAATAGAGTATAACAAGATACTATATGATGCAATATGATATGAGGCGATATAATAAGAGATAACTTTATCTGATATAACAACATAAAATATAACATCAAGTAGTATACTAATATACCATCTTATGACAAAATATTCTACGGTATACTAAAATATGATATACTTCGATACGACTCGATATACTAAAAATAATGTGATATAGTACAATGTAACGCCCTATGACATAAAAGAAAACAAAACAATGACGCACCCCCCTTTCCAAACATAATGCCTTTATGATGAGCTTTGAAGGCTCTAAAACAGCTTTGTATTTGATGCAAGTCTTGTTCATGATGCGATGTTCTTGAAAACAAGCCTGCGCGGCTTAAAATGAAAGCGGGGGGGGGGTTGGGGGGGTTGGGGGGGGGGAGCCCCCCCTCCATTTGCAAACACAACGTCTTTATGGCGGGTTCTGAGAGTGTCCATATGGGTTCTGTCTTTGCTGGCAAGCTGATACCTGAAGCGATATAAAACGGGGACGCACCTCCCCAATTGGAAACAGAATGCTTGTATGATGAGTTTTGGAAAGCTCTAAAACAATTTTGTGCTGGGTGCAAGTCTTGTTCATTGTGCGATGTTCTTGAAAGCAAGCCTGCACGGCTTAAAACGAAAGCGGTGGGGTTGGGGAGGGGGCGCAGACCAAAAAAAAAAAAATCCCAATAAATACGCCTCCGATAGCACTGGACTGCCAGCTGCTGCGCCGAGCCCGGGCACCCCCCTGCAATTATGGTACCGCGGACCCGCATATGCCAGACGGGGCCCTGATTCCTTCCAAAAGACCTGTCCGATGCAAGTTCAACAGGCGAGCTTTGAGCACGAAAAACCCTGCCATACTCCAGGTGGACTAATTAATTAATGCAACAGCTGTAACTACCGCGTCCAACATAGAAGCTTTCGCAGCTGCCAATGAAGTGAAGCTGCAGAATGTCCCACTGCGTCTCGACATGGCACAGACACAACTTGATCAACTCTGACTTAAGATGACTTAAGCCTACTTTCGTTGTAGCTTGCGCTTCCTACACACACACACGAAAGAAAGAAAGAATGAAAAGCCTGAGACTCAAGCCTTAGCGAACATCTCTCCCTCCCGCCTAGTGGAGGAACCGGCGAGAGGCCCAGCCCGATGCCGCTCGATTCCAAGCCCGTCTCCTTCCAGCACACGAACATCCTAACATCCACGAAATTTCTGGATGAACCCTCCGACTCTCCTCAGAAAGCAGGGCTGGCAGTGAGCCCTCCACTGCGGAGCCTTAGGCAAACAGAGCCCACAGAGCTGCGAGCACTCAACTCGACGTCTCGGGAGCGGCACGGCCAAGAGCCTCGCGCAACAGCCCTCGCAGCATCTCGGTACCCTTGGCTTCGGCGCGTTCGCTGGATCTAAACTGCCAGAACAACAAACCCCGCGTGCCTTCTCGGAATCGCTCCGGCCTTGCAAGACCTCCTCCAGAGTGCCCGCTTGAATGGAACCTGAGCTAATGATCACGCCAGGCTTTCAAGTTGCAAAGGATGCCACTAGATGCGGATTCGTGCCACTGCAACGTTTGCTTGAGCAGCTGCTTCACGACTTCACAGGTCACGAGATTGGTGCTTCTTGCGAAGGCAGGACGTGGTCGCAGCGTGATCGTGCTACATTGCCTAAAGTCGTGGCGAATCGCAGTGGCAACAGGCGACCCCTGAGTGCGATCCAAGCGGCCTGCTTGCTCATCCAGTTTCAACTTGTGGTGCTAATAGAGTGGTGAATAGTGGCGACACAGTTCCGAAATCTTCTCCAGACCCTGCTTCCCATATTCATGCTTCAATCAAAGTCTCGCAGCAGAACCGTCCGGGAGTTCAAGGCCGCGGCTCTGAAAGAGTGCGAGTGCTTGAAGTCGCAGATTTTCGAAGTCCTAGTTGCGGCGCAGGCATGCGAGAAGCAATTATCCTCCAGCATCCAGCATAACTTCCAAGTGCCTCCACGCCCGCCACCTCGTGCAGCCACTGCCTGGGAGTGCGTTTCAAGCGGAACCCGTAAATGCACAGCACCAAGGAGTTTGGCTGCGGGCAGGTGCGATTCGGAAGCCTCGAGAGCCTCCCGCAGAGCCCCACCGCACCGGGCTTCGACGCCATGGCAAGGCTGAGCGGCTGAGCGCCTCCTGGATCTCGCTCTTCAGTGGCTCCGGCAGCGCGAGGCCCTCTGCAGACGCCACACCTACAAGCTACAAGTCTGCAAGGCGAGGAGCTTTCAGGTGGCACCCTTTTCCCGGCTGGTGCCAGGTCTGCTAGGTCCCCGGACACCCATCAGTGCCGGCCTTCCACCGCACTCTCAACAGGACCACAGGTTTCAGCTGGCCAAGTCTGTGTTTTGGCCTCCTCGGAAGTCGGGCACAGAGGCGGTGGCAGCGGCGTTGCGGATCGGCTCCCTGCCGGCAGGCAACAGCCCTTCTAAACCGATCGGCCATCGGCCCGAAACCATTCAATCGACGCTTCGTGGATGAATGTTCCTTCATCCGATCGAGCTCGCATGCAAGAGGCCACGGGGTGTCCCGCCTTCGAGCTCGGCACAGAGCGGAGTGCCGGGGCGCGTGGCGAGGAGCTCCAAAGCCTCGCCACCGCCAGGGCCGTGAGGTGCCTGCTGGGGAGTCTCACAGTCTCAGCCAAAAGGAGGCCACACAGAGAGGCGCGCTCCGAGGCGCGCCCCGAGGCCTTCGTCTCCGCCAGGCCAAGCTGTCGCCACCTCGCAGCGCGCAGCTCCGCAGCTCGGAGAGCGCAGAGGGCGCAGCTCTGTGAAAAGTCTTCGCAACTCCACTCGCTGGGTGCATTGCAGGAAGCGGTAGGGGTTGGCCGGCTTCTCCTGTGTGACGACAGAACGATCAGGGCTCCTCCCGTGCGCTCTTTGACGCTCGGGCTTCTCCTTGCACACCGTCTCGAGGAGGCCTTGCAGATAAGGCAGCAGCTCATGCTTCTCCAAGTACCTGACGGCTGTGCCAGCTGTGCTGGAGCAAGAGATGGAATCGGCAGAGGAAGGTTAGAAGGTTAGAAGGTTAGAGGTTGCAGAGCAAGTGAGCAACCGAGGGAATATGTGGCACATGGACCGCAGTCATTGTACTACTCCATGTTGGGAGGGGGCACCAAAGCCGAACATGAACTGCTACGGTTTGCCCGTGAAGAACTGCGAACTGGCTTTTCCTCTGAGCCCTGATTTGACAACCCCTCCTGGTCGTGTCTCCGCATCTGCTGGCAATTCTCAAATGCTCGAGCAAGACTAGACTCAAGATCTGTTCCACTGGCTGTCGTGGCCCGAATTCAAATGTTGCTGCGTCCGGGAACCCAAGATGTCTTGTCAGTACAGTGCCGCACTCTTTGGCACTGGCAGCCGCATCCTGTCTCCTGTGCAGAGGGCGGGTTTGGCAAAGGGAAGTTGCGGACGAAACCTGTGCCTTATCTGAGGCAAGCCGTCGACGTCGAACTTCCCATCACCTGCGATGCGATCAGAGGACAGGCCGAGGCTGAGGCTAAGCACACAGCGGCACTGAGCACACGACTGACCGCGTCGTGGTCGTGGTCGGAGCCGCTCTCCGGACTCACGGTCAGGGCAAGCTGTCCTGTTCGCCCCATGTTCGCCCGTGCTCTCCCTTCTCCCATCGGGCAGGAACTTATCCAAACTCCTCAGTCTTACCTTTGGCACCCTCTCTGCCCCGGCCTGCTTCGAAGTCGACGCGGTAGGATTCCTTGCCGGAGTGCAGACAGGCACACCCGGTACACCCAAACCGCCATCCCGTCCTCGTGGGAACAAACCACCACTTCGCTGCCTACCTCAAACACTGCGAGTCGGGCCTTTCCACAGCAAAGCGCACAAAGCCCTCCGTTTCTCGCCTGCTGCAGCAACTCCAGCTTCAGGGTCTTCCCGACACACCACTCTTCTGGGAACCTCCAACTTCCGGAAAGCATTAGAAACCAAAGAAAACATAGAAACAACACCTCTCGAAGGATGGATAATAGATAGTGAAGAACCACCACATCCGACAGAAGCGGTAGTCTCCGAGAGCGGGTCGCCTGAGTGGCCGCTTTTGCAGGGCCGCCACAGTCGCCTCGTCAGCTGCATTAAGCCCTCTCACCTTTCTCTACATAATCCCGATCACTGGCCTGACGCCGGAGATTCCCCACCCGCACCGACAGCAGCAGCTCCGGCGGCAGGTCGCCGGCATCCACGCTCACCTCGGCTACGGGACGGCACTGGGCCAGCGGGACAGAGCGGCGCCGCTCTTCTGCCTGCATCGCCAGCCGCGGGCATGGGCCATGACCAAGCTGACAGGCCGACAGTGGCTTTGAGAGGTCTGGCTGATTAACAATCGCAGGTGTGTCCTACTCACTGCAACAAACCTGCCCATCGCCTGCCATGCAACCTGTGCAACCTGTGGCCACGTGCTCCTTGAGATGCATCTTGAAAGCGCCGCGGGAACCAAAATTGAAGTTGTGGATTGTGAAAACTCTTGTGGCTCGAGCAGGCGTGAAGCTTCTGGACAGCCGGGCTGCTTCTTCGTACTGTGGGAACTCGGACTTTTTGTAGGCCTGCCCTTTAGGCAAGCCTTAAGCCTTAAGGCCGGACTTGTGGGCCTGCTCACCTGCTCCATCTCGGGACGCGAGCTGCTCTGATTTCTTCTAAGGAGTCAGCAAAGCCGGGGGCCGGGGGTGTGTGTGTGTTTCCCGTTTCGCGCGCGCCCCGCTGAGCCGAGCCACCGAGGCGAAGGCTCTGCACATTCGCACAGGGAGCCGACCTCTGGCGGACGTGGCGTTTTGCCTTTTGCTCCCGGCATCCCTTAGAGGACCCGGGGAGGCATCCAAACCATCCTCCTGTTTTGGGACAGACTGATTCTGCTGGGCTGCTAATATTCACCATGTCGATGACTTTGCTTCCTGTGTCCAGTCCCTCTCGCACGAAGTGTGCTCCCAGGCGAGGAAATCGGGGGTCCCTCTCCTGGGAATCCGCGCTAAGAGGATCCTGGACAGGTGCCTGTGGACCCTTGGGGCACACGCACCTGCCAGGACCGCAAGGAGCAGCGACGACGACACGACGACCCTGAATGTTTCTGGTCCTAAACCGCAACCCCTGGCCCACGGCCCACAACTAGCAGGACGAAAAGCGTCGCGCGACCCTCACAACAGGCCCAAAGAAAGCGCTCAAAGTCAGCGCCGTCAGCGCCTGCCTTGGATACGAGCTTCTTATGGAATCTGACTGTTGCTATGAGTCGCGGACCCGGACCCTTTGAAGGGGGCGCTCCAGCAAGTCAAGTGCTTAAATCTACGGACAGAGTTTGCAGAAGTGCGCAGCAGCAAGCCGTGACTAGGACTGAAAACTGTTGGACAGCTGGGGAGCAGGGGCCCCGGCCAATGTAGCCTGGCGACACTGCTGGGCCTCCAGCAACAACGGAGGTTTTGGAGAATCGTATCTCAACGTGGAATGACAGACTCGGATGCAGGCCACGGCCACTGCAGCCATAGCGGAAGCTCTCGCGCATCGTCCTCAGAGCAAGAGCGCCAGCCATAGGGGGCTCATGTGAACTCCAAGCATTCCGAGCACCTGATCTGTCCCGGCAGGCGGTCGGACAAGAAGGCCAGAATCTGAGGCGAAGCTATGCCAGGGTATCTGTTTAGGATGCGGAGCCGGCGCCTTCTCGTGAGGCTCTGGATACTCGTCACAATAAGGCTCCTCGAGCGCTGCAGCACAGTAGCTCAAGCATCCTGAACTCTCGTAAACGTGGTCCTCGGTGTAAGCCTGAATCGCGATCCGGCCCATGGCGTCCACAAAAGCCTGTCACTCTCGCTTGACGCCCACGGCGCCGCCGCAGTGCCCGAGTCTTCCTTTTGTTGCCACCATTTCTCCGTCTGCGTCTGGCTGCGATCACTGCTAAGCTGCTAGGGCTGCGCATGGAGCCGCAGGCCGTTGGGGCCTTCAGCCCAGCTTTCGCATCCGTCCGTCCTACGAGCTTTCGGGTTTGCATTGCGAAAGCTGCCTCGGTGAAACTTAAAGGGACGCCGTCGCACCACCGTCTCTGTCATTACAGAGAGCTGTGTCGATTCGAGCTGGCGCAAAAACAGAGCCGTTCCACTTAACATCAACTTGGCAACGGAAAGGCTCCAGTCAATCGTCGGCAAGGCTCATGAACTCAATTCCAAGACATGTGCCTTCCGACCCAGCAACCTCGTGGTATCAAGACTTTGTCCCATCTGCTCACTAGCTCGCTACTTTGCACAGGTTGCAGAAACAACCGAGGATGCTGGCACAGTGCCGCAGTTGTCCTTGAAGCCATTTGCAACACGTCTGGCGTCTCTTGCATCTGGTGGCAGACTTGTTGATCTTTCCCTTCGAATCTAAAGTGGTTCCGTGTGGATTTTGATGCATGCATATTTCTGGTTGTGCTGCCATCTCTTCTGCTTGAAAATTTCGGACACTGATCGCCGTCAGTCATAACACAGAATCTCGACGGTAAAGCTAGAAGGCGCGTTCTCCATCAGCTTCAACAGCTCTGCACCTGAGCCCTTCTTGCCATCCACCGTCCTCAGCGGCGCTCTGCGGCCCAGGTCTCGCAACAAGACTTTTCGAATGCATGCCAAAGGTACACGATCCGGCTCGGCACCTTGATGACCTGGTCCGATGTGGCCGCAAGGTTGTGGTCGTTGACGGCACCCTCTGCGATCCTCGTAACCTCAGATCTTTCAGGGCAGACTGAAGCCAGCCAGCTTGGTGGAGCCAAGCTGCCAGGAGAAAGCTCTGTCCATCGATGACGCCGAGGCCCAGCTCCTTGCCGTTCTTAGAAACGATCACCTGGTCACCGAGCTGTCGGAAAAGCTAGACCAGCCGGACAGGGCCGATTCACATGCCCTCTCACCTGCTGGACCACGGGTCGCTGCACGGTGATGGTCACGGGACCTGCATGAGGCAAGATGGAATCCAGATAAGACAGGTCACACCAAAGCTGCACGGTGCTCAGGTTAGCCCTCGGCCGTTACTTCCCCTGCCCTGCTCTCACACGTGATTCACGGTGCCTGAGGCATCTCGAAGCTTTTCCAGCATCTCCTTCCCTGAGACAGCGATACGGAGAGTGAAGGAAGAAGCGCGAACGAGAAAGCTACAAATGTGGAAAGACACGGACTACAAGGCAGTTTGGTCTGCCTTTGGAGGGCCGATCGCCATTGAATGCCATCAGGCGGTCGTACTGTCGGATCCGGTGTTCCTTGGCCCAGAAAACCCGTCGTTATGATGTGAAGTCTCGCTTGCAACTAACCCGACCATCGAGTGTAGTCCTGCCAGCACTTCGCAGGCTACAACGACTGAGAGGGCCAACACGAACCACTAGATATAAACTATAACTTACAACTTATGACGTCTGCTTCTTCCTGACTCGCACACCTGTTGCTTCTCGCAGTGCTCTGTTGATTCTCGTTGCTCGTTGCATGCTTCTCTTTGCGGTGTCTTGCTCAGTGGGAAGTATCACGGAGTATCCTTAAGTTAATTAAGGAGTCCGATTTCTGCCTTTTTTGGCAGGCATTGCGGCATTGCTTCAGCACTGAGTTGAGCATCTCTGTCTGCCAGTTGCTTCGCGAAGCACATCGAAGCCCTGTGCTCTGCCAGGCTTCGGGAGCGCACTGGTTGTTCCAGTCCCCCACCAGGCTTCCCGCCTGCACTGCGTTCACCATGCAAACCTGGAGCCGGATTCGGAGGATGGTACCGGGATGACCCACGCAGCCCTGAGCGTTCTGAAATGCCGCCGGACCTTTCCAGCAGCCGAGATGTCTACACCTTAGCTACCCGCACAGTGGGCTTCAGGGCACTGCATCTCTCTGAACAGGCATCGCTCTGCAGTTTTCGCTCTTGCTCGCGACTCTACGCCTCTACGCCGCGCCAATCGGACATGGGGTCAAGAAGGACTGGACTCATTTTCTTCGGCCCGGGCAACGACACGGGGCTGCTATGCCGACCTGGTTTCTGTGGACGAAGTGGGCGAATTTCCAGTTCATTGGAGCGGCTGTTCTACAGCTCTGGCTATCAGCTGGTGCAGCAGCCGGCGAAGGTGTCAAGCAGCGGCGTTGAGGTGCGAAAGTGCTTCGGAATGCGAGCGTGTTCTGGCTTCTGGCCGCTTGGGTCCCTGAATGCGGTGACAAAGCAGACGCTCGAAGCCCATGCGTGAAAGACAAGCCCAGATCACATCCAGCGTGGTCTCACACCTGGTACGCAGAACATGTTAAGAAAGGAGTGCAGCTACCACGCCAAAGTTCACGGCACTCTGGTTCCCGACGGGCAAGCTACAAAGTCAAGCTTAAACTTATCTAAACAGGATCAGAACCGAAGGCAAGCATTTCCCGTCAATTTTTGGCATTTCCCGTCCGTCGGCCCTGATCGAAGAAATGCGAACTCCGCTTAGGATTCGGACAGGTCCACAGCCGGTCTTGAGTTATACACTGCTCAGGCTCTGCATTCCAGTGTGCATATTACGTCTAGACATCATAAAAAGTCGCAGCCGACGAACCGTGGGACAGCGCCCCAAGTGCTGACCAGCTGTCTACATCATTAAATGTCAACGGGGGTTCGACCTGCACCGCCGCACCGTCCATGGCTGGCTTCGTGATGGGAAGAAGTATCTATACTGCCCGTGGTTGGCCGCCTGGCTCCAACACTTCTTGGGAGCGCCCACAGGCCTTGGCGGGATCACCTCACCCTCTCATCATCTGGCTGCTTGTGGTAGGTGGTCGGGCGCATGGATGTGGCGTCACCAATCGATGCCACTTGACATTGAGCAGAACCTACCATGTGCTTTCCATCTGCCTTGATGTGAAGCTGGGTCGATCGAACGATTCAAGCTCCGTCTGGGCTCGTGGCCAAAGCTCGTTCCCGGCGATCGCACCACGTCAACGCTGAAAGTGAAGCACTCCTCCTCAAACAAGCTGAGCAGAGATGCCAACTTGAGCCGCAGCCTCTGCGGTGCTTCCTTGGCCGGGCGGGCTCCGATTGTCAGCTCTTGCGCCACTGACGACGAGCGGGCAGGCAGCACCTGAAAGGAAGTATCTTCGCCACAGGGACAAGAGTTAGGAATTCCACTTCTGCCTCGTCTGATGTCACAAGCTTGGCAGGGGGCAGCTCCTTGTCATCCTTGGCTCATGTCATGTGGCGTCCGGGTCCCAACTTCACCCATCAAATGGTGCAAAGGCTCAGCTGAAGAGTCCACACAGCAGATGAACATCCTCGCTGGAGCGAACCTCACTTCTCCACTTCTCCAGGCTCTGCTACCCAGGACGCATCAAGCTCAGGCTTGGACCGCGAGAGGGAAAAAAGGAGGCCGTCAAAACTCGTCAAAAGGCATGTGAGGCTGAACGCTGCGGATCGACGAGTGCGTTTCAAAGCAGCTTCACTGCAACTGGGTTCCAACACAGTGCAGCTGCAGTTGCTCGGACTGCGACCTGCCTCTTGCGACAGGTATCCGAAGTTGCTGCCGCCATGTGCACTTGCCGAACCTGCACACCTGAGGCTGAAGCATCACATCGACTCTCCGAACAAGCCGCTGCTCCAGTCGGGCCGCTGTGCTCTCTTGAAGATGCGCACCACAGCTTGTCTGCTCATCAAATCCGGCATGATCTGGCAAAGAAAGTGAGAAAGCAAGACGAGGAGAGAGAAAGGGAGTACTACAGTCGACAAGCTTTCGAATGTCGGGGAGCCTTCAGCTCCTTGCAAAGAGCAAAAAGCTGCCTCAACGGAACTCCACGGGTTTCAAGCCAAGAAAATTCTTCAGAACTTCTTCACCTTTGCTCCAAGTCGCTCCAGCGACATGAAGCTACGTCGATTCCTGGCGGTGCGGCACCGAGTTGCCCCTTGCCCAGTAAGACCCCGCCCGGCCGCTCCTCATGGTAGGACTGCCGCAGGCATAGGTGTAGGGATCCTGCGAGACTGCGGATCGGATCAAGTCTCAGAGCGGGGCTCTGCGAAGAGGCGTGGCCCGGGCACCCGGCTGTGGCTGCAGGGCTCCACTTGCCGGCGCGGCTGCTCGTGGTCGACCTCCGGCTGTCCTCAGCGGCTGGCACGCTACGGACTTCGCAAGCGCTGCCGCCGGCCGGCGCTGGGCTCTGGCGGGGCTCACAGGGCTGCAGAGGCCCTTCTGTTCGGCCCACGCCTGGTTTCGGAAGGCTCGGGCTGATGGCTGGAGTCGAAAGGCGACTTTCCGGGCTGTGCACCAGCAGGGATTGCCCGGAAGCCGATCCTGACTTCGGGCCTCGGGTCAGCGAGTCGATTCGCTCAGACTTGCAAACGTCGCTCTCGAGGCTGGGGCTCAGAAAGCCGCTGCCTGCAAAACGAGCATTTCTGACTTTCTGACTTTGTCTCGCGACAAAGCTCCGCCTGACAAAGCGCCGGAGGGCAGCTGCGGCCGCCTCCTCCGCTCGGGAGAGCCGCGCTCAGGCGAGGCCACCTGGTGGGGCAGCGACGCCTCGCAAGTGGCACAACAGAACACAGACACACACACACACACACACACAGTTACACTTGTGCAGGTTTCCACTCCTAGCATAGGGTCCTGCTTACATGCTACACACATCGCATCCCGGAGTCCTGTATTTCACTTTGCCGCCACAATTGGGCCCGACTTTCATCCGAAAGTGCAGGCAGCCAGACTGATCAGGTTTCCACCATTGCGCATAGTTTCGTTGGCATGCGTCTGCGTAATGGCCGCATGCCCCCTGCTTGCAATTTGTCAACTTTGGACGGCACTGCATACCGGAATTCTTTGGCTCACACGATGTACACACACACACACACACACGCGCACCCCTTCTTAGAGAGGGGTAATGGTCTTCTTACATCACCACACTTCTGACAGACATTTTTCACTCATAAGGCTGCGTGTCCGCGTGTCCGGAATGTTGGTTGGACCTGTATCAGGAAACTGGCTTTGCCCTTTCATTGTGGCAAGATCAGCCAACAATCGCGACAGCAAGTTTTGAATCTGACGCTGCTTCTGAAACGATTCTGTCGCAACTTCAATGACACGTTGATCAGTTTCCGTCAGGTGCACCTGGACTACGTCCAACTGACATTGTTGGATTTGTTGCGTACTGGCACTTTCGGAACGAAACTCATGCAGCTCTTGTTTGATCATCAAAATCTCGGTCTGCGTATTGGAAATCCATGTTTGCAGAGGTGCCAATGGGTCATATGCCGTGGTGCGTTGGGCATCAACTATGCTGCCCGACATGGCCGCAAGAATCAAATCTTGAGCAAAAGCACACTAAGCACACATAGTTGCTAGACATTACCCCGCACTCATTGCTGACGGCAAACCTTTTCCACAACCGTCTTATGCGAAGGTGCTGGCTTGATCGGGACTGCTCTACAGGTACTCATAACCAAAGTCGTCGTGCATCAGGCATCGATGCGGTCCATACCACTGATGTCTTTCTTTCTGCATGATTGAGTGACGGTGAAAGCATCATTGGTTTTCGCACGCCTCACATTTGCACTGGCCCCGAATCGGCCGTCTGCAAGTCGAAGTCTGCGATTAAGAATCTCCCGAATTTGCCACAATAACTCCAGCAGTTGCGACATGGAGCATTGCGTCACCCGCCAACGAGTATCATTCAGCATTTGACTATCCATGACTGTAGTCCAAACACTTGAAAGAACGAACAGCACCTATGCTACACACGGCCGCTTCACGCACACATGAAGACAAATGCTACGCAGGGGGTCAAAAAATTGCACCTGACATTTCCACGTGACTCGCATTCACTCTGCTCTCATGCCAAACGACTGCTAATCCGGCATAAGGTATTGTGTGAAACTCGTGGCCCACAAGATGCATCAGGCACAGGAGAGCTGGTGTTCACGGCAAGTGTGCTGATGGTTGCTGGTGTCCCACTGAAATCCGTGCTGGAGGTAGCTGCAAGTGCACTGCTATCAGTCACGGCGGATGGCGCAAAGTTTGCTCTAGCAAGAGCTGGCGACGATGTCCCGTCCTCAAAATGCACTGGTGGATCCGCTGCATCTGATGCTCCGTGAAGCACCGACAACGCACTGCAAGATGCAGGAGCTGAATCCACCGAATCTCTCGTAGCAGTAGGTGCACGATCACAAAATTTGTCCCTCACATATCGATGCATGGACTTAGGCCTTAGGTATGGGCCTGGCAGAAACACTTGCATTCTCGGCACTGGCACCACCACTCAGCACATGTGGGAGTTGGACGTGAGGTTGTGGTAGGCACGCGGGTCAAACGAGAATCCTCAAGAGCGGGGCCGGGGACTGGCCTGACCATCGGCAACGGAGAACGGCGCACGGCACTGCATCCACGCGGGGGCAGTGGTGGAAACATGTTCGCACTCAACCCACCGATGGCTCTGAAGAACTCAGGATCTTTTCTGCTTGCATGACTGATGCCTTGACGCCCGACAATGCTGAGGTATCGCTCAACAAAGCTCCGTACCGTCTTTGCCGACGAGGCGCAAGGGCTAGCCTCACATCTTCACACAGTGTCGGACTCCCCAGGATGTGATACGTTTCCGTTCGGAGATTGGCACCGCGACGCTCAATGATAGCCTCAAAGTGATCTCGTGAGCTAGTCACCATGGCTCACTGAATGCTACAAGGAAAAGAACGCAACGCCTTGGGACTGAAGAAAGCGGAGGCCGCAAACACCAGTTGTGCTCCGAACTCGTTACCTGGTATGCACACACCCGCGCACCCTGGCGCAAGCGCAGACTTTCTTTCTCCGCTCCTCACAGATACGGATCTGAAAAGACATCGCATGGATCCAGCATCCATCCAGCCGAAGTCAAACGATTACAAGAAGGCGTGTCGCCATCTAGACTGAAACGTAACATACGGCAATGTGAGCTCAATTGCTCGACTTCTCAATCAACAGGAAAGCTTCCTTCAGGGCTCTCAACCCACAACTGGCCGACTGCGGAAGAGTCCCTTACGCAACTTCCTCCAGAGTCGAACACCAAAACGTGAAAAAGATGCAAACCGCTGTTGTCTGGCCTTGCTAGCACAAACGGAAAATTCGACTTGGGCTGCCACTTGGAAATGAGCACGTGTTCCGAGGTCCATGCAGCACGATAGCTACTGCAAGATGCCACTTTGATGATCGAATTCAAAGAGAAGCATGAAATCTGGTGCAAAAACGCATGGCCAACTCTGCCTGGGCCTCCTGACCCCGTTCCAACTTACGTACTAGTAAAATAGACAAGCGGTTGGCCTTTCGTAGTGCAACTGATGCACACGATGCACCAATGGAGCCAATATACATCAGTGGTGCTGGGCTGCATGTAATGTCCAGCACCAGGACTACACCGCCAATCCACAGCCACTTTGATATATACTGCAAACGGATCCGAGAATTCTTGCCAAGAATATTGCCAGGGAGTGACGCAGATCGTGAAGCGAAAAAGCAACACAAGATGAAGCAGAATTTGTGCACGACTCAGATCAGGTTTCGGAAGATGCACGCACTCATTTTCGAAAAAGGTTACTGCTTGACCAAGCTGGTTCTGGCTCTCACAACAACGTGCGAGTAGGCCGTCTCTTCCGCATGCATTGCGAGTCAAGCAGCCTGGTACTTAGCTGCAACAAAGCACTTGCTGAGGCTCGTCATGTTCAAGCGCATAGCACACTTGCGATCCAAACCAGACTTCATGGGCGTTTCCACCATCCCATGTTCGTCAACATGCTCCGACAACATGTTGCCAACTGCATTGACGTGCTTGTTCAGCTCACGAAACTTGCCTTTGTACTACTGCTTGACTTGCTGCATCCAAGCTTCCACATGATCAGTGGTAACACTTTTGGGGCGGTTGTTTTTGACACAGTTGAGAGGCTTTCCGGTCGGTAACTGACGAACCTGCTGGGAAACATCTCTTCATCATATTATGCTTTCCGCTTGGCGCCACGAGACCCCGCAACAGGCAACTTCTTCTTGGTTCCTACAGTGGTCCTACAGGTTCAGGTCCAGAATCAAAGGGCGCAGGAGACTCACCTTCCGTGGTTGCGGTGGGTTTGCGAAGTGTGAGTGATAACCTTGAGCAAGCCTGGCCTTAGCACGCAGCAACTCTTGGGTGATGGGGCTGCAGCAGGGGTAAGAACGCGAGCTTCGACCTCCTTCATGATCCACCCGCAAGTTTGTCCGGAACCGGCAACCCTTGCTCCTTCAGGCACTCTGAACTTTCATCTCTTTCAGACTTTTAAGGAGCCGCATCATAAGCATACTTTCGGCAGAGTTGCGAGTCCTGACAATCGATTGAAACTTGCTCAATGAGAACTCACCCCTTCGTCCAAAGCAGAGCTCATCAACACGCAACTCCTCAAGCGGACGGCGGGCGATCTGTGCCTTTCTTCAATCAGTGGACTGAATGGCTCGAATAAACAGCTGGTTGCCCTGAGCCCGGTGGATGCTGGGACAGTACTGGCGCTACCTGAGCAGCTGTGCCTTCGCTTGAGTGTTGATCTCGGCTCCAGCAAGTACTTGGATCTGAATCTGACGACCACTGTTTTTGCTCTTGCTCCAGTCGCTGGTTCCTTGATAGCCGGAACCGATGGAGCGCTGACGAGAATCTGAACGCCACATAGCGACGGAACTTTGGTGGGTACTGGCACAAATCTCCTGAAGTAGCTCGAGCAAACACCACTTTGAACCGGTCACTTCCGGCTCTCAGCAAAAGCAATCGCAACACTCGGATGGAGACGGCGAAAGACTGACATAAGGTCCTTTTTACCTGCTACACACATCGCAGCCCCGTTGCCGCCGCGAGGGGGCCCGACTCTAATCCGAAAATGCAGGTGTCCAGAATGATCAGGTCTGGTATCCACCATTATGCCCAGCTTCGTTGGCATGCGTCTGCGTAATGGCCGCATGCCCCCTGCTTGCAATTCGTCCACCGCACATCGGAATTGCTTGACTGACAGGATGTACACACACGCACACACACACACACACACACACCCCTACATGTACCTCTACATTCCTCTAAGATGCCTGCGAGGCCCTACAGAGCACTGGGCCTCAGGGTTGGGATCCAAGCTGTCCTGCATTGCACAGCCGGACACTTCTGCCGTCAGTCAGTGTCACCACAGAGAGCTTCTTGCTGCCTGCTCCGGGCGGGATTCCGGGGCGCCAGGCACTTCGTTGTGTTCCTCAAAGACCTCCTGCAAGAGCAGACGCCGGTAGACTCCACTCCAAATCGAACTTCTCTCCCGCCACTGCCTTGACGGCCGGGAGCCCTGGGCTCATGGAGTCGTCCTCGCGGAAGGATCACATTCAACCCTTTCAGATGCTGTGGCCCTACCGCACGGCTGCCGGCTGTTGTCTGGCCTGATTTTCTGGAAGATCCTCAGTTCTCCAAATGCCACAGCAGAGGCAAGAGGGCAAAGAGTTCTGCTGAGCTTATAATAAGCACCCGGCATCGTCTCTGAGGGTCCCTGGGCATACGGTTTACTAACATCAAACTCTGGACTCTCCCGCTGCTAGAGTCGGCCTCCCAACATGCAAGAGGAGGCTCGGGAGGCGAACACCGTGTCCTGCACAAGGGAGGTCTCTCTCTCGCTTTCTCTCTCTCTCTCTCTCTCTCTCTCTCGCTCTCTCTCTCTCTCTCTCTCGCTCTCTCTCTCTCTCTCTCTCTCTCTCTCTCTCTCTCTCTCTCTCTCTCTCAACTTGTATCGTAACCCCCCTTTTCGGAGGCGTTGATCCGGGGTCCTGCGTGTGCTTCCAAATCGAACGCTCCTTCAGGCGCGTTGTGCCTGTCCCGGTCCTGGCGAGCGCTGTCTGTTTGTTGCGACGTGAGCAAAGACAAAACCCCACGTCGGCTCCGCAGGTTTCCTTCTAGCACGCTCTAGACTCTAGACTACGATGACTAGGAGGCCGCGACCTGGCATCCATGGGGCTCGGCAGCTGGCGCCGTGCAAAGGAGCCGAAGAGGTCGTGCCTTGAAACGCCAGGACATGTCTGGCAACGCGAAAGCCCCAGTGGCCCAAGCCAGTCTCTTGCAGTCGCTTCTTTTGCTCGCTTTCTCACCGACCATCCGAAGCTAGGAGCCCCTCGACCACTTCCACCACCGCGCCGACTCTGTCTCAGCGTTCGCATCTTCGGCGACCGTTCCTCCGATTCGGAGTCCTCGGATTCGAGAGTACAGCTCTTCGAGGAGTCCTCGGCATTGCCAGCTCTTACTGCAACGGGTCGCACTGGTCGCGCTGTGGTCGCGCCTCCTCTTCTTCGGCTTCGTCAGCCCCGATTGCTTGAGGCCTCGACTTCACCATTGCTCATCGGCAAAACTGCTCCAGATCAAAGATCGCCCATGGAAAGCCTAGCGTCAACTGCAGATTTTGAAGTGCCGCACGCACCTCTTGGCAATTCTTCAGAGTCTCCTGCACGGCTCATTCCGATGACAGGTCCACACCCGCTCAAAGAACGTGCAAGGTTCCGTTCGGGACTCCTCCACAGGCGTGAGCCAGTCCGAGTGTTTCGCCGGCAGAGCGACCAGCTCTTGCTGGTCCATGCAGGAGATCTCCGGCGGCACCTTGCAGCTCCCAACACTCAAAACAGCGGGAGCCACGGCCCAGTCCCAGAGTCCCGCCTCAGCGTTGGATTCCTGCGGGAATGCAACGAGGAAGTGCGTCCCGCCGGTTGGGGGCAGCGCCTCGAGGCAGAGCCCAGGCCTTCCCAGGAGCCGTTCTGAGGCCAAGGGCAGCACCCAGTCTCCAACGGAGGCCGGTGCCGTGGGCAGCGGCAGAACTTGCCGCCGCTCGTGGCTTTGCTCCGCCTCCGCCGGCTCGTGCGGGGCGAGCACTCGCAGGCGAACGCGCGGCTCCTCGCCGCCGATCTCCTCTCCCAAGTAGGCTGCCAGCTGCCCCGAGCCCGGGACGAGGCAAGGCATCCCCACAGTCAGCTGGAGCGTCTCCCGCCACTGGTCGTCGAAGAGCTCCTTATCCTCCGTGTAGCCGCTCTCTTCTTTGCAAAGCCGGCCGTGTTTCGCCAGCAGCGCGGCTTGTACCTCTGCACAAAGCACCACCCTCTCGTAGCTGCGAGGTGCCGTCCTCCGCTCCAGGACCTCCTGTAAGGAGTTGCTTGAAGGTGCAAGCGACCAATCCGAGAGGAAACCTCTCCTCGCGACTTGCCACTCCATCAAGGCTTTGCAGGCCGGGCGTGTTCCTTCCAATAAAGGGGATAGGACGGATAGGATCCCCAGCAAACGAGAAAACCGATGCAACTGGCTGGCCACGCTTAAGGGTATACAGCCCTTGCAAAAAAAATCCGGCACAGATACTCAAGTTTCACAGCTCATGTCTTGAAGCTTGCTCAGCTGCAAGGGACACTTTTGTCGTGGATGCCTTAGTCTACAAAGAGTGAGCAAAGTGAGCGGCAGCTTGGGCTTGAAGTGGTCCAGCACCAGCAGGACCTGTGCACTCGGTAGCTTTGCTTGCACTCTTCAAGAGCTCTCTGCTGCCACGTCGTCACGTCATGAACTGAGCCCTGGAGCGTTGGGGTCCAGTGAGAAGTCGGCTGGCTCGTTAGCTGCAGACTGCTCTTGAAACTCCTGCACTACGAAGGCGCCCTCGAACTTCTGTGTTTCCTTATAAGAAATCAAATGTGGCAGCAACACGAAACTGTACTGATAGTGCAGACCAGTCAAATTTCAGGATGAATTTCGACTGCAGCTCGTTAACTTGCAAGACCCACCAATGCGATCCCGATCTGACGCGCAGTCCAGCTTGAGTGCCAGGATTTTCCCGCATGGACAGTTGTTAGGCCAAGCGAATCGTACAAATCACCAAAGTTCCTTGCGTTGGGTTCGGTGTGGCAGGGAGAAGGGCAGGACGCCTGTGGCATTCGGAGAGTTTGGCATGGGCATGGGCGCCACCGCCACCGATCCGCATGGCCCACCACAAGCAAATCCTAACTCTGTCCTCTGCAGCTGTCGCGATGCGCTGCAGGAGCTCGCCCATCGCTGCCTTCCCATCAAAGCCCAAACGGGACTAGGCAAAACCTGAGAAATGCGGTGATACTGCGCCGTTGCACCGCATGAGCGAACTCTCCGGAGCGCTATTCTTGCCACCACCAACTGCAAAGATTCATCAGCAACTTCCCAGAGCCAAACCCAAGCTCGACCGAAACACCCGTTGACATCTTGACGTGCTCTCACTCTACCTTCGTACTCCGGGAGGGAGAGCGAACGAGGGAGGGAGCGAGAGGGGAGAGAGGCAGGAGGAGGCCTCCCAGTCCATGTTGGGATACATGTTCACAGCCACCAAACAAAGAGCCTGGCAAAGACATGAGACCCCGTCGTCCCGCAGGCGTGGCTTGAGACAGTCCTAGCTTGGCCTTGCAAAAGAAGTCGTAGGTCAGGCGCTTGCCACCATAGTCCGTGTCATGGAGCACCTGAGTGCTGCGGCTTGGGTGTATGGGCTTGCAGTGGCTTCGTGACCGGGGACTCTCTGGAAGATAATGTCGGCGACTGCAAGGGACGACAGGCAGGGTCCTGCAAGTCGCCAACATGTCTCCGCTCTCGAAAGGCCGTCGCCAGCGTCGCTGTCTGAAGGTCCTTTGGCCTTGCCGGGCCCGGGCACGAACCCAAGCTCTTTCAGCATCTTGACCTGCATCGCAGGCTTCGGCCACGTTCGGGGTTTTTCGACCCCCCCAAAGTCACATGGGTAGTTCTCTAAAAATGGGTCCCTTTTGGGATCAGGGTACCGTACTGTTTTGGTGACCTTAACCCCAGACCCCAATAGAGAACTACCCACATGGCACACATGGCACAAGATTCGAGGTCTCTGCCCATTTTCCTGAGTGCATCAGCTCGGTGTTCAGTCGTTCCTGTGCAGAGTGCGCCGCATAGACAGACGCTGGAGCTGGAAGCTGTCGGGAGAAAACGAGGGCCCGGCACCAAAGCTGCAGTGGCGCGAGAACTCCCCGCGGAGAACCTCGTCGTACCTGGTGCTTCAAGCCCTGCGCGAGTCAAACCCTGTACTGTCCTGAAGCCTTGGGGCAATCAGCCTTAAACGGCAGGGCACTCCTCGGGCACGAGGACGTCCGGCGGCGAGGCTAGCACCTGCAATCGTGATAGCATGAACGTACACCCCTCGCCGCCCTTCCTTGCAACGAGGCTTCTGCGACAGCTGTGAAATGCTTCGGCGCCTGTTTTTCGAAGTCCTGCTTGTCGGTGTTACGCTTCAGGTGCCTGCGAGGACCCCAGATCAGCGCAAGGTCGATCAAGCAGAAAGACCTCGAGCCGAGGCCTCATGAGGCCGTCGAAGCGCTTGATTACCGAGGGTTCCAGGACCTGGACAGTGGCCAGGAACGGAGGAAGGAACGAGGCGAAACTGCTCTGGGCTCTGCTTTCTGCCGGACCTGGCTGTGCTGGGCCAACTCTTCGGCGGCTGTGGGCACGTGCCGCCTGGAGAGACACGTGTCAGAGCTACCTGTGGGCTTGGAAGGCAAGAAAACCAACACGAGCAGAGAGAACGCGTGCCAAATTCAACAGTACTTTCTATGGATACCGAGCAACCAAGATCAATCGCTGTCCCACGGTCACTCTCAAGCAGACATTCTCTTTGTGACGTCAAGCCAATCTGTCCAGTCTTGAGCCAATGCCATTCGGCATCGTAGCATTCACAAATGCGTCATGACCCTGAGGTGTAACATTGGGCTCGCGTCATTGACGGACTGATAGAAATGAGCAGTGAAAAGCCTGGCAGAAATGCTTACCACCCTGGGACCCTTTACCCGGCTCGGCCGCGAACGATGCGAAGCGCCGGGGCGAATAGCAACGCCCATGCCCTGGCGCAACTCGGAGCTTGAGCTCAGATAATGTCGGCAACAGCCATGAAGCTGGTGGTCCACTGGATCCATGGCTAAGCCGACATTTCTGCGGCAACCCCGTTGCAGCCCCGCGCCTCGGGACTTAGGCGCGGGCGACAGCGAGGCGCTTCGAGCACTGCGGCGGGACCTGCAGAGGTTTCCTGCAAGCCCTGTAAGCTGTAAGCATGTCGTAAGCTCCCAGCATCAGCGTCTCAGTAAAAAGTCCACTTGAGGCGAGGGACCTGTGCACATCGAGAGGCCCGCACGACCAGAAGCCCAGTGGAGCCCGGCTCTCGCCAGGGCTCCCGCGCACAGGAGAGCGTGGTTCGAAGGGTGGAGGAGCCGCCATGCCTGCCGAAGACGCGAGTAGCACACAGTGGGGCAAGGACTGCCCGACGAGTGCCCGACCGGCCCACCACCCGCTCGGAGGAGGCACGGATCATCCTGCCGCGCACGCTGTGCCAGAAGCCCCACATGTTGACAACGTCACACCTCGAAAAAGCCCTAGACAACGGCCATCAGCACCTTTCAAAGGATGGCCCGGCCAGACAGGGGAGAACTGAATGAACGCTCTCCGACTGATTTCCGTCTCAGGTTTCTTTCCTCGCCGAGGGCCGGGCGCTCCCTCCAACCACGCCGAGAGGCCAAGAAAGCCGGCAGAGCCAAGGCGGCGGAAGCAGCTCAGTGATGACCCAGCTCCCATGTCGCAACATGCCCTTCTTCACAGTTTCCCAAGCTCGATCTCATGCTTTCGTGGTGTTGCGTACCGGGAGCACCGGAACAACACCTTCTCCCTACTTGCCCTAACCTTGCCTTGCTCGTGACTGTGTGTTGGGCTTTTTGCGCACCGAGGGAGCTCGGCAGGGGCACGACACGACCACACGGGAGCGCTGCTCGACCGCGTAGCGTGGCGAAAACTTGTGGAGGCCATGACTATGAGCCGGTGGCCGCCGTCTGCGTCGCCTGCGTAGCCTCCTCCACCAAGCTCGCAGACGGTGCTGCAGAGGCCAACTTGTCTGAGAGCCCCGCCTCGGCGTCGTCGCGGCTTTTTGTGGTTTTGTCCTTGGGCGTCAAAGCGAGAGAGAGATTCTGACGCGGCTGTCGAATGTCCCTCCACTCCGGCTCCTCTGGCTCCTCCCGCTCCGCCTCCTCCGCCTCCTCTACTTCCTTCGCTCCGCCGAGCGGGACCGCAGCAGCCGAGCGACCTGCGAAGAGCTTGCAACGACATCGAACATGATCGCGTCACGTCGTCGAGTTGCCCTGGACCTCTGGACCACAACTTCCAGCCCACGGAGGCCAGCTGCAATGTCAGCATAAAAGCAATGCCGAACCAGCACCTTACACACCGAAAGGACATCAAAAGCCACACTCTCAGCTTCTGCATACAGAAAAAAAGGGGAACCTCGAGGCCAATGCTGAGCTGCTGGCGAGAGGAGCGAGGAGCGCACTTTCTCCCGGGCCACCCCGAGGATGTACCTCGGTCGGAGCGGTGCAGGGCGCGGTGCAGGGGCCGGCGTCCGGCTGCTGGGCTGCCCGGCGGCAGCAGAAGCACCAGGGCCACGGCCAGGGTGGCTGCCAACCTCTGAACCCAACGACGCAACGCACCGCAAGGCCGCCTTCGCGCCGTCGCTTCGCAAGGTGACGAGAAGGCTGGGAGCATGGGCTGCGCTGGGCAGACGCCGCACGGCTCCTCCCCCTTCCAACAAGGCGCCCATGTTGCCCCGTTACCGAGATTCTTTCTTCACCAGCTTGCCAAGCTTGCTCTGCCTCCTTCTTCCACCAGGACGTCATCTGCAAGCACTTAGCAAGAAGCAGGAACACAGCGAGCGGCAAGCTTTGACTTCTCCGAAAGCTAAATGCAGCAAGCCGAAGAAACCTGGACAGCAAGCTTTGCCTGCAGCGCTTCGCCATCCATGATGGCCCTGACCTAAGGCGACATTCCAACACCCGCAAGCCCAAGCCGACAACAAAAAAAGTGCAGGCGAAAGCAGAGCAGACCGGCCTGCCTGGAGGTCGGAGAGCGCACGCTCAAAGACTGGCACCTGCGCTGGTGGAGGCTCGGAGGCTCGGAGGCTCCCGCTCGCTGCACGGCGCCGGCCTGCTGCCGCAGGAAGTCCACACCGAAGGCCAGCAGGAATCCGAGGACTAGGGGTCGGCGGGACCTCGAAGCACAACTTGGCTCCGCTCCGAGCTTCGAGGCTTGACCGCGCCGGGTGCACCCGGGGCCCGCGCTCGAAGCCCGTGAGGCCGCTGCGGAAGAGCAAAGCCCCGAGCACCGGTGCAGCCTCGGCGCCGGGCTGCCGGGCCGAAAGAGCGCCGGAAGAGCGGCAAAACTCCGCCGCCTCGAAGATACACAGCATGGACCCAAGCCGCCGGGACAGCGAGTACCTGCAGACGAAGACGCACTCAACTCGGTACCAAAACACATGTCGCGCAGTGTGTCACCCCTCGATTTCGAGGGCCCGCTCGTACCAGCTCCAGGTGTCGAACTGCTGGTACCTCCCGCCATCCGCGACCATTTCTAGCCGTCGGGTGCCCTTCCTTGCGAAACTCGACGCCTGGTGCAAACATCGATGCAGCGCCCCGAGCTCGTCGTGTTGAACCTTGAGATTCAACAGCAGGAAGAGCAGAGCAGCAGAGCAGAGCAGAGCAGAGCAGAGCTCGGCCCGGCGCTTCCGGTACTGGGTCTTGAACTTGTGCCGGGGCAAGCGCTCCCTGCTCACGGCTCGGCTCTGCCGCGCGACGTTGCGGGCTCTTGGCGCCTGCGCAAGCAGCGCACCCGGCAGCGCCGCGGCCAGAGGTCCTTTCCCGTCTCTTGGCTCTCTCGATCCGTGGCAGCCGTTGAGAGTTGCAGCCGAGGCACCATGGCCGTGAGCTGCAGCGCCTCGTCACAGACAGCTTCCGAGGAAGCCTATAGTCTCCTCACTCCGACTTTGCCCAAGGCGCGTAGAGGCGGCGATTGTCCATCGACCAAAGGTCATCGCCCTGCTGCTGCGGGATTTTCTTGGTATGGGCTATCAAGAGCTTTTTGGTCCTTCGAGCAGCTCACTCGATTGCTCCGTGACTTCTCTAGCCGGTTTGGGCGAAAAGCAGAGGCGTTCACTCCTTCGCCACGTTCGACCTGGATGACGGTTTGCTTCGACCTCCTCACCGTCTGGGAGCACAGCTTGTCCAGCGTGAGGCTAGATTCCAGCTTCGGCTAGATCAGCTTGAAGGCTTTGCCGCTCAACCATCCTCTGGGTGATCCTCGGTGTGCAAGGCCTGCCAGGCCTGCCAGGAAGCATGGAGAGCCTTCTGGATCTCCTGGCGAGGGCCTGGTGCCACAGAGCTCAAAGCAAGGTTCAGAGCGGCTGAGCGACCGAGCTGCGACCACAAAGGGGCCCGGGCTGCACCTTCCTTGCCCCAACTGGCGTGGTCCAGCATGGCGCTGGCCAAAGTGGCCACCAAGGGCGGGCAGACGCTGTTCCCGAACATCTTGTAGAGTCTGCGGAACCACACGGCCGGTTGACCCGAACTCTCAGAATAATCCGTGAGCTTGAAGCTGTCAGGAAAGCCCATGAGCCTGTGACAACGCTGCTTCATGCTGAACACATAGACGGCCCACCAAAAGAGGCGGAAAGCATGCAGGTCTTGCGAACTAGACAGCGGCAGCAGCCGAACAGATTACGCTCCTTTACAGCACACAACACCTAACGAAGAAGCTCCACAGAGGCTGAAACGAGCGGTTTGGGCCTCGCACACTCCCGAGGGCTGAAGCGTCGAGGAAGGTGGGGCGCTGGCCGTGGGACGAGCTGTGAATTGCCCCTCGAAATGCTGGTACCGTAGTGACCAACCAGCGTGGAGCAGACCTTGTCCCCCCAAGCCAGGGTGTCCGTCATGCCGCCTCGCCTGGACCACTTCTTGCATCCCTGAAGCTTTCGGAAGTGCTCCTCCGAAAGAGTGTATGCTTGCAGTAGTGAAGCTTTCAGCTCTTCTTCCGGCTCGAATATGTCCCTGGCCCGTAAGTTCAAGTCCGGAAAGTCTGGAATCTCGATGGCCGGCTTGGCCAAGCCAAGGTCCTGGCGAAAGCCGATGAAGAAGATCCTCTTCCGAGACTGGGCGGTGAAGGCTTTGGCGTTGAGCGTCCTCAAGACCACATCGTAGTTGCAAGCCGTCAGCTCTTCCTTGATAGCCTTCAAAGCCTTGCCCTCATCAGTCTCTGCCAGGCCAGGCACGTTCTCGAGCAGGAAGAGGGGACACTGACGGGCTCTCAAGACGCGGCAGACCTCCCGAAAGAGAAGGCCCCGCCCCTTCGGGTCCTCCAAACCAGGCTGCTCCCCCAGCCCGGAGAAGGGCTGGCACGGGAAGCCTCAGAAAAGCAGCTGGAGCGCGTGCGCTCTGGACTGAAAAGGCCCTATAAGCCGCCTGCCACCAGCATGTCGTGGGGCGGGATCTCCTCATCCTGCGTGAAACCACGTGACAAGGGGCCCAAGAAGTGAGGTGAAGTCGACTCGGTGACGCGGTGCCTGGATCATCTGTATGTCTCCACGGACTTCCGGGCGAGTCCCGAAGTTCAGCGCGTAGACTTCCCGGGTGAAGGGCTCGATCTCCGAGGCGAAGACGCAGCGCCCGCCCAGACTCTCGAGCCCGAGACGAAACCCTCCGATCCCCGCGAAGAGCTCCGCAAACCGAAAGCTCCCGCCGCGAAGCGCCTCTTAGGCAAAGCAGAGAAGCAGAGAAGCAGAGAAGCAGAGAAGCAGAGAAGCAGAACAGTGCCGTACAGTGCCGTGGGCGCCTCGGGGCTCAGGAAAGGTATCGACTGCAAGTCCTTCACCGGCCCGGGCCGCCGTTTCGACCCGCCCGCCCGGCCCGCCCGGCCCGCCCGGCCCGGCCCGCTGCGCCACTCCGTCGTCTTCCTCACCAACTCCGCCCGGCCCTCCGACCTAGTCAAGCCGAGCTCAGGCCGCGCAAAGCCATCCATTGCATCAGAGACACAGCAAGGCGGACACCAGCCCAGGAAGCCTTCAAAAGGGGCACGGCACGAATCTTGAAATCGCGACGCTGGACTCTGGACCTCTCGCCTGTCTTGCGACCCCTCCAGGAGCGGCAACAGCCGCTTCGCAGGCTGCTCCGGAACTTGTACCGCCTCAGGGACCCGAGGCCCGAGGCGGGAAGGAGAAGCGGCTTGGGTAAGCTTTGCAGGCTTTGCAATACTTTGCAGGCCTGAATGGAGAGGCCTTCGCGGCCTTCGGGGTGCCAACGCCGAGGGATGCAATCTGCCTCAGCGAGGGCTGTGTAGACCTCCTCCGTGAGCTGGGCAGGCACGCACAAGGAGATCGACGAGGAGCTCGAGCTCGAGCTCGCGCCTGCCACGTTCGAGACCGCGGCCCGCCGGTTGAAGCCGAAGCCGACGAAGCCGAAGCCGTTGCCCATGGGAAGCGAGATCGCCCAGCGCACGCGGCGCACACGCATCCGCCATGGCCCGCGGGAACTACAGTGCCTGCGATCCGAGCGCGCCTGCAGTCCGCACCAGTCTCTTGAAACATCAGGGCAGTCGTTGGATTGGATGCCATTGGCCTTCTGAAGGCAGTGGATGGGCGCAAAGGGCGGAACCAAGTCCAGCACCTCGTCATCACCTGAAAAACCAAGACAAACAGACACACAAACAGCATCAAAGGGCCTCAAAGCCTTCATTCCCGAGCCGAGCCGAGCCGAGCGCCGAGCACCTGACCCTCCGAGCTGGGGACGGCTCTGATCTTGGGAAGGACGTTGACAATCGGCCCGCGACTCAGCACACTTCACACCCCGTGCATGCACCCACCCCGCTTCGATGCTCTTTGAAACGGTAGAGAATGCACACCCCTCTTCGAAGCTTGCGCTTGAGGCTGCAGTTGTAGGTTACACCGTTTCGCCGCCTTCCGACGGCTCGATTACGAAAGAACTCCGAAGGCCAGTTATACTAGTACAACAGCCGACGTTCCGTGAAGCTGCTCGCCTGCTGCTTCAACTTCTGTACTACATAATATATGCACCGTACAGCTTGATGACCCGAAATGGAATACACACTGCTGGCGATTAGAGCATGTCCACTCAAAAGACAGCTCTGCACTTTGGCCACAAGATACTTCCTTAAACATGTCAGCTCTCCTTCCCTACTTCCCCTTCACCATCATATCCTGTTCGCTCGGTGTCGCTGTCCTCTTGCGCCAGCTGCTCGTCTCGGCGTGCACAATGTTCTGGACTCGTACTGTCATCCAACCCCGCTGATCTTGCCCTTTCCCCCCAGCCATCAACCACTCGCAAAGATGCACTTTTGGATCAAAGAAGTGAAGTGTAAGAGACAGTTCTGTTTTGCATCAGCACTAGCTTCAGGCCGGGACCGGTAGAAGAAGGGGTGGATTTTGTCCTGACGGCTCTTACCGTGAACCGCTTCGCAGATCTTTGGGGGGGCCGCGCCCAGCAGACAACCTCCGTGCCTGCGTGAAGCGGATGCTGAGCGGGCAGGCGAAGATCTCCTTCACCAGAGCTCTCGCCTCTCTCACGCTCGGAGTCAGACCGGTTCTCTTCTCCTCCCACTCGTCCGCTCCACCCGGATATCCACTTTGAAGGCCTGGCAAAGCAGTGTGAGCACCAAGTTGTGGAGGCGAGTTCTCCTCCCCTCAAGTGACTGGATGCTCTGAGCCTTCGTCGCTGTTGCCATCCTCAGCCACGTCAGCCTGCACAACAGAGAAATGGAGAGAGACAGAGAAAGAAATAGCCAGACGGACAGACATACAGATAGATAGGGAGACAGAGAGAGAGAGAGAGAGAGAGAGAGAGAGAGAGTTTGTTGTATAGTGACAGTAAATGCTCTAGGCGGATGCTGCTTTCGCTGACGTCTGCGCCTCCTCGCCCTCGGGGAGGCCCAGAAGAACACCATCTGAGCAGGCTCACCAAAAAATTAGGGCGAGGCATCACTCTTCAATAGCAAAGAGTGGCAAAGGTCAACATGAGCAAAATAGCAAAAGCGAGGACCTCGAGCAAGGCAAACGGCTTGCTCTGTTTTTGCTCTGCTCGTTCGCACCTGGTTCGTGAGCAGCATGTTGCTCCGCGACCCGCGTGCCGTTGATGCGTTCGCCGCGGGCCTCGGAAGACGACACATCGGCGAGAGCAGGGCAGCGGATTTCGCCGCGGGCCTCGCGGCGCCGAAGCATCGGTCAGGGCGAGAGCGAACACGGCTTGCATGGCTCGCTTCCTCTGCTCCAAAGCTCCATCGCTGCCAGCTGCCAGTGCCCTCCAAAGATCTGCCAAGCTTTCTGAAAGCTCTCTGACTACCGGCTACTGTTTGCTGCCTCTGCCTACAAAACCACAGGTCGGCGCTTCAGGCCCAGGCATTGAAAGCTGAGACGGCGAGCAAGGAGAAAAGAGCAAGAGCAAGAGCGCTCTGTTTTCTGCGCATGGCGTATCTCCCCAGCCATGCTCTAGAGCCCCTCCCCTGGGCACCGATGCTCGCCTCGCTCAACACCGTGGAGTGCTCAATTTGCGCAGAGGTATGGGAAGTCTTCTGAAAGCGCTGCTAGTGACTAGCGATGGCATCCAGTGATGCAAGTGAGGCCATAGCCAAATCACTTCACATGATCGTGCCCCAGTGCGCTGCAAGGCTCAGTAGCTGGGGCCGGTGACCGTCTCCTGCAGCTCCAAGTCACGAAGAGTCGGACTCGGACAACCTTCCAACCTCACTTCCGAAGCTGTCTCGGTGGCCACGGCTTTCCTCCAAGCCTCGATGGCAAGAGCAAAGTGCTCTCTCTGTGTCTCTCGCAGCAGCTTCAGCCTTCGGCTGCCCAGCTGTCCTGCTTGCCTTGTGGCGGCAAGGGCTCTCTAAGCCAACACTCCAGACTCCAGGCTCTGGACGCTTGATTTTGTGCATGAGCCCGCGCTGCTCCTGCGAATCGTACTGGCCACCATCATCCACTCATTGAGACTGAGCCGAGCCAGCTGCCTCCAGCTGTCGCTGCAGCTCGACATTCTCTTTGCCGCGGGGTGACCTCACGCATGCAGCCGAGCCCACTCTCCACCACCCTTTATTCTTATGCCATCCTTCACCCTTACAGCACAAGCCCCAAGCCCCCAATCTCTGGCAGCGGACATGCGCTGCTTCAGGTGCGGTTTCAGCACCAGCGAGGCATCCTTCGCAGCCTCGACATGAGAGGATCCGCGAAGCCCCAAAGCCCCCCCAAACAGCCCCAGCCTCGTGCCAACGAGCATCCCGCTCGTCAAGGCCACGCTTGAGATCCCGGCAGCGCTCCTCCGCTCTCTTTAGCGATTAATTAAAAGCATATTCGCTTTAAAGAGAGCACTTAATCTCTGAGAACTTCGCCAAGAAAGAGACTGTGACGCACCCTTCACCACTTGTCCTCCTCGGCTCGCAGCTTGGCCTCGCGCTGGTCCAGGTCTGCTTGCCGGCAGTGCAGGTCGGCGTTGCGGTTCCGGGCGTCCTCTGCAGCGGAGCCCTGCGAAGCCTCGATGCTGCGGTCCTATGGTCCTATGGTGCTCTGGCCTGAAGCTGCTGTTTCAGGCCCTCCTCCTTGGAGCTGAGCTCTGCCAGGCCTCTGGCGGCGCTTCGGGACTGCACTTCGGCTTGGTTTGCTTTGTCCTGGGCTTTCCGGCGGCTTTGGCTTTCCTTCCGGTGCTGCTCCTCCGGCCCAGCCCAGACGGTCTCACGCTCGGTAATCAGGGATCAGGTGATCCCACGGCAACAGAAGCGTCCTCGCGCTCCGTGAGCCGATCGAACATCTTCGCCAAGTCGGCCTTGATGAGCCAGAAAGCGCAAACTAGCCCTCCAGAACATTCCAGGGCTCTTCGAAAACTCCGCCTCCCTGTCAGCGACACGCTTCTCGCGAGAGACCAGGTCGGACTGAAGCGGATGTGAGCGTCAAGAACCGAAGCACTGCTTTTGCAATAGGGCGATGGCCGGTTGCACATGCACAACAAGCAAAAACGTCTAGCCGTCTCCGGCAAAAGTCCTGAAGATGCTTCCCTCCATCTGCAATCGGGACATCCCGTGATATCCCTTCCGATGTTCGCCTCTGACTGCCGTCGCTTCATGCTTGAGGCAGCGCCCCCAAACCAAGCCGACAAGCAGCCAAGCCCTTTCGCAGCTCCACGAGTGTTTGAGAACAGAAACGATGACATGACGCACCACCTTTGGCGCGCCACATGACATCGACAGCACCAGCCAAGGGTGACGACAGGCAACATAAAAGCACAACCTGCAGCCATTAGAACGATCATGATGATGGCTAGATGAGAACGAAAATACATGGTAAGGAAAGTTACTGAACTGAGTCTGACAATACTTGTTGCGGCTCGCACAGGGCGAGATTCGCCGCACTTGCACTAGCGTGTTTGTTGCGGGGGGAGCCCGTGCCTTGGCTTCATCCTGGACCATCTTGAACGAAAAGCGTGTGTACCGCCACCGAAACATACGGGAGAGGAGGGCCCGAAAGCTCCACTTCCCGGCCGGACCTCGCGGGCGGTCACGTTGCGCTCGCGGCCCTCCAGCCTTTCCTGTGCCAGATGGCTCTGATCTGTCCTCCTAACACTCGCCGGCCCACCTGCAGCTCCATGCAGCGCGCCTCTCGCATGCGCAGCTCGCGCTGGAGCCGTGCACGCCTGCAAAGCTCAGCGTCGCAGGGTTTGGGGAGTGTCGGACGGGGACCACGCTCGTCTTCCAAGGACTCCTGAGACGGCTCGTCGGTGTCAATGATGCTCTCTGCCTTGCAACTCCTGCCTCCGTGGCATGGAGCAAACGCTCCGGCCCCGGCCAGGCAGCCTTTATTCTTTTGCGAGGAGACTGAAACGCAACTTCCTCAACAACATGCCGATCGCTGGTTTGTCGGGCGTGGGCGCAAAAGCTCATCAAATGGATCCTGCCTTCCACTTAACACCCCATTGCCAAGCCTCCGGTATGGTCTCGTCTGAATGGCGCGAGGCCTAGACTAGGGAAGGATCTGAGGCCAGGTTCAATTGTTTTGGGCTGTTGTTTCCAGATGCTCTACGTCAAGCTGCCGAAGCCTGTTGAATAGCAGTGCGCCTCATCTGACCGACCAGTCGCGTCGATCAGGCTGTGCGAGTACCGGAACTGCAGCCCCACCCCCACTCACACGCACTTAGCTGGTCCCCAAGAGTTGAAGCCTCATTGGTGACCCGGGGCGATGCTCGAGCGTCCCTGCGAAGCTCTCAAAGACAAAGCGGCACCCGAAGCCCCAAAGAGCCTCGTTTGGGGCACCGACAGAGCCATGGCAGCTCGGCCCGCCGAGGCGCCCCGCAGAGCGGCACCGCTCTGTGCCTGAAAGACTTTGAGTGACCTGTGACCTCTTGCTGGGCTCTTTCCTCCGCACCTCGGAGCGGAGCGCCTTCGAGGCCTGGGTCGGGAGCTTGGGAGCTTGATGGGAGCTTGAGAAGCTGAGCACTCCCGCCTGCCGAGGCCGGGGCGGTCGGGGCGGTCGGGGCGGCTGGAGTGGCCCGGAGCTCGCCGTCGCCTCAAAAGGCGCCGCCGGCCCGTCGCATTCGGCCCCGCGTCGCAAAAACGCTCCTGGAAGGTAGACGCCCGAGCCGCCCGAGGGGTTCGAGGACGCTCCGTGCTGGGCCTCGCTAAACTAGGACTCAAACTTCGGGGCCCTAGACGGGGCGCTACGGGGCCCTGGAGCTCTGCCTGTCGCTGAGAGGTGCCTCCAGCGCCCGCCGAGCGCCTCTCTCAAACTCTTGGTGCAGGATTCACCTAGTCATAGGCTGGGACTCCGTGCCCGGGTACGAAGGATAGCACCTGCGGGTTGCAGGACTCTCCTCTACGCCTGCGCGCCACTTGAGCCGCCTGACGATTTGCAGGCTTCGGAGTCGTCTTTGCGCTGCCACTGGGCAACCCAGGACCCGATTGTCCCGTCCGCCTGCAGGCTGAGCAGGAAGAAACAGACCGCCCTGGTCCGAGAAAAACTGTGGCTAGGACGTTTTGCCCGGCGATCGTGGGAAGGATAACCTGTGCGCGCAGACACAGAGAGAGACAGAGACAGAGACAGAGAGACAGAGACAGAGACAACAAAGAAGACACAAAGACATAGAGCGAGAGCTAGAGAGAGCGAGAGCGAGAGCGAGAGCGAGAACAGAGACAACATCCGTCGCTTACAATGACATTCGATGCAACGCTCCTGTACATGAGGCGCCGGCCCCTGATTGGATGCCACAATGACGGCGGTGGGGTTCTCGGGAGATGTCGCACCTGAGCGACACGAGATCCCAGATGTGTGTTCGGAGATTTGAGAAGTGTGAAAGAGGGCGGAGCGGGCTGTCGAGGGCGGCGTCCCCTGGCGGCTGGGGACCTCGAAATTCGAAGCGAAGCGTTCTCAGAAAAAAGACAGGTAGACAGGTCTCTCTACCGGAGCGTTTGCTGAGCTCCCTGCACGGCTCGGAGGGCCGAAGCCGGTCACCTCCAAGAAGACCCACCACGACCAAGACCCACAAGACCACTCAAAAAAACACCTTCTTCCCCTTCTTCGGCGGCCCACTTCCCTTCGGCCCTTCTGTGAACCGGCTGCTGGGCGCCCGGACGCCGGCAGGAGGGGTGAAAGAGCCTGGCTCCCGATCTGGCAAATGCTGCCTGAGCCAGGCTTTCCTGGATGTCAGAAAAACGGAAAACGGATACTCCAGCCGCCAGCCTGCTCAAGCTAGTTGGTAAGCACGGGAAGGGCGGTGCTGGGCCGGCTGGGCCCTGCGTAGCACCATCAGCACCCCAGATTGATCCAGATTGCAGGGCAGGGCCCGGTCCCGCCGGTCCTGACTCCGTGACACCACCGCCTGAACTTGTGGCGCAGTCGCCTGGCGCACGCAGCAAATTCTGCCGACAACCTGCGCCGCTGTGTCTGAGGTTTCGGCCGTGGCTTGCGCTGAGACCGTCACGGGCCACTGGCTCCAACCTGCTTTAAGCGGCTCCGTAGAAGGTCAGAGACGTGCAAAGAATAGACAATTTCAAGTTTCCGGACCTTGTGGGCCCGGCCGCGTGTGCATGGCCTGGGCCGGAAGAGAGGAGGGCAGGCACAGCCAGGCCATCAGTCGATCCACCTTTTCGGCCTTCGGTGCGACGAGTGTGCCTGCAGGGAGCTGGTGATGGTTTCATGGAGACTACATCCGCGGAGGCAGCGCCCGCCTCGGAGGCTGAGGCAACCCCGCTTAAAGCTCCACCGAGCCCGAGATCTCTGGGAGCCCAAACCCCAGCTGCAGCGACGCGAAAGTTGGAGCCTTACATGTCTTTCTCCTGATCAGAGCCAAGCACCGACATGTCTGCTTTGCTTCTTCAGCTCTGCACATGACGTGCAAGCTTGTGCCACGCCCTGAATGGGAGCCTGGCTAAATTCCGTGACAGCGCTTGGCGATGCCCCGCAGAATCCTGGCTGAAGGAAAGAGAAGCGCTCGGCCCTCGAGGCACGAGTTGAACGTAAAAGGCCTGAACCAAGGCAGCCAGGCTCAGCCACGGCCGGCCAGCCAGGGCCAGGCAACTCTAAGCAACTCTGAAGGGATCCGCAACTTGGCCGGCGAGCTCCGCTCTGCCTGAATCAAGTGCTCGGATCCTTAATACGGGAACCAAAATCCAAATGCGCTCTTAGGTCGCATTGTGTAAAAAAAGAGGAAAGGGTTCTGCACAGGCCCCGGTCGACAGCGAAAGTGTGGTGGACCGAGAATCTCACCACACGACCGGGCTGCTCCTTAAACTGAACATGGGGCCACAATTACGCCGGGGCACCAGCAAATACGAAGCGAACTATTTTCGCAGGCCGGTTATGGCCCAAGGGTGAAACCAGGAGTGTAACGAATCATCTACATCTCCACAACTCTGCGTATGACGATGTCCTGAACTTGAAATGCAAAGACTCCACGAAGTGCTGTGCTGACGAGGTGACGGACGTCCTTGTTCAGAAGTTCGGGATCTTTCTGAATCAGCTTCAGGTACTTGTCCAGCCTAGGAGATGGAAACAACAAATCGTGATGTAACTGGTAACTGTTTGTTGGACAAACGCATCCTGCCATCCTCCCGCTCGGCTTCACCAACACTCGTGACAAAAAGGAGTTTACAACAGCCTCAACATCGCACCAGTAGTAATGCTTAGAACTCTGCCTGTCCTGGGAAGGAGGTTTTGCCTTGTCCAGTTGCAGTCCAGCGTCCGGGCCATGTGCGATTTGTGCGTGGCCTTCCGGAGCACTCCAAACACACGGCGGCTGACCGGTTGATCATCGATCAACCCCCAACCCAAAACCTTATGTTCATCCACGCATGACTATCTTCTAGCCAACCTCATGACTCTTGGCAAAGGATCTATGCATAACTGTGCCGCTGAAGGCGAAACGAAGCAACGCGTTGTTGGCCTTGGTCGGCCGCCCGGGGTGGTTATCACAGTCCTCCGTACCTGCCCGGTGTGCACAAGGCAGCGTTTCCGTTTCGAACTCAAGCAACCCGGGCACATGACATCGACTCGAAGCTTAGCAGACCCTCCTGGCACAAAGACAGGGTGAGTGTACAGAGCAAAATGCACACGAAGATTTGTATGCACCATGTACAAGCTTACAAGCACAAGCCATCCCTCTGATACCGCCGGTGCAAAAAAACGCGGAAAACTCCGCACAGTGATACAACGAGCCATGTATCCCGATAACAACCACACAAGTGGCGCAATGCGGTCCTTGAAGTCGCAGGAAATCTCCTGGCCGTCCTTGCAGAGGTGCTTGAAGGTCATGTGAAGAGACCCCGAAGGATGTCAATGCTCGAAGGTACCCACCGCCGCCGATTGGCAGATTGGTCCCCCCTCCCCCTCGTATTCCGGGCTGCTGAAACAACTCATCGTGCGGGTTTCTTCTGCTGAAGAGGATGACATTGAAACCAAGAACGCATGCTGCCTTTCGTTCGGAGAGGAGGGGACCTGAAATGGAGATGCAGACTCCTTGAAGTTGACGCTGCAGTCGGCCACACGCGCGGAGTGCTTGCCTTGTCGGCCAAATGCCGCTCGAGTGTTCAGGCTGTGTACAATAGCAGAAGCTTGCCCGAAGGTTCTTGAAGCCTTCATGAATGGAACGGGCCCTCCAACAAGGGCCCCGCCACCAAACTCTTCAGTCACCGTGCTCGAAGAGCAGCCCATGAGGTGCCTCTAGCAGTAAGGCACACGTGATACAACGTGTTACATCACGTCACATCGCACGACACGACACGACACGACATTAGATTTCCCATCCCTTTCGTTACAGTACGCTACACTACGTCACTATGTTACATTGCGTTGCATTACATTGACATGACCTGACACCACACTAAAGAACAGAGAGGCTTACAGCTCCCCTTTGAGGGTCCCGAAAAAGAGTGTGTCGCACACGTTGAGTTCCTGAACAAGGCCTTGATTTAGAGACTATCCAAGGGCCTTTAGGACTGGACTGCCTTGACGTGCCCCCCGGACTGTACTTTTCTGTGCTCTACGTAAGGTGAGGTACTGTGCTGTCTTGTCCTGCACTGTATTGTCTTCTATACTTATGCCACAGCAAACTATATACTCCACTCCACTCTACTTTTCTTTACACTGCGCTGGCCTGGAAGAGCGAACCAAAGGAATCTGACTGCTCCAGGCTGGCTCACTACCGCTCGGCGGCTCGGTGGCTCGGAGCAGAGTCTGAAGTTCCGCGAAGTTACGGAGACGTTACGTTCTCAGCAGAGCGGTAGTCACAAGACTCACGAGACGCCTTTTTCCTGCGTCTTCGCCTCGCCTCGGCCGCCTCGGCCGCCTCGGCCTCTCCATGGGCTGCCTTTGGCAAAGCCCTCTGAATTACAGTGCACACAGGTTATGCCTGAGATTCGAGTTGCGGAGTTGCGCTGGCTGCGCTTCAAACTCCGAATAAACCCCTGGATCAACACCTACGGCTCTACCCAATAAACGCGCGCCTACACTCTACACCTTGAAGCCAAAGACGGAGATGGCGTTGATGAGGTCCTTGTTTGTCAAGGTACCTATTGCACAAATGTGGGAACTGACCCGCTTTGCCCACTCTCCCAAAGAGGGCCTGTCCGCTGCTTGTCGCATTTGGGAGGCAGCCTGCCCAACGCTCGCAAGGTCTCTTGGGCGGGCATGGCCGCGTACCGTACCGTTGTGCCTCACAGGGAAGTGGCCTCCGGGTGCGATCCTTCCAGGTGGGGGGGATGGGATGTGGGCTTTCGGGCTTTCGGGATCTTTCGGGCTCGGCTCGGGCCCGGGCTCGTGGGGGACCATGACCGCAAGCCATCTCTCTTTCCAGTGGCCTTGGCCTTTGAAGGCCAGAAACTCCCCAGCCTGCACCGAAGGTGGCACCTGACAAACATAGAATCCCCTACAACGGCGATCAAACTCGGGCCCGCACATGCACGACCATGCATGTGGGCAAGACCGTGAAGGAATCGCCAGGCCCTTTGCCTGCAGATGTCGGAGGTTGTCAGACTGATTTATGTGGTGGTCGGTGCAACAAGGGCCGCCTGCTGGAATCTGAAACTGCAGAGACCTGCCTTGGCCTGACGCCAAGGGAGCGAGGGACGAGTAAAGCTTCGCAGGGTTTGGCTTTGGCTTCCCGGCTGTCCAAGTACCGGATGAAGCCACCTGAGCTGAAGCCTCGGAAGAGGACGGTTGCGGACGGGCGGAGAGGACGGGCGGAGAGGACGAGCGGAGCGAGGCTGGGACCTGGGGGCACCTGCAGTCAAGGGAAAGCAGAAGCAACGAGACACCAGGTCACCAGACCCCAAAGCACTTGCTCCCTGCTCCGACCTTCACCTCGTACTTGGGAGGTGCGCTCAGGTCGAAGGTCACCCGCCTGTTTGCTGTCTTGCGCTCGCACTGCTCTGCTGCTCTGCTGCTCTGCATCTCAAGTCTCCGACTCACCCGGCCGGGACTCCGGGGGTGCTTTCACCTCGCCATCTTCGCCGGCGTCGCCCATCGCAGAAGCGCGAGACGCGCGAGACGCCCGAGACGCGCGAAAGGGAGGAACTCGGGAAACGGAAAGCCGAAACGCCTCGCCTCCAGCTTGAAGTCCTGGATCTCGACCTTAGCACAGACGGCTCGGCTCGGCCCGCTTCTGCTGTAGAGCCGAGCTAAGGTAAGGCCGAGGGAGGCACGAGGATCGGTAAACCATCGGCAGGCACCACGGCGGTGAACGTGACCTGGGCACAAGCGAAGGGTGCTTCTGCGTGACTTTTTTGAGGCACGGCTTCTCCAACTGGGCGCCCCTTGCACTCTGGGTGGCCACGGTAGCGGTGAATCCGTCCGGCGGCATAGAGGACGTCGCAGGGTGAGGCAGTGGGAAGGCATCGACCTAAGCCGGAGCGAACATCTTCTTCTTACGGTTGCGTCACGGAGAGGCCGAGCAGCTCCATCTTCCTCTGGCTGCTCCGTGACATAGTCGGCAATGGTCACGAGGCCACCTGTAAGCCGCCCTCAGCTCGGCCTCCCGGCCTCCCGGATCCCCTCCGTAGCTTACGGTTGCTATGTTCAACTGGCGATTGGAACTTGTGCTCTTTCGCACTTATGGCACTTATGGAGCTCTGCTCAAACATTCTGAGCCTCGGACGTGTGCATGACAGCAATGGCACATCCTGCCATCACATCCGAGCGACAGAGCGGACCAACCCTGTTGCTCGGCATCGACACTTGCCTCCTCCTCATCGATGATATGCATGAAGCCCTCGACATTCTCGACCTGGCTGAAGAAAGATGCGCGCAGCAGCCGACCCTTATCGCAGGTATTGCCTCGCCACCACCCGTGCACACCACGACTTCCTTGCGAGGCACCACGAAGGAAAGGAGATGCGACAAGAGGCACGTGGGACGTTTAAGCTAGGCTAAAGATCTAATCAAGCACTCTTTCACTCATACAGCCAGTCCCGAGGTGTCGGGCTGATGATGCCCCTCGGACATCGCAGGTAGCAGAGTCGGAGTCACTGCTACTCAGCTCATCCAGAAAAAGCCGATGGTATTTTGCAGTTCACAGGAAGAGAGGCAACAGACGGAAAGAGATCTGGCCTCTGAAGCACAGCTGCCGAAGGGCGCACAGCATGGGATTCCGCTCTGCATGTAGAGGCCACCCTGTTCCTGCTGTCCCTGCTGTTGCGAACGTAAAGAGTCAGGAGTGATACAAAATGTGAGGGAGTTCCGCTACTCGGCGTGCACTGTGCAGCTCACTCGATCCCACTGGAACCTTACACTGTACACTGTACAAACAGCTCAGTTACAATGAATCCGTGAACCTGCTCATGGCCCTCCGTCATGCGTGACATTCCATGTCTGTGCCACACCTCCGGTCGAAACTGAACCATCATCATAGTAGCCGTCTGCACCGCCATCTCAGCTACGAGGCTGCAGAACACTTGTGTTTTCTGCGACCACTCGCTTGCATCCTGACCGCTCTAGTTTAGTCATTCGGCGCAATCTGCACACCCGAGTCCAGGTGCCTCCCTACCTACAGCGCCGTGTGCGTGTGCATATGTGTGTGGGTGTGTGTCCGTGTGTGTGCCTGGGGTGACTCTGAGGCTTGCACGGCTGTGACATCTCTCCCGGCACCTGGGTCCTCTACTGCTTTGGGGCCGACACCGTATTCTGCCCTTCTGAGACCACACGACGAGCGCTCTCAGCGCTTCCATGCCGCCACAGCCGCCACAGCCTGTCTGCGGATCAGAACCTGGCAACAGCCCGGCAGCACGTCGCTCCGTTTTCATGTGCCGTGCCTAAAGCTCCTCTTTTGGGAAGCAACAGCCTCGGCCACTTAACGCATCTTGTGATAGCAAAGATATGATCTCTCAGGAGACAGCCCTTTCCCTCTCTTTTCTTTGTCAGGGCATGAGGGGCGTGTCAAACCCCCCGGCCGCGCCCCCCGCCCCCAGTGTTTCTGGTTTTTTTGGAGGTGTGAAAATGGTTCGGCGAGCACAACTTGTTGACGAGAGAATAAGTATCCCTCCCTCCCTCCCTCCCTCCCTCCCTCCCTCCCTCCCTCTCTCTCTCTCTCTCTCTCTCTCTCTCTCTCTCTCTCTCTCTCTCTCTCTCTCTCTCTCTCTCTCTCTCTCTCTCTCTCTCTCTCTCTCTCTCTCTCTCTCTCAGGCGGGCTGGAGGCTTTGGCTTTCTTTTGATGCTTCAGGGCTTACTAAGGGGCGGGTCAGCACTCCTGACCCCCCGATTGTCAGTCAAAGCCAGCCTTCCAAATACTGAACTCCAGTCAACGAGGCTTTGTCTCCTCTTACCAAAGCTCCATAAGATACCGGTAATGTGAGAAACAGGTGCGCGCTCTACGGCCTTTTTGTTTCGGGCACAAGAATCCCGTGACGGGCCCTCACACACACACACACAAAATTTTGGAGGTTTCTGCTGACATAAGTCGGTGAAGAAGCTTAGCGTAGTGCGCACATCATGCCACCTTCGGAGAAGCCTTTGAAAACACGTGTTGCCAGTCCCTGCAGGCGCGCAGGGTTCACCGGCTGTGACTACGGCTCGAGTATCTATCCCAAAGAACAGGATTTAAGGTCACTGTTCAGCACAGCCCTTCCTCCCTCGCTCTTTCTCTAGGATCCTCTTGTTCGGTGCTCTTTGGGAGTCCCAGGCGGTCGTAGTTGTAGACGCCATCCCAGCACTGGGCATTGCCGTTGGGCCCGAACCTGGCGACGCAAACGGAAGAATCTGCAACTCCGCCGCTACCAGGAGTCGCGGCTATTTGGTCAAAGACACTGCTGATGCAGCCAAAGGTATGAGCAAGGCCCCGCAGAGCCGACCGGCCAACCGAGTACAAATGTGTCGGCAGGTTTGCTTCGCTTCGCAGCAGTTCTCATAGCCGAAGCCCTCGGCCCAACCTTACCGAAGGTCTGTCCGCGCTCTGAGCTCTGCACATCGAGACATCTGCAACTGTGCGAGTCTCGCACACTCGGAGTTGCCCAAGGGTAACACCTGGGCCGAAATGCCAAAGCAAAGGCGGCCTTCGAAGGCCATGAGAACGGAGGCCACGAACTCCGCTAAAAATCCTCTAGTTCGTGGGGCGATGAAGCAACATCATCACTCCGCCTGCCACAGCCACTATGCAGACGATGCACTCGCGCCAAGAGCCGGAGGCTGGGATTTGGAAAGACCACCCCCGGCTTCGCTTCACGCAGGTATCCCACGTTGGCTTCCGGCGAAGACTTCAACTTGCAGCCTCGCTCTAGCTCGGCTCGCGGCTGTCGTACCGGGTGGGTAGCAACTCTTCGACCCGGAGATCCAGCCCTCGCCTCCAGCGGAGCGTTTAGTGTGCACGCGTGTCACACCACTCCAGACCGCTCGACCTGCTTCCCTTCCATCGTCACTGGTTCGGAACCAGCACCTGGCAGTACAGAGACAAATCGCTTCAACCCCTCACACCGCAGCTTGGGCTCCGCACTTCTGCTCACCCTCCTCGGTTCCCCACACCTCAGCCATGGCCATCTCATCCACAGACGCTTGGGGACTTCAAAGGAATCTTGGATGCACACCCAATGAGTGCACCTGAAACACGAACAGTCCGGTGACCCTATGCCCTGTGCCCATGGCCTGGACCTATGCAAGGCCAGCCCCTCCCAAGGCGCTGGCTCAGGCAAGGAGAAGCACACCTTCAAAACCACAACCCCAAGCGGAAAACCGGAGGCTTGTGTTCAGACTCTTTCTGACCTTTGCACAGGACTCGATCTCGTTGGCCACGAATTTGTCGCTGCCTCAAGCTGCAAGTCAAGGCCTCCCACAATAATCTCTTGAGAGTCCAGGGCTGGCACTCATGCAATCGTCGAGGAAGCAGCCGATGACTGCGCCGTAACCTCTCAGTCTCAGTCTTCCCCGCACATGCTTTGCTTGCTTTGCTGTTGGGAGGCTGCACACGCTGGCTGCACCTTGCAGGTTCGTGAAGAGCGCCTTTCCCGCGTTTCGGATCACAGTGTTTTGCTCCTGGCCGAAGCCAAGAGTCCAATTTTTGCGGAAGTGGCTCCGAATCTCTGCGCCTGACAGGCGGGCCAGTTCTGCGCTCGGGCCACAGAAAAGGCCAGAGCCTGAAGGAGTCGGACGGAGACAGAATTGTGAGTCCAAGGCCAAGGCCGCGGCCAAAGCCAAAGCTCGGACCTGGCACTTCGTCTGAGGAACATCGGAATGCCAAAGGCAAAGACGGGGCCCCGGGCCATGGCAAAGCTGCAAAGCTTCCGCTTCCTCCGAGCGGGTTTTGCTTTGCGAAACGTGGGATCGGAGGCTCTGACCGTCGGAGGCGGAGCGCCTCGGCCTTAAGTGGGCGCTGGGCGGAAACCGGCGAAACAAAGCGATTGCCGGCAGCTCCAGGAACGAACCGCTTGGAGCAAAAAAGGCGCGTTAAGCGAAAGTTCCGAGCTGGTCGTGGAATCCCGCTTCGCCGTGAGCCGGTGCTGGTGTCGCTAGGCCGCTCCGGCGAAGAGGCAGAGGCTGTTTTACGGATCGGCTGCAAGGTCGGCCCCATCGGCCACGTCGGCCTCGCTCTCACTCACCGCCCCGCGCAGGTGAAACGCAGGGGTGTAAGCAGGCTCTGGCCTCAAGGGTGCCAGGCAGTCCCTCAACTCACAGCTCCCACAAGTCGGCCTCTGCGGAAGATCTTCTCCTGTTCAGACGCTCACCGAGCCATGACAAGCCCCAAAGCCCGACACTGCACTTTGCTAATTCTTTCTGTTCCGCTTCGCCGTGACCTGCAGAGAAAGCACCAGAGGCCAAGGCCTCGGCAGATTTCCCGGCCGGCGGGGCGCGGGCCGCACGTACTTGCAGCGCTCTCTCCAAGTTCCCGGCAGGGTGCACTGGCACGCTCAGCTCACTGCGGAGCCTCCGAAGAAGAAGGCCCCTCTTGGGCTCGTTTGGGAGGAATTCCGCCGCTCCCACGGTCCTCGCCACTTCCACGGCCAAGCTTTGCCTGCGCGCTCGCTCCAATGCGCATCGGTCGCCGCTAAGACCTCGGAGAGCAACCGAGAAAAAGAGCGGAGCAGATCGGAGCAGAGCAGAGCAGAGCGGAGAAGGCATCCGAGTCCGAGCATGCGGCTGCAGTTGGATAGTGCCGTGAATCCCATGCTGGCAACCTTGTTTCGATACTGCGCACTGCCATCAGCCCGAACAGCGCGCCACCTTCCTAAATCATCGCCTGTGTTCATGCAGCACCCACAACCTTATGCCTCACATAACCGCCTGCGTGCATGCTTGCTTGTGCTATTGCCTCTGCTGCATGAACAACGCTATGTCGGAAGCTCGACAGAAGCTCCTGTTTACATCCAACATGATGCACCACGTACACTACACGGACAGCTGCGGTTGGATGTGGTGGGAAGACGCAGCACTGGGCTTCAGCAAGCCTTCACTCACACGGATGTGGGTGACGCACATCAAACTAAACCACAAGCTCTGTGCTGACCTGGAGCCAAGAGACAACATGCACCATGGGCACCACCCCTTTACGGACAGTAAAGCCAAGATCCAACCGAAGCACACGACAACCCAGCACTATCCGCACCACCTCTTTACTGAAACCTGCTGGTGAAACAGCAGTTCGAGTAATTTGCCCGAAAAGTTTCAGCTGTGCTTTGTGGATGTGGTGTGTGAGTGGAGGCTTTGTGAGGAACCTGATGTCATGTCTGACTGGTGCAAGCGTGGGGCGTCAGGATGTGCTATTGAAATCAAGGATTTTGCGGAAGCATTGAGAGTGGAATGCCGCATGCTGATTGAAGTGCCTGTGGTGAAGGCCGCGGATTCAAGGCTGTAGGTGACAAGTGGAATGAAACCTTGCGTTGAGCTTCCACTCGAGTGCGACGTCGGCGTTTCTCCAAGACTGATGCAGAGAGTGGACGTGTTTGCCAAGTTGGCGAGTCCAGTGGTGATGTCTTTGTGAGCTGAGCCGTCGCTTGGGGTGACCCCGAGGAATTTCGCACGTTCAACGGGGGCGCTCTGTAGATGTGGTACCAGTAGTGTTCTGTGAGGTGGCGACCTGAGGAGAACACATTTCTTGAGATTGACTCGCTACAGCGTCTGGAGCGGTTGCCCTGTGCGTGCTGCTGTTTCCTGCCACCAGTGGTGTGTCGTCGACGTAAGCTACGTCGTGGAATGGTTGGTTTTGGGCACGTGGGCTGTATGGAACAGGCAGGCCGATGCATCCCTGTCGTTGTTCAAGTGTGACCTGCAGCTGAAACTGCGAATTGTGGTGAAGTGTGGAGGTTCTTGATGCATGCTGCTCATGAGGTGCACACCGGACCTCGGGAGGGCTGTGAGGAGCACGTCTGGGTGTATCTTGTCAAACGCCTTCTCACAGTCAAGGAGGATGGTGTGGAGTGATTGTCCTATTGCCTACGAGTCTGTGTGTGGGTTGTGAGGTGTAACCAGGTACTGTGAGGGGCGCAACTTGTCGTCATTTGCTGCTTTCAAGCTGCTGTGTATCAGCTTGGCTAGTAGTTTGTATGCTGTGTTGGGAAGGGAGATTGGTCTGTAGCTGGCTGAATCCGTGAGTGGACCTTTGCCCTTGCAAGTCTTCACGATGACGGCTTGATGCCAGTCATCTGGGATGGTGGTTGTGAGCAGGGACTCGTTCAGAACTCCGCGCAGGGCTTCGAGATTGCGCTCGTCTAGCCATTGCCAGATCTCAGCTGGAAGTGGATCGTGCTTTCCGTGTAGGGTCAGGGCATCCAGCCTTCAAGATAAAGGCGCTCGCTGTCAGCGGTGCCTAAAGAGTCTTTGTGGGCAGTGGCATTACCGTCGTCATGACATGCATAGGTGTTCCAGCACCACGTTCCTGACAAGATCTCCAAGAGAGTCGCAATGGGTTCCGGTGTGGCCAATGGCTTCACTTTCACCCCTATCCCGACAGAAGCAGCATACATATTATGCATACATGCATACACTGTACATGCATACATGCTTACCTACATACTTACACGCACACATATTTCTACATACCTACGTACCTACATACCTACACCTTCCTGCCTGCCTGCCTACTTACCTACCTAGCTGCCTACCTACCTACCAACTTTTCGATGGTGCTGTGTTCTTTTTCGCTGCACACTAGGAGAGACGCGCCCACGTGCACCCACATCTGTCTCCGGCTCTACTTGCTTGACTTGGGGCACGACCAAGATCCCGAAGATCCCGATGGTAAGGCTGCGCTCAAGCGGGGAGCTGCGGTGGAAGAGGTCCTGGTCACATGCAGCCCGGACCCATCCAACGGCCCGAATTCCGAACCTCGCCGCCCTCGAGCCAAATCAGCAGCCTTTCAACGCCTTGGCGACGCTGCCTACGTCTTCCAGTCCACTTCTCTACGTCTTCTGAAGCCCCATGGCTGCCGCCACCATGAACGTGCCGCTTTTCCGATCTCGCTTGCGCCTCGAGAACCGCCCAAAGTGCGATTGTGAGTACGACTAAATCGTTCTCAAAACATTGAGTCTCACTTTACTGCACACAGCACTTCCGGATACACTCCCTCCCCTGCTTGCATGCATGCTTTCTTGCTTGCTTGCTTGCTTGCTTGCTCTCTTGCCCCATGCGCGACACTGTTAAGATGAGGCTTGAACGCTGCACCTCAGAGTCTTGGAGGCCTCAAAAGGCGGGATGAAGGTAGGTAGGATTAAGGATCCCTTTCAAAAGGACTCTTATTTTGGGATTACCCCACCTACCTTCATCCCATCCCTGGAGCCCATTGAGAGTTCAACACCTCTTGTCTCTTACAGTACCGCCCACCTCCCACCTCAGCTGCGTCAGCCCACTCGTCATCGGGGGTGTGCCATGACCCCAGTGCAAACACGTGATGCCTGTGAATGCAAACATCCACAACCACTTGGGAGCTCGGTCTCTCTCTCTCTCTCTCTCTCTCTCTCCAGTGTCTCTGCATGATGTCCATGCAAAGTCAGTCTCGTCCAGTTTGACGTTTCTGCGCTCTGGACTCTTTGTGAGCCGTGCTGCACGATCTGGCCCCGCTCGCGCCCACTGCGCTCTGAGTCTCTGAGGCTGCCGGCGATCCGCCGTGGCTCCCGCCGCGACGACTCGGAGGCATCGCCATCGCCGTCGCCTGGAGCGATGCTCCGCTCCGCTCCGCTGCCTCTCTCTCTCTCTCCCTCTCGGCTCCGAGCGGCTCTGCGAATCAGGTGCCAACCCGGCCATGGCCGCGGGTCTTCTTTGAGCCCTTCGCGGCGCTTCGACTTATCATGCTTCCTGACAACACTCAGCCTGCCGGCTGCGGGAAGCCTTTCTGCGCCCAGCATCCCGAAATCGGTACTTGTGACTGCTACAGCATGTTACAGATAGAACCCCAAAATGCAGCCGGCATGCCGGCCGCTTCTTAAAATGTAAGCATCTTAAATTGAAGGCATCAAGCATGCGGCGGGCAAGATCCCATGTCAGTCTCGCCCAGCTCGCCCCGATTCGGAAACCGATGCATCTGCCTCTTGTGGGCCTGGACTGTCCGCTGAATCGGGGTTACTGCAAACAGCCCCTTGTAAAACTCTCCGTACTTCTCTCCTGGGTCCCTTCTGACGTTGTAGAACTCCATGTTCGGCAATCCTCCCATGCTCCCCTTCAGGTGGACCTTGAAGTCTTTGTGGCGAATGGCGCCCAACCTAGCATAGCAATTTAAGACTTTAAGGGCTCCTAAATGGCCACTGCACAGTGATCTTCCAGGGCCCGACTCGCTGCCACTGTAATGGAACATAGTGCTCCTAAACGATTTGCTTTTTGGAGTCATGAGGTTGTCGTCTTCCCATGTTGCGTAGCTTGGCTTGCTATGTTTTGCTTTGCGGAGGTCTCCCGGACTCCTCCGCCCATGGCCTTCACCCAGGAGCAGTAACGGAACCTGTTTGGAGGAAACAGTGATTGGGGCAGAGTCGGCGGCCCACGGCCAAGGCCTGGTCCACGCCGTCTAAGACGCGATCCTGAGACAAGGAACCACCAGAGCTCAGAGCGCCCGATGTCATGGCAGACGCATGCGATCTCCTCAGGTATGTGGGACAGAGCACCACCCAGGCGAGCAGCCGTGGTATAAAGATCCTCAAGGCGAAAGCGAGAGCAACCTCAAGTCCCGTGTCGTCAGGAAAGCAGAGCAAAGCAGGCGGAGTGCGGTGAGGTGAAGCAGGTCGACGGGATCCTGACTTCAAAAAGGTAGCTCAGACAAGCAACCCAAGCGTTCCTGCCTGCCGTGGCTGGATCATCCCAGGCCACCAGGCCATCGCCGGCACCCTCACGCCGCCCTCCAGCACAGTGCCCTTCCCGCCCCGCAGCCAGGAGTAGCCTGAACCAGAAGCTTTGTGTGCCACTTTGTGCCCTGCTGCCCACCTGAGTTCGGGAAGAAGGCATACATTGGCCCGTTGTCGCTGAACCTGGCCGGACGTGCTGCATGGGCATACGTTCCGAGAGCACGAGCATGGCCCCGCCATACGACCAGGGTGTTCTCCGCGATGCCCTCCTGAAAAACACCGTGGGGGCGGGGGGTTGAGGAGAGCAAAGCTACACGCAGCGAGGCTTTTCTGAGGCGTCGACGGCTTGCAAGGTCTCCAGGAGCCGAGTAACGTACTTGCTGTGTGCTGCCATCATCGACGCCTGCGCATTGGCCTTGTCGACATGAGGATCCTTCATCTGCGCCGTCGAACCTGCGGGGGGCTCTGCGACGGTCTGCGACAGCTGGACTTCCATGATATGAAATTTATGAAGTGCGTGTGGCCTTGCAGTTGCTGCGTGTAGGTCGCCCAGTAGATGAAGAAGGGCTTTTCGCCTTTAGCCTTCTCCTGCACGTACCTCCGAGTCTCTACAGGCAGCAAGCTTCCACCTCGCCTCGCCTGCTTTTACATCGGCCTGGTGATCTGATTGATGGACTCTTCTTCGAAGTATTCCTGCCTCGCGCACCAAACATCGGCGATCTGAATTTGTCTCGCGAAGGGCGAGCGGAGTGAAAGGCAGCAGGATCGAGGCGGGGATTCCACGTGAAGGTCAACATCTCGACATGTCTCGACTCTTGTCTGCTTCAAAGTGCTACGAGGTGCTACGAGCAGGTGCGATCCCCAGAGTTGCTCCGCGGCCTGCGGGGGCCCAACGTCCCGGCAGGGCCGTCGAGGCGTTTGCGAGCCTGGCCGCGACGTCCGACGAAGGCGCACTCCTTGAGAAGCCATGGGCCATGGCTACGAGACAAAGCAGATCTCCGCTCCGCTTCTCCGCTTCTCCGCTCCGAGATTCCGAGAGGTCGATGCCCGTCTCTTCTCGATAAGCCTTTGGCTTCAGAGCGAGTTGAGTTCTGAGTTCTGATTCTCGCGAAAAGCTGAGCCCCGGTGCCTCTACGCCAGGGAAGTCGTAGAACATTCCACGGTGGGCATTGGGCGAGGACTCATACATGTCCTTGTTGCATCTCTACTCTCTGCTAGGACGATCTCTGCACACTCACCGTCGGCCAAGCGTCATGAGACTCCGGCCAGTTGTCCGGTGCCCCGTTGAAGAGACCGTAATATGCATAGTCGAAGCCTGACAGGGTCCTATGCAGCACAGCTGGGCCAGCCCTCCCAGTGTCATCGATAGGCCTTGGTTTTCTGGAGCATGCCCCGGCAGCTCACCCAAGTGCCTTGCTGGAAATATCCAAGGGACGAATGAAGCTTTGACGGCATCACGAGACATCACTGGCTCTGTACAGCCCAGGCGCCACTTGCCCCACATGGCCTCAGCGCATTCTAGAGGAGGAAAGAAACGGTGCCGACAGCAATGGACAAGCGACAGTATGGTAACCGGCCGCTGAGAGCGCCTCTCGAAAGATCCCAGGACATCGGCAACAAGACCTAACTCCTTGGCCTCTGCGAGGGTGAACTCTTCCGGCGAGAGGCCGTCTGTCTGGCCAGGCCACAACACCTGAACCCACGGAGCTCTCTGACAGGTTAGGTGCTACAGGTCGCTTGCGCCTTCAACAGACCCGTCCGCACTGGGTGGCGGCCTGTCATGATAGCCGTTCCTGACAGTCGGTCGCATTTTTGCTGGCTTCACAAACCATGCCAAGTCCGACAAGGCACTGGAGGGAGTACAGGAAGGCTCGGCGTAGGAAGACCAAAACCGCATGCCCTCGAAAGCCATGGCATCCAATCCATCCGTGGGTGTCCCACGGTGCTTGCCCCCACCCTGCCATCCCAACTCGCCCCAGCCAATGTCATCAGCCAAAATGTATATGATGTTGGGCTTCTTTCGGAATCGAGCTTCCTGGGAGCAATGCTCAAGATACCGCCAAGGAAAGTCACTTTGTAATGCGACGTTCCAGATGAGGCTTTCTACTCCGTCCGACTTCTCAGTTGCAGGGAAGTCTCCAGCGCATTCAGCTTTTTGTCGATCTCAGCATCTTCGGCAAGCCACGTTTCGTTGTTTTTCTGAAGGGCATCAATGAAGTAAGCATCATGCACGACCTCAAGAACTGTGTCTAGATCCTAGATCAACATCTCAATCACGACCGCCCATATCCGCCCATGTCTGGAACTGGGAGTACAGTTCCATCCAATCTCAGCCACACAGACATCTTTGACCAAAGCACCGCCGTTGCAGCCGGGAGGAGCAGAAGCCATAGTCGCTCCATGGCTTTTTTTGGAACGCCAAATGGCTGCACGTTCACGGCTCATGCGGACATGCGGACTCCACCCTAGGAGCAAAACGGTTTAGATCTTTGGTGCTTAGCAGCCGCCCTGCATGTTTGTTTTCTTTGGCCACAGATTGGAACGCTTCGAAACGGTTGGAAAATCGGGCGTATAGGAACATGGATCACCCTGCAACGGAGGAACAAGCCGATTTCGGAAAGTCCCTTCGATGACACGTGATGACACGTGGGACATGCTCACGGTCGAGAATAGTGGATAGTCCATTGGTTCTGTTTCTCACAGCAGCAGCGCGGCTCGGCATAGAGGTAAATGAGGCCCTCGGTGAAGTCTCTTTGGGTTTAGGGCCATCCCAGAGGATGAGGCCGGCGCTGTCATGATGAGGATCGGCACGAAGGTCGCCCACTGGCGGAGCATTGGTTGAAACACTGACGGGCTATGAAGAGTACGAAGCAGAACGACGAGCAAGTGACAGGGAACTGTATGGCAAAAACCTCATTAACAAAGCCAAAACTTCTATGTCGCACGACAGGCATTCACGACGACATCTGGCTGACCCATCCGATTTGTGCTTGCGGCTGTTGTCTGCTGGGCGGCCTCGAAGTGGTGCTGCCGAAAGTTGGTCACCACGTAGACCACGTACAAACTGGGCCTCAACCGCTCCGCTTCGCTCTGCGAGGCTCCACAAGGCGCTTTTGGCCTTGGCACCTGGCGCCGCCGCCGCCTTGCAGACGAACTTCACGATCGCCGACATTCCTAGCTGCCCGCCCACGGACTCCGAGCCCACACTCGGCCACGGGCATCCACTGGCTGTCGGCCCACTCTCGGCCCACTCCATTCTCACACTCAGAGACGTGCGTGCGAGGATGACCACCGACAGCCAGCCATTGCCCACCTGCACGCATGTGCGCTGACGTGGCCGGATGTGGCTTGGAGAACATCCATCAGGCGTCCTCTGCAAAAAGCACGAAGGCCGTGTAGCTGTCCCAGCCCCTGCACAGCGGCACAGCGCACCGGTCGCGCAGATTCATGCAGCAACGCTCCGCATAAAGCTCTTCGGGCACCTCCTGTTCACGCAGGGGGTGGTCACAAGTGCCTTGTCCTCGGGGCAGAGATCCTGCACAAAGCCACGGCTGACAAAGCAGTAAAGCGCGAGCTGCGCTGGCCTCCACGAGACGCATCTGGGCCACGAAAACCACAAGTGCGACCTGAGAACGTCACTTTATCCTCTCCTTCCCTCCCTTCTCCGGGGCCCATACCATAAGGCTCTGCATCTTCAGCAAAGTGTTCGCCTCCATCATCGTGAACCTCCGTTGGATTCAGCTCGCGGCCCTCGACTTGGAAAATCCAGGGCCGCACTGGCAGAGCTTGAGGCGCCGCTCCGTCATCACCGCTGCCAAAGCCGACAGCCCGGCCTTCAGCATTGCCAGACCTTCAGCAGTAACCAGAGCAACGAGCAGCTCGGCAAGCATGCCCCTGCCCCAAGGCCCCAAGGCCCCAAGGCCCCAAGGCCCTAAGGCCCCGTGCCACTGGCATAGACCGTGCCTTTCCCAAATCCCCGCCCTAGTCCCTAGTCACCGGGCAGGCTGCCTGCCAAGCGCCGCACCTATTCTCAGCTCTGCCTCCTGCCCGGAAGTCGTTCCTGCCTGTGCCGAGACGGAACTTCACAGAACGGGGCCACACTCGATTCAGGGCCGCACCGCAAAGCAAATGAGGGACAGAAAGATGGCGAAGAGGATAGACCACTCCGAGAGAGGCCTGGCCCAGTCACCATCTGCAAGCACCCTATCAGGGAAAGCCTCGCAATCACACGCCTTGAAACAAGCATGTAGTGTGAGGCTGCGGCAGCAAAGAGCAGCCTGGCGCCGGCAAAGCTGCGCACAGCTCCACAGCTCTAACTCGCAGAATCCAGACCAGGCCTCGAGTTATTCATGGTTATGAAGAGCAGCCCTGAGACTGAGACCAGTCGGCAGTGTGGTCTCCGCCAGTGCCACAACGCTTCGAGCCTCCGCCTCTACCGATCGCACACAGGGCCACCACGTCCCCCAGGCAGTAGGTCTTACACGCAAGAGGAAGAGGGGACCGAGAGAGGCCAGAACAAGGCCGGCGAATGAGGTGAGGCCGGTGAGGCCGGTGAGGCCCTGAGGCGAAGGCCACCGTGAGCCAGAGGAACTCCTTGTGGCTCTTCCAATCCCTAAGTTTGCGCAGGCTGTCCTGCTTGTTCCTGAGTCGTCGAGTCGTGGCGGGAGCAGCAAGACCATGTTCGTACGGTCGCTGCACAGTAGATGCATCTAGCGGCCGGATGGCGGCATAGCCGATGACGACATTCACCAGGGCTTCCGCCATCACGACCGAAGCGGTGGAATATGGTAAGCACCTGTCGCAGTAAGCGAGAAGGTGAGAGGATGAGAGCACCGTGGGTTCCGTGCCTGGCACCCTCTATCCCACCCGGTTGGTACTGCATGGCCGTGCGGGACATGTCCACCTTATGATGAGCCGGACAGGTGCTTTATCCTAAAGACTGGGCAGTGTCTGACCATGGTCGGTGTCAGCAGTCCCATGCAGAGATTGACCTCAGTCGAGAAGAAGAAGGCGGCAGAATCTGCGGATGTCGACAAAAACTGCCGGGCAAACGACCAGGCAAAGCAGGAAGTTCACGACCGGCGAGCGATGCTCGGTCTCCTGGAGCGCCAAAAAAGCCGTTGAACCGGACCGACTGGTCTACAGAGCAACCGAGAACTCAGCCGAACCTTCGCCAAAGCCACGTCTGCAGATCCGGCCTCGCTGGCCGGTTGGTACCTGCCGCGAGAAGCCGCTTCGAGAAGCCGCGCAGAGAAGCCGCACAGAACCAAGAAGTGCTCCAAGGCCAGGGCCCGAGCTCCCCTCGCGAGTCTCGCTCTCGCCCGCGCGGAGCCTGAAGCTAGAAGTCTCGGCATCCCAAAGTCACCAAAGTCACTTCTTCTCTTCACGGCCTCCGGAATCTTTAGTAAATCGCCCGGTTCGTGTTCAAAGCGCTCCAACCCTTTCAGTCGCCTGAGCGAGAGTGGTGAGAGGGGGCAACAGGGCATGAGCCAGTGAGCATATGAGCACGAGGCTTCTCCACCGGGGAGTCGTCCGTCGCGACAGGTCCCGTCGTATGTCGGCGCCTCACAAAAGGTGTGGCAACGCAGCTCCTGGGAGCATCGGAGCAACCCTTTTCCAACCCGGCCAGGGGGGAAGTTCAAGAGGAGCTTGCGCGGGAGCTTGCACCGTGCTCGCCTCCACCGGTAGCTTCTGCCCTGTCACAGAAGCTCTAGGCAGGGCCCACCCTCTTCCCAAGGCCCGTTGATGGAAAGCTTCCATCGCTGTCCATGTTGGACCTGAGCAGTGCAATGCACTTCAGCTCTCCCGCTTCCAACAGCACGGATCATGTTCGCACCTTCAGCTTGGGGCTCGCATGGCTCGGCTTGCCAGGCACATCTCGAGACTTGTCAACAACTTGTTTACGTTTCACAACTTGTTTACGTTTCGCCATTTCCCCCGATGTTCCTGGCATGGGCGGGAATCACTGTACTGCGACGTCAAAGGCGATTCACGGCAGCTGAAGCAGCGTCTGTGGGGCCAAAATATGGCTTCGGCGTGCCAGGCTGGGGATAGGGCTGGACTCTAGGCTCGTTCTCAATGCTCGCTGCCTTGCATTTTCTGCCTTGCTTTGGCGATGTGTCCAGACTGGCCTGGCCTGGTCTTCGCGAGGCATGGCGATGGAGTCCGCGAGCACAGCCTTCTCCGAGTTGGCAGTTCCTGTCCTCAAGCCTCAGACTGCCTTTCCGTAGGACGTGCAATGGTGAGACAATGTGAGACGGCTGGGACTACGTCCGCTGGTCTCCTCCATTCTCGGTGGTGACGCCCTGCAACAGCTTGGCCTGGCTTCGGACCCTCCGGCGCTCTTCCCGAGCCTCGGCTCGGCGCACCCAGTGGTGGAGACGCTGCTGCGCGAGGCGGTGATAAGGCAGCTCGGCCTCGACAGCTCAGCTCCTCCTTGCGGCAGACAGCCAATCGTCTCCGAGTCCCGCCACGCTCTCCAGGCTTTCCAAGGCATACAGAAGCAGCCCCTGCCCAGGACCACAGGACCACAGCAGAGATCCATCAAGTCCCAGGACCTCGGGCGCTTGGAAGGCCAGCCTGAAGAGGTGACAGTGAAAGAGGAAAGAGGGTGCTGTCCTCGGAACCGAGACTGCCGGGCCCTGCCCTGTCTTCGCCGCGCCGTAGCGGTGCTTGGAACTCTGTGTGAAGGAGCCTCCAAGACGCATGGCGGCATGGCAAAGGCGAAACCGACAGGCAGACAGACATCTGATGGGACAAGCCTCCTCTGGCCGTTGCACGCAGCTCACGTGCGGCCCGTTCCAAGAAATCCTGTGATGCAGGAAGGTGAGGAAGGCGCTGTCAGAAAATCTCAGAAATCACGTGTGCCTGGGCACAGGAGACCTTAGTGACGCAGACCTCGGAAGCATTTGGACACAGCTGCACTGCCGAGCATTGCCTCGACTCGCCTGCAGATGTGGGCTGTCCCGACTCACGATGGCATAAACCACCTTCCACAAAGTCTGCGACGACTGCGACGACAGCCCGCCTGCCACCTTCCGCGCTTCCAGGAGAGAGCGCTGCCCTTTGCAGCACCCGGGATCGAAGTCCAGTGAATTCGGCGACTTAGCCAGCTGCTCAGCCCCACACCGTGCGCGATGGCGCTCTGGTCCACCACGCTGGCCCGCCTCCGGCGCTCCGCCTGCAAGCACAAGAAACGAGAACCTATCTGGCACACGTGGTTCTCTTCCAGTAACAAAGACCCCTTCGCCCACTTATGCGACAAAACCACCAGCCGCACCAGTAACCGATCGTTCTTACACTTCTTGCGACACACCAGTCACACACTGTCTTCTACCCCGAGGGTTATGCATCCATCATCCTCAAAGTGGCAGCTCATAGCACTTACTGGGATTCGGGTTACAGGCTTGAAGTAAACTATAAGCATGATCCACAAAACACAGTAAGTGGCCTTGTCTCACGACAAATTGAAGGCACATGGATTGGATTGCTTGCCGTTGGTCTCAACCCTTGCCTGTTATCTCTTGCTGACGGCTTCTAGGCTTTGCCGTGTGACAGTCTCAACTCCTTGCTTGTCTCTCGCTCTTTCTCTGCATATCGAACGTTGCCCACGAAGACTACATCGATATGACACTTCAACATCTGTCTTGCTTAGTCTAGGACTGTAGGAGTCTAACCGCCATTTCTGGAGGTGAAGCCTTTGAATCGGTCTTGACTGTGACTTGGCCCTGCCCAATCACTCAACATTGCGACAGCCGTGCGAACACCGATCTGGGGCGGCGTGGAACCTCAGAGTCTCTGTTAAGTGAGACGTGGATTAGGCTTTCCATGGTTTTCCCGACTTGCGCGTCTACGAAAAGCTTCGTCATCCTCGAAAAGGGTTAATAAGTGTGAAGATCCGTGACTCAGATTTCATCTACTTACATGCTAAAGGTCACCACCTCATTTGTACTGTGAGGCTGCAAGAGCGAAACAAACTGACTATGGCAGCGCATCCGAAACATGAAAAGAGGTCTCTGCAATGCTGGGGCTCCTATGCAGCTTCAACACTATACTGACTATACTGGAACTTCATTCTCTCCTGCACCCTGCAAGCTAAAGCTCTACAATTCTGTGAGAAGAGATGTTAACGACAGCAGGGCATATGGAAGACTGCAGCCTGATATTTGGGGATGTCGGGCACTGGGCAGAGGTCTCCGGTCTCCTCGGCGAGGCCTCGGCGAGGCCGTGCAGGCGCTGCACGTGCACCGGGAAGCGCCAAGGCCGAAGGAAGACCTGAGAAGAGCTGAAACTGGATCTCTCCGGATCTCCGCCCAGCAGCGTTGGCCTCGTCGAAGGCCTCCTGCACCCGCAGCCCGCAAAGTCAACTGGTGAGAGCGCGGAGACTGGGTCAGAGAGAGTCGCTCGGGTCGCGAGACCGAAGCGAAGTGTCCTGCATGCGCTCGACCGGTTTCAAGGCTCGACGCGCCATGGCTTACTTCGCTTTCAACATCGTGGACTTTCAAGTTGTCACTGGGGTCGGGGTCTTCATCGTGCGACCTCTGACACGCTCTTGAACTTGAAGCTTCGAGGCATGCACATGCCTGCGGACAGTCAAAACCACAGTCGCTGCAGCTTGGGGCCGCAAGGGCCCATGCTCCAAGCATAGCAACACTGGCCTTTGCCCTATGATCCGTCATTGTCTACGATAATCTCCAGAGACCCTTCGTTGGAAGAGGATACTGCACAGCAGGGTCCACAACGGAGACACGGTCAAGCAAGTAGTGCTGACCCCAAAACTTCTCGCACAGTCACTGGGCAACTGTGTCAAGGGCACAAATTCGCGCACAAAACTTTAGGCAGGCCTGTGGGAGTCAAGTGATGCGACCTGGCCAACACAGAATGGAATGCCGACAGCTCCAGAACCTCTCGATTCTACCTTCCAAGCGGGGAAATCGTCATGTCGCGCCACTTGAACATCCGTGCTTGCACAACCTTTCGGCGAGACTTCGAGGGACTTCGTCGCTGAAGCCATTGAAACAGGCCACTGATTGCCGATGGAGCGGACCGAAAGCTACGGCGCAGGCACAGCATAGGGCTCGGACCCTGTGCCTTTCTGTGGAAAATGCACAGCACCCTCAGCTCTCGGAGCTCTCGGAGCTTATGGCTGACATGCCAGTGGCTGAAATAAAAACTGGAAGCCCAAGCCATCAGGCGCAGTGGGCCCAGCTACAGGCTCACAGTCTCGGCGAGCCGTCGAAAGCAAATGAAATGCTCTTGGGGCGCTTGTGCAGTGGGATACAACTTCGCGAAACGGGCCCATGCCTGGCGTCGGGAGGTTGGGTATCCTCCTTCCAAGCGCCCTTCGAGCTTCTACGGACTCATGGCGGCACGGGCACGGCCCAGTGCTTGCTGCAGGCACATTGAGAAGCCATCTGCCTGAAGAGGACTCACACGCAAGGGAAACAAGTGCAAGGGACAAAAGGGCGAGCTGCCTGGGTCTGCACCAGCAGCTCCACCAGCCGTGCTGTGCTCAGCCTGTTTTGACTGTCGGCGTCCAAACTCGATCTTCTGCCTCCCACACTCCCAAGAGCCTCTTCAATATGACACGGAGGAAGTTGCTCTTGCTGCGTGGCACGGGCATCATGGGCCGCGCGACAGGCGCAGCCTCCAGCTCTTGCAGCCGGCCACGGATCAATTCCAGCACCTCTGCCATCGGCTCGGCGATGCCCTGAACGTGGGAACGGGTGGAGGAGCCGAGAGCTAAGTTGTCTTTCTGATGCATCCGTGCCTGATCCTCGCATCGAGCAAAAATGTAGGGGATGAGGAGAGATAGCACCTGGCGTAGCTAGGCCCAGGTCTGCGCACATCGCGGTACCACTTTTGCAGGCCTGATGCTCATTCAAGGTGTCGAAGCACTGGCGCTGCCGCTTGTCAAGCTTCCCCTTGGGCCTGCGACCAATCCAGCCCGGGACAGGGAGCTATTCGCCGGCTCCTAAAGCATGCCTCGTGTGTTCAAGGTGACAGAATTGGCACGCCGCGCCCTGCTCGCAGTTGCCATGCATGAACCGCACGCAGGGACGCCCGCACACCTGGAAACCAGGGGACAGAGAGTTCGCAGATGTCCGCAGCACGCTGTGCGCATCTGTGCGCATCTGTGCGCATCTGTGCGCTGTGATGCGGCCATGCACTCGCAAGCCTCTGGGTGACCAAAGCTGCCATCGTTCGAGGCCGGCTCTGCCTTATGAGACGGAGCCTCTTCTGCCGCTTTCTCCACGTCATTCGAGGTCTCCTCTTCCAAGCCGAAGGATGCTGCATGCCTCTGCAGGAGGTTGCCCACGTATCGGGACTCCACCGCCTCGTTTGCTCGCGGCTATGCAAGTGCCCGCATTTCGGGCGCCCGAATGCCCTTCTGCCAGGGCACAGTGACGACGGACCCGAGCCGAGCGGGAAGGCTGCGCGTGCGTCGGCAAGCAGTACCATCGTCCTCCTGCGATCTCCACACTCACAAGGCTTGCCCGAAGAAAAATCGAGCTCCTGGACGGCGATGAAGGTGGAACGGTACCTCGGCTGCGTGGCACCGAGGAAGCTCCAGAAGGGCAATTGGATGCGGAAAGCGCACGCGAGCTTCTTGGGCATCTTCTTTGGGGCTGCCTGTCTATCTTGCAAGGCCTCTGCTTCGGAGCCGAGTCAGCTCGACGGAGTGTAATGACATAAAGGAATGGTGCTCACACCAGTGCTGACTGAGGCAGCAAAGCACGGGCATCGGACAGAGCATAGTCTTTCTCAAGCAGACGTGCTGCAGGTCCACCTCTCAGTTCTCCTAACTAAATCCCTCTGTACTGACGTCATCAGCGGCTCGAATTCAGAACAAGCCTTGCCGCTGGAACACGCATGCGCACGGAGGCAAAGATGGCTGAGACATAGTGTCCAGCCAGGTTGGAAAACGCTTTGCACCCCTGCCCTGCGTCGCAAGGCCCGACAAACATCGTATACAAGTTTCGGCCGTGGGCTGTGAAGGCTGGAAAGCGCCGGAAGCCATCAGGCTACACAAAGGCCCAGAATGGCCCAGACTAGCATCTGGCAAAGTAAGCGGACTTCGACTTTGCTACGATTTCCTGAACTGACTAACGGAGTCACACAGCCCGGCTTTCTTGTATGGCTTTAGATGGGCAAAGTAGAAAGGTTGCAGATGGGTACAACTGCCACTTTACCGGCATCCACCATCTCTTGCAATCTGGATAGGCCCAGCAGCGATCTGCTACCAGCCGCCAGGAGCCCTTATAGCGAGAGTCGCTGCAAGCGCCCTTCGAGCTTCTACGGACTCATGGCGGCACGGGCACGGCCCAGTGCTTGCTGCAGGCACATTGAGAAGCCATCTGCCTGAAGAGGACTCACACGCAAGGGAAACAAGTGCAAGGGACAAAAGGGCGAGCTGCCTGGGTCTGCACCAGCAGCTCCACCAGCCGTGCTGTGCTCAGCCTGTTTTGACTGTCGGCGTCCAAACTCGATCTTCTGCCTCCCACACTCCCAAGAGCCTCTTCAATATGACACGGAGGAAGTTGCTCTTGCTGCGTGGCACGGGCATCATGGGCCGCGCGACAGGCGCAGCCTCCAGCTCTTGCAGCCGGCCACGGATCAATTCCAGCACCTCTGCCATCGGCTCGGCGATGCCCTGAACGTGGGAACGGGTGGAGGAGCCGAGAGCTAAGTTGCCTTTCTGATGCATCCGTGCCTGATCCTCGCATCGAGCAAAAATGTAGGGGATGAGGAGAGATAGCACCTGTCGTAGCTAGGTCCAGGTCTGCGCACATCGCGGTACCACTTTTGCAGGCCTGATGCTCATTCAAGGTGTCGAAGCACTGGCGCTGCCGCTTGTCAAGCTTCCCCTTGGGCCTGCGACCAATCCAGCCCGGGACAGGGAGCTATTCGCCGGCTCCTAAAGCATGCCTCGTGTGTTCAAGGTGACAGAATTGGCACGCCGCGCCCTGCTCGCAGTTGCCATGCATGAACCGCACGCAGGGACGCCCGCACACCTGGAAACCAGGGGACGGAGAGTTCGCAGATGTCCGCAGCACGCTGTGCGCATCTGTGCGCATCTGTGCGCTGTGATGCGGCCATGCACTCGCAAGCCTCTGGGTGACCAAAGCTGCCATCGTTCGAGGCCGGCTCTGCCTTATGAGACGGAGCCTCTTCTGCCGCTTTCTCCACGTCATTCGAGGTCTCCTTTTCCAAGCCGAAGGATGCCGCATGCCTCTGCAGGAGGTTGCCCACGTATCGGGACTCCACCGCCTCGTTTGCTCGCGGCTCTGCAAGTGCCGGCATTTCGGGCGCCCGAATGCCCTTCTGCCAGGGCACAGTGTCGACGGACCCGAGCCGAGCGGGAAGGCTGCGCGTGCGTCGGCAAGCAGTACCATCGTCCTCCTGCGATCTCCACACTCACAAGGCTTGCCCGAAGAAAAATCGAGCTCCTGGACGGCGATGAAGGTGGAACGGTACCTCGTTCGTGATTGTAATGATGCACCCTAGCAGCTGCAAGAAGGGGGAGGAAGCTCCAGAAGGGCAATTGGATGCGGAAAGCGCACGCGAGCTTCTTGGGCATCTCGGAGAATCTCGGAGCTCCGGCTGCGCGTCTCCGAGGTTTCCGAGCCGAGTCGGCTCGACACAGACACTGACACCCAACAGTTGCAGATGACGAGATGCATACTTCACCCCTACCTCCGCTGGCAACAGGGCACTTTTGACGAACAATGAGATGGGGCTTCGGCTGCTGCCGGCTTCCATTCTAAGCACCGCGCTTTGGCAGTCCAGCCCCTTTGGAGGAGCATACGAAGGCCATGAGGCTCAGAGCACTGCGCCTCAGGCGGGGGCTGAGCCCCATGGAGCCTAGAAACGCTCCGCTCTCACCGGGCGAGCATCTGGAGGCCCGTCCCGAACTGTCCTCGGTTTTTGTGGAGCAGTGACTCGTTACCGATGGTTCTTGCTAAGCATCTGGCGACTTCTGCTGTTCCTCTCGCATCCGCCGCACCTCATCCTTCAGGACGTCGACCTCAGCCCAAGCCCAAGCTGTCGCCGGATCTCAGAGGACTTTGAGGGCCAGAGACCGTCAGGCGCTCGTGGTCCAAGGACTCTGCCTCCGTCGGCGAGCGGAGAGTATAAATCTTCAGTAAAGGCAGTCTGGGCATGTCTGGACAGTGTTAGCTCTCTTGCGAAGACTGGCCTGCTGCTGCAGCAGCACCTGTCACAAAAGTTAGCTGGAATCGAACACACGAAGTAGCCTTGGGGCAGGGGCCTGTTGAGAAGCCAAGCTTTGACCCAGCTGCTCCCCGCTTTGGCCTCTGATCTTCGAGGTATTCGTTTCGCGGCGAGCTACCCAGCTCTGCGGGGCCCCAACCGAGGGCTCGGAGCTCTGCGTGTAGGCCAGCGCGCTCTGCCCGGAAGGCCTTCCGAGACCCCCAAAACCCGCCCCAGCGCTGGGGGGCCCGGGCTCCCGCGACGCCTCGCAGGCCGCGGCGAGGCGCCGCTGTGTGGCGCGCAGCCGCTTTCGGGCATCCTCGAGGTCCCGGCGGCGGAAGTCCAAGCCCTCCTTCGCCAAGCGCAGCTCCGACAGCGCTGAGGCCTGCAAGAATCTGCAACAGCACCGCCGTCACTATATTGCAAGCACCGGCGCACGGACGCACGGACACACACGGACAGCGCTTTCCGCTTCGGGGAGCAACCGGTGGTGCCGCGGTCTTGCTATTGGAGTTCCAGGCGAGACCCTCTTACGGATGAGATGGCCCCCTTGCGCGAGCAAGGGCGCGTGCGCTCTAGAGTTCAGGTCTCAGGTGGGTTCAGTCTGCTTGAACAGACTCCTGCAGAAATTGGCACGTCTGCGCCAGCCCTTCTTTTTCTCCACGATCCCTGGCTTGCGAGAAAGTGCTCCTATCATCTCCCATCCCTCCATCGCAGCTTTCAAGAAGCTTTTCGTAGCAAAACCCGCAAACCCCGGTCAGGTGCGGCGCCTTGGGCTGGAAAGTGCCGGCATCGAGCCCGACGAAGAGCCTCTGACTCTCTCCATCCATGGCCATGGCCACGGCTTGGCCTCCGCCCCTTGCGGCCCTTAGATGTTTACCTTTTTGATCCTCTTTGCCTCGTCTGCAGGTCATAGACCCAAGCACAAAGCCCGAATACATCAACAGACATCGGTTGCATTCCAGAAAGTTGCGACACTGACCCCCCGTCCTGGGAAGAGTGACATGAAACCTACTCTGAGCATGTGCTCCATGGTGTAACCGTGTAGCATGATCCGGCGACGTGAAATGCCACAAGTTCAAGAACCTGTGCACTTTCTCCAAACTTCGTGCATTTCCCGGTTCACCTGGTCAGTGTACACATCCTTGTCAATTCAGTTGCGATTACTACCTGCTTCCTTTGAACTTGGCAATGTATAGACAAGACTATTCTCCATACATGTCGTGAGCTATGTCCGACCTTAAGATGGACGCTAAATGCAGCGTGACAGTATCTTCGCTCTTGGCAGAACCCCAGTTCTCCAGCCTATCGGGATTTGCCTTCTTTTGGCAGTCGAGGGAGGCTCCGTCACTCGGGCTTCTTCGAAGGGCGGTCGGCCCGCTCGAACTGGAGCCGGCAGAGCCTTTGCAAGTCCACGATCTCCCGGAGCTTCTTCGAGTCCCAAGCATCCTTTGGGGAACTTCGGAGGCTCAAATGGACCATTCTCTCCAAGGAGTCTTTGAGCTCCTTGGGCACGGGGAAGTTGGCGAAGAGCAGCATGGGGCCTTCGTGCTGCAGGCATTCTGGCCGCACGAACTTTTGTAGCTCCTTGGGCACCTGGGATAGGCAGCCAAACTGCAGGATCTTGTAGGGGAACTTGGGGAGGTCCTCTTTGGGAAGGTAGTGCTTCGCATTCGCAGGAGAGTAAATCAAAGGGTCCATGAAACCTGCCTCCCTTTGCTCGGGGACGCCGGTCATGGACCACCAGCGGGGCATCTTCGGAGCAAACACATTCCGAGGAACCAGGAACATGGGACAACATGACCACGGCGGCACTTCCCCATACCAGACATCCACCATGGTCAGGGACACGAGCATGCTGCAAGCCGTGTACCTCGAAGAGTCGAGCTGCTTTGTACAGCGTTTTGCAGTGACATACGTACGTATGTGCGTACATATGTGCATGTAGCAGCAGTCATCTGCCATGTTATGCATAATAGGGTTTAAAGTCTGCGGAGCCCGAAGGGTTTTTGTTCGGGCAGCTGTGCTAACTCTGACACTCCAAAGATATATTAACTAGAGAACGAATGTTCCCGAACGTGTTTGGAACGGCCAGAACGTGAGCACCTCCATGCATGAATGCATACATGCCTCCATCCATCCATGCATCCATGCATCCATGCATCCACCCACCCATCCACGCATGGATTCATCCATGAGTGTGCAGACATCCCGCTCCTTCTTGAGGACCCTGCAACCTCCATGGGTCGCAAAGACAGGAGTCATCGGCTTGTGAGCTGTTTGCTTTGGGCAACAAAGTCGTCCCCTGAGCCACCACGGTCGCGAAGGCCAGGTCCGGTCTAAACTATCAAGCTCTTGGCCTAGTATTGGGCACAGCTCGGATATTGCGACATATCTGGTAGTGATGATGTCGCGCTGTGATTTCGGAACGCGGGGTGCTTCAGTGGCCCTGGTGCCTGCTGTTGGGCTGTGGCAGACAATGACTAGCGACCTTCTTGACGATTGGGCCGACTCTTGGGTGCTTAAAATGGGTGCCTTTCGAGGACGCTTCGACCTCTGCCCAAACTTCGTCGCCCTCTTCACCATGACCCACTGGTCCAGCTGGCGTGGGCCGGCGGATCCCTGAAGTTGGTGGCCTGAGCATGCGGGGCACACGACCCCCAGCTCAAACCACCAACCAAAGCAACCAACACCGTGTCTTGGAAAGGGAGCAGCATCACGAGCATCGGCAACACGAACATCACTGTCATCTCGTCGCTCCAACAGCTGTGGTGCAGTCTTAGTAGCGCGCCCTAAACGGATGACCATCGCAGATAGTTCGCGGCAAATTGGATACTCGATCTTTCCATCGCCACTGCCGGAAACACAGCACGCATGTGATCCGGCGGATCCCTGATTCCGCTTCGAGAGTGTTGTCAATTCCAGTTCCGAGCACGAATCGACGCGCAGCGCCATTTTGGGTGGACGGCAACTCCTGCTAGCCCTTCCCCATGATGAATACAGGTCTGACTGATTTTGAAGAGAGTACCTCAAGAAACCCCCACATCATGCCATCCATTAAACATCAATCCACCGTATAGAGAGGACCTCGCGACAACCTCACAACATGCATTCCATCAACGATCAATCTATTTTGGGGAAACCACCTCCACAGAAAAGCCTTTTGCAATGCTTTCAGGAGAAACAAAAAAACCTATAGACTTAATGGAGAATAATGGGCACAAGATCGCCGGGTGGCAAGAAACCAAGGCTGAGGCCCAAGTCCAGGCCGCCGAGACTTGTGGCCCCGAATCGCAGAGATGCTTTGGTCATTTGCCAGGAGGCGTTCGGCAAGGCAAAGAGCAGAACGACAGGACACCACTGAGACAGGAAGTCGAAGCCCTGCAGGAAGTAGACACCTCAAACCAGAGACAAGAGCCTCTTGCGGAATAAGCCGACCCGACCCTTCGCGCCTGTGTGAAAGGCGAGTGCGGCACAGGCGAAGGCGGTACCAAGCTCCTGTGACGTCAGAGCCAGTGGAAAGCAGACTTCGAAGAGCAGCGACAGAGTCCCAGCCAGGACCTCGGATCGAAGAGAAAGACTCACGGACCTTCCTCGCCGGAAAAAGAATCAGGAAAAGCTTGCTTCAGGAAGCAACTCAGGGCGGGTATTTTCTGCAACTGCGTGGCCAGTGTTCGAGGGCACTGGACAGCGATGGCCTGGAGTTGCCAGGTGAATTCTCCACCGGGCCTCGACCACATGGCATCGAAGGTGTAGGCCTGCAGTGTGGTGCCATTCCCCCAGAACTGCTGGAAGTAGAGGGAGCCTGCGATTTTGCAGAGGCCCGAGCCGCAGTAGGTCGCCGCCACTTGCAGCTTGATGAAGTCCAAAGCCCACCAGGCCTCCACTGAATCCTTCCAGATGTAAGTATCCTCGATCGTTGGCGACAAAGCCATCATCAGCAGGGTGCCTGGGATCAAGGTACTCCCATGACCACCGGCTTTGGTGGCACAGAAGATCTGAGAGTAGTAAAAGAACCAGCAGAGGAAGGCCACTCCCAGGCAAAGCCTTGGCGAAGGCGCCAAGCAGGAGCCCAGGAGACTGAAGAAGAAGACCCCGAAAGCGGCGTCGTGCTGCAGGGGGCTCAGTTTGGGGGCCGGCAGCAGGCCGTAGATCCTCTCGCCTGCGTGTCCCAAGCCCCTTCTCTGGCTGGGCTCAATCTTGGAAGAGGAAAACCAGCGGTAGAAGCTCCGGTGACCCTCCAAATGGTTCCAACAGAGACTGACCGCAATGAAGGCACAGTAGCAGCACTGGAAGCTTCGGGCTGGGTTCACCTTTGCCTGCAGCATCCTCGCAAGCAGTGGTATGAGGCCCAGAAGCCATAGCACCGGGGCTCCGAAGTTCCGGCCACGGTGGAGCCTTTGTGGCGCAGCCTTGCCGTTCCCATCATGCATGAATCACTACAGTCACGCAGTAAACAGAGCGTCGCAACGTTCAGGGTCGCGTTGGGTTGCTGGGGCCTGGTGTCACGGCAAGGTGTCACGGCGGTACATGTCGCAATGGCACGGTGCTGCTGCGAGACAAGTTTGAACACATCGCCTGGTATATGTGCGCAGCTAGACACATTGGCCGACGCATGGCTGCAGACAAGGACGACAGGAAGCATGTGAGACCCGACCCTGGCACAGCACAGACACGGTCCCTGGCCCACTCGTTCTGCGGGACTTTAAGCTCGCGATGTGCTCACCTGCTTTACGATGTCATGGCGTGGAGAGCATGCCCTGATGGGCTGCAGGACGCTGAAGCTGACAACACTGTACTGGACATATGGCAGTGCGCCCTCCACATGCCAACTCTGGTGGTGAAACTGAATTAGGCAACGAAGAGTTCACATGCCGAAACGAAGGTCGAGATAAAGTTTGGCAAGCGGGCAGGAGCTGCTCTTCGGCTGAGAAATGTGCGACGATGAAGACAAGCCGACATTGTTCCTTGAGGCATTGAGGGCTTCATTGGGGCTACACCTGCCCGCGCCAGGAGACAAGTAACACGGATTTGGACACTACATGTTTGGTTCACGTGCTCCTCCACTCGGCCCAAGACGCAAAATGCGGCATCCTGCATACCTTCTTCGAGGTGCTGGCTCACTCCGCACTTCCACTGCTCACGGGAATCACGCAAGTTTCGACCTGCCAATGTCAGAAGAGGCAATGGCCGACTAGCAAGCCCAAGACTGCCAACCAAATCTCTAGCTGCAGCAAGCTGGAGGCACTCTTCACCTTCAAGTCCATTGCCTCCCAAGAAGACAAGAAGACAGAGAGTCGTTTTTAAACAAGGGCACAAAACCCCCGGCCCCGGCGCCTTTGACATTCCTTCGAAAATGTTCCGGAACTCGAAGGCTGACATGCCCCAGACGCAGCAGATGGCCATCGGCATCAAGACCCATTCAATCACGCTGCCCCGCACTGTCAGCTCAGGGTGGGTATATGCATCCGTGAGCAATGCCGCAAGCACTGCCGGGAAGAGCACCAGTCGACAACAAATGTATGCCAAGGTGAGGCATGCGGAGTTCAATTTGTAGAGGAAGCTCTGCTTCAGCCGCTGCACATCTGAGCAACACTTCACAAGCTCCACATTTGCTAAGAAGATGTTCGAAGACTCGCAAAGTCCTGCGATGGCACCCCAGAAGTGCATGCTGCCTTTGACCAATCCTGTTCCATACACCAGGATAACCATGACATGATGCACAAGGATGCGCTTGCGAGTTGCATTCATACCCTTCCAAAAAAGGAATGGGATGTGAACCAACAGCCTCGTGCAAAGCAAAACACAGCCATGGATGGACGAAACGCAACTGCCGTTCCAGCGCGCATCCACGCTCTGCGACAGGATATGAATGGATCCAAGAGCACTTGGCAACCTTGCTCACAGAAGCAACGAAACAAAGATGCTGCATGCCAAGTCAGACTTAGAACTTAGGGCTCTCAGGGGTCCCTTTCCCACAACTCACTTTGTGGTTGAGCGGCAGCGCGATGCTGAACAGGAGCAAGCAAATCGCATCTGCAGCCCAGAGGTCACCTCCCGGTTCGCCACGCACTTGCTTCGGATCCCGCACCCTTGGGAACAGCACCCATGACACTGGGAGTGCCACAACCTGTGCAATTGCGCAGATCGTCACGTAGACCAACACTAGTTTCCAGAGCCCTTCAAGATCCAAGTCATATCGCGGAGTGATCACTGTCGCGTCCATCGCGCAGCTCACAAAAGACCCCTCGGTTCTTACCTTCAGATTGAGCCATTAATGCCGTGCTGCAGCCACCCAGGCTTTACAACTTTACGCTCTCCCCCACTTCTGCTCAGCAGCACTGCAAGCGAAACAAATTCCTTTCTGGCTACGGTCTACGGCGTCTGATCTCGGCTGCGGTTCACTTCGTCAGTCGACCTGCAGAGACTTCAAGACCCAAATGGTTTCGTGCCGTCGAGGCCTTTCTCCAGCGTCTGGCGGATCATCTCCACCTCTTCAAGTCTCTTCGGCTCTTCGACAGCCTCGCTGCGTGTCGCCTGCCGGTGCTCGGAGCCGAGCAGCCGCTCCGCGAGGCGCAGGGCGCGCTTGAGGGCAGCCTCCTCAAGCGGGACTGGCAATGCAGGGGCGGCCGCGGCCGGCGCCTTTTGGCGCGCCCTTTAGGCCCCGAACGGCAGGTTGTGGCTGTCCCAGGTGAGCCCGGCACAGGCCCAGGTTGTAGAGAGTCAAAGCCACCTCCCAAGGCCAGGCTCCAAAAGAGGTCACGGTCAGCAGTCACTCAGTCACTCAGCTCAAGGCGAAGGGTGTGTCAGGACAGGAGGCAGCTAGGATGGCCAGAGCCTTCGAACACACGAAGGCTTTGAGAGCCGCAGAGCACGTGCTCCGCAGTTGCCTGCTCGAAATGCTCGGCCGCCTTTTGGTAGGAGCCTCGAGCGAAGTAGATGTTGCCCAAGTTGTTCACACCTTCTGGCGAGGAGTTGCTGTGGCACCGAAGATAAGAAGATAAGAGTCAGTGAGACTGTGGCATTCTGCAACGCCAGGATGTTCCTTCCCCACGATCTCCTCAGCAGAGCGCAGCAGAACCGAGGGCGCGTGGCGTCGCGACTGCAAGCCGATCCGGAGCACCTTGCGGAGCTCCAGGGCCTCGGCAAGGCAAGCAAAGGCCCTGCATGGCCCGTCGTCGGGTCGCGGCTGCGTGCCGCTGTGTGCCTGCTGGTGCTGCAAGAGTGCCTCCTCGGCCTGCCTGCGAGGTGAAACCCTGACAACGAGCGCACATGCACGCACTCCTTGCCCCCCCGACCCTGCATCGTGGTAGGCCGCGCCAAGGCTGCTGCAAACCTCTCGGCATGGCTACTAAGACGGGGAAGTTCTCGCACGACAGACGAACAGACGACCAGAACAGACCTCGGACTTCGTGAAGAGCGCATAGGTCAGCGCCTCGAGAGCGAACGAGAGAAAGTGGAGACATAGACATGGGCTGGGCAGAGCAATGCAGATTCGCGATGCCGCGATGCGCCTTTGTGCGCTTCCCATCAGAGCGTGAAGAGCCCATGCGAACACTGATCGCATCCTGTCTAAGCGAAGGCCAGCCGCTCCGATTTCCGCTGCTCCGCTTCTCTCACGACTCAAGATTCCTCCACTAGGCCTTTGGCACGTTGGTAGAACACAATCGCCTTGCACACACAACACCACGGCAGGACGACTCTGATCTCTCGCGAAGAACGGTCGGACCGCCTGTGTGGGGTCGCCGAGTTGGTGATGCTGCCTGCCGACCTACAAATGCTGCAGCTGCTGCTGCATCGTCACGTGGAAAAATTCGCCGCCGAACACTCTGCCTCGTGGAGGCTCATGGCCAGGGGCATTGCCTTCGTGGTCTTTCGCAGCTCCTCCTCCTTGCACCGCGACCGAAGACGCCGAAGACCGAACCAACGACAACAATCCGATCTATTCCGATCTGCAAGATCCTCGGCCGCATACTCGGCCTCTTGTACCCGCAAAGTCTCCTGCAAAATCCGCACCAGGGGATCCTGTCCGCTTCCCCCTTTCCCACTCCTCCAGGTAGGCGAGGCCCGTGGCCGCGCGGCCAACGTCTGCGCCCAGCGTCTCGAACTTTCCCAGATCTCAGGAAACAAGCGCTAGGTGGTCGTACTGGCTGGCGCTGTCCGGGAATCCGACTGATGTAGGTGTTCGAGGTGCTCGAGGTGCTGCTGGCACTTGGAGGGCTCGTTGAAGCACTCCGCGAAATGTGCTCGAAGGCGCTCCTCAGGCAGTCTCGGACAGCGAGGAAGCTTCCAGATTGGACCCGAGCTTCCGACGCATGGCTAGAGAGCCGGGGAATCCCACCCAAGAGCTTCCTGACGCCTCGCTGCGGCGCCTCGTATGCAGAAGGAAGGACTTCCGCCCTCTCGCAAAGCTCTGGGGCTGCTGCCCTCGCCAGGGGCATTTGGTCAGGGAAAGATGGCCATGCGATTGGAAGAGAAGTCGGAAGCAACGCTAGGGCGGCTAGGCGGCTAGAACTGCCTGCTGCTGGTGGGGCCGGGGGGGCTGCTACATGACATGGCCTTCTGAGGTTCTTTCAGAGCCACTACCACCAAGCCGGGACGTCTTCAGCATTCCTACCTTGTCCCATGCCATGCAGCAGGGCAGGGTGGGACAGGTCTGATGCTCCTTTGGAAGCGGGTGCTGAGTCTTTGGGATCGGGGTGAGACGGAGAGTGCCCTCAAAGGGGCGTCAGACTTCTAGTCTCAGGCTGTCCACTCCTCCATAGGTCGGCCCTCGGCGATGGCCTTCCGGATCATGGCTTGGAGGTTGGCCTCGAGCATGGGAAGGCTTAAGGTGGAGACTTGGAGATTGGTGATCTTGTGTCAGATTTTTCTCGGCCCCTCGGCCTGCAGCTCGCGGCGCACGCGCTCAGCCCCGGATTGGAGTGCTTCAGCGGCGGCCTTTCCATGGAGTCCAACCGCCTCCGGGCAACCTTCGCCCCTTTCTGGTGCTTCCATTCCTGAGATTCGGACTACAGCCACACAGACATCTCAACCACAAGAACGCTCGGGCGGAAACGACAACATTTGTCTCGATCTGTGTGCCAGGAGACCTTTCGGCTGGGGAACAAAGGGCTTCAAATCACGGGAAACAGGGCCGCGCTCCTCCTCTGCTCCCTTTCCCCGTCCAGCTCCCTTGCGCTCTCTTCGGTCTGATCGCTCGCGACTGTCCCGTCGCCGTTCCTCAGCCCGTCGCTCCTCTCCGCGACGGTCCCGGTCCTCTCGGCGGTCCTCCCGGCGGTCTTCTCGGCGGTCCTCGCGGCGGTCCTCTCGGCGGTCGTCCCGGCGGTCGTCCCTTCGATCGTCTCTTCGGTCGTCTCTGCCAGGGCGACCCTCGCGGCCGTCTCGCGGATCCCGCTCTTGGCGACCGTCACGTCCGTCGCGGCGGTCACGGCGATCGCCGTAGCCGCGATCTCGAGAGCGGTCGCGGCCACGGTCTCTGTCGTCTTCCCCTCCTTTGCCACCACGCTGATTGCCCTCATTCTGCAATCTTTCCAGGTAGCTGCCCTTGCCAGGTTTTCCTGGTGGGCCAAGGGGCTCTCCATTTGCCATCTTCTTCATGATCATCATGGCAGTGGCTGATGGTTTCCCTGAACATTCGAAATGCCGCTCCAGGTCGTAGTAATATTCGCCCTTCTTCTCTTCAGAACATCGCGCAAGGATGTCTGAAATGCTGGTCTCTGCTATCTTGTCCAGTTTGAACTTATCAACGAGGTGTTTCATTCTCTTGTCGCGATTCACTGCCACAAAAGTCCCGTCTTCTATCTCTTTCATTTTCGTGACGAGCATTCCGCATGGCGAGCGTGCCTTCTCCATCACCTCGCGAAGCTTTCGTAAGTCTTCCTCCCATGTGTCAGGACGATCCTTCATCAGCTCGTTCAACTTCTCGATGTGCCGTGTCTCCACATAGAATGCATCACACAGCTCTTGGATGTCCGGGTGGATCCTGCCATGCTCGGAGATGTACTCTTGTTCTCCATTCCCTCGCTTGGAAAATCCACATCTCCAGCAATGGAACCTGCAACCATGGGGATGACTACACTGCCAAAACACCGCCTCGGTACTTTACTCCATCCCTACCCTTAGCTGCTTTCGTCAATCCTGCCTGGACGCGTAGACGTTTGCGCCACATTGAGGGCACGTCCAATCACCGGGCTTCAACCCGGGTTTAATCTCTAATTTCTTGACGTCCGTGGCACCTTAGCTCGGAGAGTGTTCTCGCTCTGTCCGGGTGCGACTCGGGCTTCCTTCTCTTCCGTCTAGATTCTAGTTTTTGAAAGGCCGGGGCCCACGTGCTTGTGACCGGTAACAGCATATCCCGACCATATCAGCTGCGCTGGGGACCCCACGGTCTTCAGCACAGACTACAGAGATTACAGAATAGATTAAACAGTGTGGCAGACAGCATCTGCATTTTGGCCTTGACAAGGAATGATGATGAATAAAGCCACAATCGCCAGTGCAAGTCCTAATTGCTGATTTGTCTTCTAATGTTCCAATACATGCTGTCCTTTCCACGCAGTTCCAAGGGCTGTACCGCCCTGGGGCGCCGTGGCGGCGGACGCCGCCTTAGCGCCATTGACCTGCGCCTGGCAATGTTTTCCAACATCTTTCAATCACACGATAGAAATCAACGGTGCAACACTGACAAAAGCACCGAAGACAAACAAGACAACGAATGCCCCAAAAGCTTTTCGGGCGGTGCTTTATCAGTCTCCTGGTCTTATGTCCCGGGGCTATCTGGTATCACCTGGGTGTTTTCCGCATCTGCAAGGCGTCTACTTCGGGGAACGCAGTATGGATGTTACATCATCTCATCAAGCTCTGCATCTGCGCTTTCATATTCTATCATAGTCTTCGGTGTCTGCAGCACGCACACGCATTTGTCAGTCTCAGAGGGCTTGCGCACGCCCGTCTTCACACGAATCTGTGGGTGTGTATTGTGGAACATGTATCATCTTGAAGGGGTGAAGAAAACAGAGTGCATTGTGAACCTTGCAGTGTCCAGAAGCCTCCAGGACAACTGTCCAAATCCCGGCGTCTATAAGGCAAACGCATTGATTTCTTTATCGTGGAATGTTTCCAAATGTTCTATATGCCTCAGCGTCCACAACAAATCCGGCACTCTGGCCTATCTGCTGCGTGCTTCTTGAAACCAGCGTCTAGTTGGGGTTTAGCTGTTCTGATGTGTAATTTCCCCGCTGATGTGTATTCTCCCAGGACCAGCGTCTGCCGGCATTGATGTGCATTCTCACCAACTCATGTGAGATAACCCCAACGCACCAGGTACCACCTGCACCCATCCTCGTCTCCTTCGTCCCAAACTCATCCTCCGATTGAATGATTACAATGATTATCATAATCATAGTCATAATCATCGGAATCATAGTCATCATCACAACCATCATCGTGACAGCTCGCTTGCTGCCCACGCCTCACCCGACGTTAAAAAGTGAATAAACACTAGATTAACATCCATCACAGTGATTTTGTAACACACTAAATCATATCTCGGATGGAGTCTGATCTGGACTTTTTTATGGTTGGGAAATGGATGCTCTGCGAAAATAAATAAGTCTGATCTGACGTTATCATGATTTGGACATGGATGGAGTCTGATCTGGACGTTATCATGGTCGGGACATGGATGCCCCGCGGTGACGGAAGGGACCTTTAACCCCCCCCCCACCCCGGCCCTCCAAGTCCGAGTTTTGTCGTCAGGGCCAGTTTTCATGGCCTGACAAGGCGAAAAGTGTAGGATCCGTTACACGGCCGTTACCTACAACAAATTCCTAGTGAGCCGAACACTTGTGATCCTCGCAAATACGACGACAAATCTGTGCTCGGCTCAAGTTGAGCTTGTTGATGTAGAAGAAGTTATCTATGGTTATCTTGTAGTCTCCTTTCCCACAACTAACTAATCCCACTCACAACACTGAGAAGCAACGCACCTTCCTTTTCGCTGGACACATAGCTATCTCTGGAATGCGCGCATCAGCGGAGCAGTCCCATCATGTTTCGTGACGATTCCGTGACCTATCCCATAGCTTCTTGTACAAAACACTCATGCAGTCACGGAACACGACAGCGCTTGGATGTTTGTTCGCACAACCCATGTTTCACGTTTCCAACATGACATACATCCAGAACTCTAACAATCTGTCTGCAATCCGGTCCTGAGACAGTACAACTGAAGCACAGAGATCATCCTCTCGCCGTGAATTGCGAAGCATCATCAGATTTCTCTCCCATCAATACATGGCAGAAACGACGGACTTACGTTGGAAAGACAAAGGATGGACACAACCTTCACATCAAGTTCGTTCTCGGGATATTCAGCATCGTAGCCGGTCATGTTGGATGTAGACGCCTCGATGAACGAAATGGTGATCCCATTGCAGAAATGCTTTTCCACGTGCATGTCGAACACGATTCGGTGAGTCATTGCCGGTGAAAAATAAAGGAGTCAATGATGCGTCCGTCTAAGCTAGCCCGAACGGTCTGCACATTTCCCAGTCGTACCACCTGATTACGCCGAGGTCTGGGCCTTACGGGTGTTGTGAGCCCCTCTCGAGGACAGCCGGCATTTTGGTGTTAAATCTGTGGAGACTGTCGGCTGGGTTGAAACCTTCTTGGCACCACATGTGTTCTATTTCGTTTTGCACGTTATTTACAGTGTTTTCGTACTGTCCTGCCACCTTCGGTTTAGCAGCTTTACCTTTGCCGCCTTATCATAAGCACTGTCGCGGCTTTGGTGTCTGAACCCCTGCAGCTTCAGCCGCTGCCAGAATTATGGAGCCCTGAAGCTGCCACCGCCCAGCAAGGATTTGGGGTGGCTGACAGCAGTATTAGTCGGAGCAGAGTGTTGTCGTCGTAGTAGTGGTTGTAGAATAGTAGTAGTAGTAGTAGTAGTAGTAGTAGTAGTAGTAGTAGTAGTAGTAGTAGTAGTAGTAGTAGTAGTAGTAGTAGTAGTAGTAGTAGTGGTACTTCTAGTGGTATCGTGGTAGTGGGAGTGGTAGTGGTAGTGGTGGGAATGTGGTGGCAGCAGCAGCGGCGGCAGCAGAAGCGGCAGCGGCAGCGGCAGCGGCAGCGGCAGCAGCCGCCGTCGCTAGCGCTGTCGCCGTCGTCGGTCACTTCATCCCTCCGTCGTCGTCGGCACCTGTACTTTAACCGAGGCGACACTTCGCAATTTTAGAACAGTTCTTGTTCCAGCGCTAGATTCATCCAGCGAGAAGACTTCCCAAGGCCTGCATCGCCATCTGCGACATCATTGGGTTTCCTTGGAGACCCGCGAGGCAGGTAGGATCTACTCGCCTTAAGAAGCCGATCTCAAGAAGCCAGAGGCCAAGCTGAGTCTCCACCCATCATGGCCATGTTCAACGGATTGAGAGGCGGCTTGCTGCCGTTGCTGCCGCCCGTCCCGAACCTAAGTTCCAAGAGGCGGAGCATATTGGCCTTGACTATTCACAGCAGTTGCCCCAGGGTGCATCGTGGGGTTGGTCATGGCCATCATTGCCTGCAGCCTTTGAAACCTCAGCTCAGAAGGCAAAGAGCCGGGGCCAGCGCGTCAGTGCTACCTTCGGCACGGCATTCTCAGGCGAGCGGCGTGCTGCGAATGTCCTGCATGGCATTGCCATCGTCGCCATCATCTGCATCCTTGCCGCCTTTTGTTTTCCGCCCCATCTTCGAGGCGCACGAGCAAAGGTCAAGTGCAAGAAGCACTTCTGGAGAGCCAGTGAAAGTTACAGGTTTACTCAGTTCAGAGTTGCTTCTGTAGCCCCTGGCCCAACCGGTCCATCGCATACAAGCTTTCAAGGGACTGCGCACGACGTTTGCTTGATTTGTGCCCCTTGAGCACAGTCACCAACCCCATCCGTTCCATCAGCTCCAGCATGTCAATGCCGTAGCTCAACTTTTCCAAGGACTCGGCTTCACTGGCACTATTTTCGCTGTAGAATTTCAAGGTTTCTCCTGACGCTCGAACAGATGTCTGTGCCTCATCCGCCCGAGTGTTTCTGGCTCTGTTGCATGATGGACGAGAGCTGCGTGTATACGTTGCATCTGAATCTCAGAGTTCGGTGACTCGGTGCGAGGCAGCCAAGACCTGTCGCCTTGCTGAACGGCTGCATCTTTGCGGCCGTGTGAAATCAGAACTGTGTGGACCAAAACCCACTCTGTGAGAAAGTCTACGAGCCTGCGCAGGTTTTTGCGCTCTCCTTCCCTGCACTTCGAGCAACGCACTGCATGCGCCCCGACTACGGCCGACGCCGTCGCTGCAAAAAAATCACTCGAGTCACCTGCCCTCACACCGGAAGCCGGCGTTGATCGTAGATCAAACTGGCACGATGCAGAAAGGCACGGGATGTGCCCGCTGCCAAAGCACCAGCGGCGACTGACATCTCAGCGCGAGGCTTGCACAGTGAAGACAGCGGCCACATATTGAGGACCGTGGCCGCTCCTGAAAGAGCAGACAGGACAGCTGTGGAAACAAACATGGAGACTCTATGCAGACCGTGCTGTCGTCCTGGCACTGTCATCTTGAGTGAAGCCAGGACATTGGGCAGGAAGGCCGCGAAAAGCTTCCATATGCCATACCTCAGGAGCGGATGTTGGTACTTCCGGTACAAGCCTGGATATCACACTCAGAAGCAGGCATTTCTGTAATGAAGCCGACAAAAGGCCAGCCCACAACAATGATGGCGATCCCAAGGAAGTATCTTCGAGCGCGGTAACTGGAGTCTGTTGAGTCTTAGGCCATCGAGCTTCAGAGTTACAAGTCTGCGACCCCGTCGTGCCCTTCCACTTCTCTTTCCGGAAGAAGAACTTGAAAGCCTGACTCAGGCTGCACGACTCTGTCTGGTTATCCTGCTGCGCGACTTTCTCGCCTTCGTGGGGCCCAGGAGAAGGGCAAGACCAACCAGAAAGGCGACGTTCCTGGCGTGGAAATCAAGAGCCGTCGCGAGGAAACCCGTGTCCTAGAGAGAGGAGGAGGGAAAGAACAGACTCCAACAGGCCAGAAAGATGTGATTTCTCAGTGTCCGCAACCGAGGCAAAGCGCACCCTAGCGCCAACAGCGTACGATCAAAGAGCAAGAAGACGCCGAGCATCACGAAGAGGACTCCAATGCCGCATAGGCCTCAGCAGCACGAGGCCAGAGCTGAAGGTTTGGGAGGCCCAGCAGGAAGGACAACTGGACAAATGCAAGCCTTTTCGAGGGGCGGCTGTCGGCTGTGCACTCGCCAAACCCGAGAGCTCGCGACACATTGCGTCCCGCCCGGGTCGCTGTGACATCCCCCGCGAGCCTGAGCTCGGCTCACACCGCCGCAACCGCCGCTCGGCCGTCTTGGAAACATTGCCGAAGCCCCAATTGGCCACGAGGGCCCTCTAATGGGACAGGCGCTCCCACGGCGCAGAAACTCGTCACAGCTGCAGCATTTGAGCAGCCGTTCTACATTTTGGAAATCTCTGGCAGGTTCAGATTCACATTCTCTTTGCCAGACATCTCGGCACCTCCTCTGAGGATTCCGGAGGTCTCTTCACTGATCATGGGAAGCTCGCGGTGCTTCGTTTCTCGCTCTCCTCGCGTTTCTCGCTCTCCTCGCGTCAGCTCTGGCCGCTTTGGATTGCCGAGATCCCGCAACGGCTGCAGACGGCCTGCGAGGTCTGACCAGGAAGGCCTGAAGTTCCGAAGGCCTCAGAAGATTGCTGAGACCGCTGAAAGCAAGGCTTGAGGCTTGGCACAGACCCAAACTGTGAATCTGAGCAGCTCGGGAGGTCCCCGGGTATGTGCTGCGGCCACCCCATCTGATGCTCACCTCAATGCAAAGGTCCGGCCACGTTTCTGTCTCTGGCGGCTCTGGCGGCTCTGGCGGCTTTGGCGGCTCTGACGCTGGGACACCCTGCGACCTTCGTGGCTCACCTGCGTGGAGATGTTGTTGAGCCACCTGAGGCGAGATGAGGCGAAGCGAGCGAAGCGAAGCGACGCGCAGGTCGCCAGGAAATCGCTCGTGGCTGGCCCGCCTGTTCAAGCCATCCTGGCAGTCCCAATCCGAAAGTGTCAGCGACGTGTGACAGCTCTCGACAGCCAATCTCCTGTGCCACGGCCACCACAAGCTCGGCACCTTTCTTGGATTCAAAACTCCAGCTCTGCACTGCTACTGCACGCTGCACACTGCCGTGGCCCCAAACAATCCGGGTTTTGTCTGAAAGTCTTCGGGCTTGGGCCCCCCATCTGGCAATGCTGCTGAAGTTTGCCATGACGCCGACCACGAAGACGACGATGGTGATGGTGACGGTGACGGTGATGTTGATGGTCATGGTGGTGGTAATGGTGGTGATGGTGGGGATGGCGGTGATGGCGATGTTGTGCCTGCCCCGGTTCAACGCTCTGCTGTGTTTTAACCGCACGCTTCGGAAGTAGACGAGAGCAGTCAGCCGCTTTGGGGCCAAAAGGAAGGCGGCAGCGCTTCTCGGTGAGAGCTGCATCTCCAAACAGAGTCGTCGCAGCTGTAAAACGCGAAGCTTCCCAAGCTGCCTCCCGTAGAGGCTCCAGCAAAACAAAGCTCTGCTTTCCGGGTAGGCAGGTGGGCCACAATTTTTGCGTCACGGCGGCAAAACATGCCAAGTGCATGTTGTGCCTGCCGTTCCTCCCCCGGTTCAACGCTCTGCTGCGTTTTTACCGCACGCCTCGGAACCAGACGAGAGCAGTCAGCCGCTTTGGGAAGGCGGCAACTTTTCGGTGAGAGCTGCATCTCCAAACAGAGTCGTCGCAGCTGTAAAACGCGAAGCTTCCCAAGCTGCCTCCCGTAGAGGCTCCAGCAAAACAAAGCTCTGCTTTCCGGGTAGGCAGGTGGGCCACAATTTTTGCGTCACGGCGGCAAAACATGCCAAGTGCATGTTGTGCCTGCCGTTCCTCCCCCGGTTCAACGCTCTGCTGCGTTTTTACCGCACGCCTCGGAACCAGACGAGAGCAGTCAGCCGCTTTGGGAAGGCGGCAGCTTTTCGGTGAGAGCTGCATCTCCAAACAGAGTCGTCGCAGCTGTAAAACGCGAAGCTTCCCAAGCTGCCTCCCGTAGAGGCCCCAGCAAAACAAAGCTCTGCTTTCCGCCTTTCTTCGTGGCCAGCCGACAAGAGCGGCGCGCCCGCCGCAAAAAGCCGTAGCAGTCGCAGGCCCAGCGCGCATCAGAGGGGAGCATCAACGGCTCCAGGCAGAAGCGGCGAGGTATGGGAACAACGCCGCTGCTGCCCTGACTTTCCGAGCTGAAGCATCATCCAAAGAGGCGAGGGCCGTGATCGCCCCACTTCTTGCAAAGAATACTCAAGTGTAGCCTGGTGCTTCAATCTCATCCGCCACTGTATGTCAGCAATCGACATCCCTCTGCGGTACGCCAGGACAGTTCCGCCACCTCGAAGCCCTCCCGGAGTCAGTCGAAGTCGAGGGTCGATGGCCAACATCGTAAGAAACTTGTTCCAGCGGTACCTAAAGGCAGAGGGAGTCAAAGGAAAAAGCTTTTCAGATTTCGGCAGGGAAGCAAAGGCGAGGCCAATAAGGTTCACTGCCACGGGATCGTCGATCTTCAAGTGTTGCACTCTGCCTCGTCCTCATGTCGAGGTCTTAGAAGACCTCAGCCTCAAGAACGCCGATTGTCCCTGTTCCCAGAGGTCGTCTAAAGGCATCAGCAAATCACTCCTCAAAGTGGTGAGAACCTCTCCTATACGTCCCACGCCAAAGTAAGCCAGGAGCGTCTCCCAACGACTCACCAGTTCCCATACTATTCCAGAAAAGGGCTTCAGGTTGATGTAGTTCCGCTGTCCTGCCAGGATAGCGTGTCTCAGCTCATGGAAAGTCCCTCCAGTCTTATACAGCCAGTTGCCGTATGCTCTCAGAGCCATGGCGAGGAGCGCGGGCGAGCGACCGAAGACTTCAGCAGGGACAAAAGAGACAAGGGAGACAAGCCAGACGAGGAAAGCTGACCAAGCTCCATCTCCTAAAGCCCTGCAAATCCCTGAAAGCAGAGGCTGAGCTTCAAGGCCGAAGCCTTCTCGAGCTGCGCGTGTTCTTGCTCTCCGGGGTGCAGGGTGCGAGGCTTCACCGATGCGGCCTTGAGATTGTCGAGCTGTGGCAGCGCACAACGGCGCGCAATTTACGCCGAGCCGGCAACAGTTCAACAGAGCCAGGACAAGCTCTTCTGAAACCTGAGCGGATCGCTCTGATGCAACTTTCGTCCACGACAATCCATGCACCTGAGAGCGCCCGCGAAGTCGACGATGCCGACCCTGAAACGAACAGAAGACTCGGCCTCCTCTCAGCTCGGAGTTGGTAGCGATTCGAAATCGACTTCGCCACAAGGTCCCGTACCGACTCGTACCGGAAGACGGAAGACCTCCTCAGCATGAGCGTCGAATCGACGCCATGGTCCCAGAGGCCGTCGCTTCCGTGCTGGAAATCGGCGAGCAAAGCTGCCAGACGGTGAGCCATTTGGTTCTCGGCCGCAACAGGACGTAGACCGACAGGTTGGAGTCACTGCCCGAGAAAAGGTTCCCGCAGGAGGGGAGGCCCCAAGCACGCAAAAGGACCGAAGCGCGACCGCTGCACTCAACATCTGCCAAGCAGCTTCGGCGAGCTCCTCGACGGGCGGGGACAGCACCCAAGCAAAGCCCCGAGACACAAGACGACGAGCAAGGCCGGAATGTTCTGCGTACAAGTGCAGGCAACCAGCTTGGCGGAAGTCGAGCACGCCGCGGCTGGGCCAAAACCACGACCGGCAGGGCTCCAAGCATCGAAATGCCGTCCGGTAGAAGCTGTGGCAGGGTCCAGGAGAGGAACCGGACGCTCCAATCCGCGCCTTACGCAAGGCCTTTCGTCTTCGTCGGCCATTGCAGATTTTCGGCCCGTAGCCGTACTTCTGGTGAGCGGACCTCTCGCAGTGGCCTGTCACACTTAGGCTTGCAAGAAAGGAAGTTTTCCAGGTTGGAAGCTGGGCAAAGGCTCGGAAGGTCCTCGGAGGGGAGTGGAGTGGGGTCATCGGCTGGGTTCTCGGCAGACCTGAAGTACCCCAGACCTCCCTGAACACGACACCCAAGATGAAAACCAAGCGATCTTCTCAAGAGCTGATTGATTGCGGGCGAAGAGGGCTCACTTGCGTGTCCAGTCCACACAAGAAACGGACGTTGCACATCCTGTTTGCAATCCGTTCTTCAAGCCTCAGGAATCCTCTGGTTTCCTTGAGGTTAATGTGCGTACTGGGACGCGCAGGAGCAGTGAAGAGCTCTCGGTAACGCACGCTGCAGGCTGGATTCTCCAAACGGAATGCGGAGTGAAAGAATCTTCTCCGGGAAGCTCCGAGTCGGGGTCAAGCATTCCCCGAGCTTTGAACCAGGCTTGCGGCTCAGACAGGGGCCTCGCCCAAGCGCCCCGCTGCACTGAGTGCCGGAAGAACTCACGAGCGGCCAAAGGTGGAAGGTCGGCCTGCACTCCAGCTGAAAAATGCTGAGGTCCTGGTCCGGAGGCAGGACGATGTTCAGCAGAGTCGAAGCCGAAGCCATTGAAGACGACCAGTAGCTCGGACAGCCGCCGAAGGCGTTGCTTGGCCTGGCGTCAAGCACCAAGCGGTCTCGGCTCAAGTTTTTTTGGGCACAGCGAACATGCCTCCGGTGTACGGTATCATCGATTGCGGAACGAGAACCGGGCGCAGGCGACCACAAACAGCCAGAGCCTTGAGAGCAATCCTCTGAATCGTCTGAGCTTCCCAGAGCATCCGGCAGCATCGATTTTGAAGCTTCTATACATATATATATATATATATCAGCGGGTGATAGATCTGTTTGAATGATCAAAAACATACCATCAGCGCCTGATAGCGCCGATTTTGAAGCTGCTGCTCCCGGCAGCGGGCAAAAGGACACTGCGATCCGGAAGCGGGCAAAGCCAATGACCAGCGGGGGTCGAATATTGCAGCGGACTTTTAGGCTCACGCGCCCTGCTTTCTCTTAAGCCAAAAGGGCTACGGTGACACACAACTACCTTAACACTGAACAAGACAAAACAAGGCATCTACTTTCCAACACGCCTCCCGAGGGCGGCTTAAACTCTCAGCAATCGTTTGGCTGCCCGAGATGGAAAATCGCTACCAGGGCGTAGCCGCTCAAGCCCTTCAAGCGTTCAGTGCCAGGTGATGTCTGCCCTCCGTGTAATGATAGTTCATTCCAGACAGAAGCATTTGGATACGGGCTCTCTCCAAAGGCTTCGTGAGAAGATCTGCCAGCATCTCGTCGGTGTGCTTCTTTCCCAGCAAAATCCTCCCTGATGCAACCACCTCTTGCACCGAAAGGAATACTGTATCAATGTGCTTAACGCGACCCAGGCCATGGCGGGAGCCGATGGATAGTCCAGTACTAGCGTCCATCCAAGCTTGAATGGGGAGAAGGATCCCCCAATCCTTGAGAGTGGACTGCTCGCCAAGAGCATTGCATGAACCAGACACCAATCCATAGTACTCGGCTTCGCCGCTGCTTAAAGCAATCACAGCTTGGCTCTTACATCCAGTCTTGATGGTAGAGCTCCCAAGCCGAATGCAATAGCCTGTTGTAGACTTGCGGGAACGCAAGCAACCAGCATGATCAGCATCCACCCAGAGCGTCAATCTAGGAATGCACGCTTGGTAAGGAAACAGGTGCACAAGCCGCGGGCTGCTACGAAGATAGCGCGCCCCACGCTTGAGCATCATCAGATGCGCGGTGGGACTCTTCAGTCCCTTAGCAAGCTCCTTCGCGAGCACTTGGAGATCGGGCCGATCTTGAGAGAGATAGGCCAACCTCATGCTCACAGAGCGGTACCACGAAGCATCTTCAGAGGATAAAGGCTCGGCCGCTTCGACCTCCTCGATCCTCTCTTTCACCAAGGCAGTGGTGACCTTGGCCCCCTCGCAGCCAACTTCCCTCAGGATAATATCGGCGTGGCGAGGATCTGCTTCAAGCTCAATACCTCTGGAAGTCCACGACACCAAGCGGTTCAGGATGTCGATGGACTGCTGTGTACCAGCCATACCAGGCGGTCCCAGGTAACCACGAACTTCAACAGTCCAGTGTTTGCCCAACTCTGCGGAAAACCAGTCGAGCTCAGCCTTGGCTCCAAGGCCGGTGAAGTCGTCGCCGTGTACCTCCACTCGGACCTCCCTCTCGGGATGGTAGTATACAGGCAAGAGTTCGAGCGTCCACGGACGAACCCCAATTGAGTCATCACTCGCAGGATGGTCGCCTCCCAATTGGCAAGTGCATCTCGAGTTCCATAGAGGGACTTCCGAAGCAAACCAACATACTTGGAGGTGTCCACACCAGCTTCTGCGGGAAGCTCAATGAGTAAACGTCTCCGAGCATCAGCCCAAAAATGCGCTTTCTTAATATCCAAGAAGACCAGGCACTGGTCCTTCGGAAGATCGCGCATTTTTCCTTCAAGGTCTGGCGCCCGTTTCGTCGTGGCTAAGGCAAACAGCACACGCAGTGCGCTAATAGGCGGCATAGAAGCATAGAAGTCCTCCCAACTAGGTTGGTGGACGTCCCCTGTGACTCCTCCGGGGTAACGCTTCTTCAGTTCGCGCGCCACTAGGCGACTGCGGTATTTGGGATGGGCCTCATCCCGTTTGTTGATGTCTACCCAGCGGGTGGTGATTACCCGCTCGCCACTAGGTCTGGGAATAACTTCCCAGACCCCCTCCTTGATGGTAGAAACCTCCTCTTGGCGAGCCTCCTGCACGAGCTCAGGTCGAAGAGGTTTACCCGACACATCGTCCCAATAGGACGTCTCGTACTTCTCGTAGGTATCTGTGTCGAATTTCTCCTCACATACAGGATAAGGATCCCCAGCCACCGACGCTAGGAACCCAGTCCGAAGAGATAGAAGAAAATCAATCACCATATCTTCTTCTCCTCCGCCCGGGTGCGGCCGTTTGGAAGAGGACGACGCCTCAGACGTCGAAACTTCCATGGCCGCGGGGCCCTCAGAAGTGGGTCCCTGTGCTGAACCAGCACTTGGGTCTCCAGCATCCACTCGGGCTCGCTTGGCTTCCTCAGCCTTGGGCTTCTTCGAGACTTGCGCCTCCTGAGTAGAAGCCTCTTCGGTGGGTCTCTTGGCCACCGACTCAACAGCAGAAGGGCGGGAGTCCAAAGGTGACTCGCCAGCCCTGAGCTTAGACCTCGGGGTCTCCTTCAGCTTTGCCGCAGCTATTCGCTTTCTTCCCTCTTCGGTCTTCTCCATCTCGCCGACAACGCGCCTCCTGCAGAACTCGGTGTGGTTAACACCTTCTCTTGAAATGCCCATCCGGATCAGGTCGCAGGCTGGGCAAGAAGCAGTGTAGCCGTGCCGGTCGAGATCTTGCTGTCTCAGGTACACTTTTTTCAAGAGTTCTGGCTTAGGCCCCGCCTCGACGTCAGTAGCCGGCTCGTCGGGCAACTCGGGCTCTATAGCCACGGCGGCGGGAAGCTCCAAAGCTTCGTCCGGACGTGCCGCCTTTTTTGGTTGGGGCGCCCAAGGCGTCCCCTTCGCTTTCTTAAACAACTCAGCATCCCACCTCAGCTCTTTCGGCTTACGGCGGATAGTCTGAACCACGACCACCCCATCTTCCGTGGCGATGATCTTCTCAGTGGCGCCCAGTCGGACCCCGCAGTAGATCCCGACTTGCCACCTAGGCTCCAACTTGTACCTAGCACGAACCCGGTAGTCCACAGCTTCTCCCCAGGCAGGAAGGGCCACGGCCCAGTCACGTCCTTTCAAACGCCTGAAGGGAGTCAGGCCATCCTTCATAGTCTCGTCGTGGGAAAAGAGAGTATACATACTCCCGGCATGTTCAACAAGCCAGCCCAAAAGTGGCCCTTCTCGCACGCATCCTTGTACGTACGACAGAGCCCCTGGGTAATCTCAACAACAGCCTCGGCTTCGCCGTTGCTTTTCCCATGATCGTCGCCCTTGGGCGAGTTCTCTAGTTGCACACGCACCCCTTCACCAACAGAAGAACCCCTATCCCGATACCCAACAGAAGAGAAGATGAAGAGATCTCAGAAGGCAGAGGGCAGGGGAGACACTCAGGGAAGACAGGAGGCTCGGACAAGAAACGACCGAGGAGAACGAGAAGACTACCGGACGACAGTCCGGCTCCTGACGCAACGGCAAAGTCGCGCATGCACTTGGCCCACAGTTTTTGCGTCACGACGGCAAATCATGGAGAGGGCATGGTGGTGGCGGTGATTGCGGTGATGGCGGTGAGGGCGGTGATGGCGGTGATGGCGGTGATGGCGGTAAGGGCGGTGATGGCGGTGATGGTGGTGATGGTGGTGATGGTGGGGATGGCAGCGATGGCGGTGATGGCGGTGATGTCGCCAATGATGATGATGATGATGATGATGATGATGGTGATGATGATGATGATGACGACGATGATGTATGATGATGGTGATGATGGTGATGCTGGCGCTGATGGTGATAATGTAGATGATGATGATGACGACGATGATGATGATGATGGTTGCGCCGATGGCGATGAGGGTGATCGCGGCGACAGTAGCGATGGTTGCGACTGGGATAATGGCGGCGACGATGGCGATGAATGACGGCGATGATGGCGGTGATAATGGTACTGATGTCGATGATGATGGTGACGACGATAATGGAGACGGTTGCGATGCTTGTTTCTCCGGTGGCGACATTGACGGACGATCATGACAGCCGTCGCCATGATATGCATGTTGATGACAACATGATGAGGACCATGAGGATCAGGCAAATGAAGATGAGAGTTGGATGAACGTCGTGGCCAGTTTCCTCTGGTCGACCTGGTCCTCTTCATCCTGGTCGTCCTCCTCATCTTAGTTACTTAGTTGTAATCCGCATCGTCCGTCACTGTCAGTTGTCGATGTCCTCGCCGTCGTCATTCGGATAATGAGGCGCATTGTTGTGATCGTTGGTCTCCGAGGGCTCTTGCTGTTCAGGCAATTCGGATTGATCGAGTTTGATTGGTGACGTTGAAACCCTTGCAGTTGGTCTCTGTATGCTCGTCGGTGAAGCTCGAGCCGGTGCTGCACTGAGACCGCCACTAGTGGGATATGTCATCACCTCTGGGGGCAGCAAAAAGGCCTCGGAAACGACAATGTCAACTGGGCTTAAAGGCTCAAGTATTGAGGGTCGCCACAAAACACCGAAACTCTGGTTGCACGCTTCCACGCTTGTATACCGAATACAAACCGTATGCTAGATAGACTGCAAGACATTCAAGACCGTAGGGCAAGATATAAAAGCATTGATTCCACATGGTCAGGCGACACAGGACCAGATTCCATCCCACGGAGCGTCGGTACTTGTGATCAGACTGCCACTCGGCAACTCCACGAACGAGGCAACCAACAACACTCGCTGCTGTCATGCAGGAAACAGCAGCCATGGAGAAGCGGTGTCATCACGACGTCTGTGGAAGTGACAAATGCAGTGAAGCTGCCCTCAGCTTTCATAGCTAGAGCTACGCCAAGCGACTCTGCCCTGACATGGTTGGTGTTGGAGTTTGACTCCACTCGTGGTCTTCCGGGGCCTAGCCATCGTGTTCTGTGTCTCTGCCGTGGAACTCCGGGTGCCGCGTAGGGCCGTCTCCCCGCTGTGCCTGGCGCGCCCGGTCTCGGCCTTCGGAGAAAGACAAACTGACAAAGCAAAAACACCGCCCTGCGGTCCGCGGCGGTCCGCGGACCGCTGCAGTCCTGAAAGATGCCGTGATCTCGGGGATGTGCAGAGCCTCCTGTATCAAGTCATTCGCGTTTGCGATTCGTCTTCCGCACTCTGCAAGTCCTCTGATTGAGTGATGCCACCTGCAATTCGCGAACGACTTCCCGCCGTACTGCCGCGCGGTCTTTTAGGAACTGCTTGCGGTTGCAAACGCTACCCGGCCTTTCTGGGTGTTGATGTAAGCCTCAGTCGGCTTTCTACCACACTGACCCCGAAGCAACCAGGAAGGGACTCGTGCACTCAGCACCTGGCCGGCAGCCCACAAGCAAGGCGCTCCGCCCTTCAATCCGGCACTATCAAATCCAAAATATTGTCTCAACGGCGAGCGTGCTATCGGCCTGCGTCGGGGCGGAGGAGTTCTTGGTGGCGATGCCTCCTGACAGGATCTTCGGAAGGGCCGCAAGAAAATGCAAGAACAGCAACAAGACTCAAGCCTGCCACTCGCTTGTCGCCACTCCATCAGTCATCGACATGTTGCGCTGGCAATGCCGACTAGACTTCCCCGGTGAAGTCTTGATACTGTTCGAAATTGACGCATGCTGCCCAGTATTCCGGCCCATGAAGCTCTGATCCCCAGAAACGGCTCGCGAAAGGAAACAGTGACAGAGCACAGACTACGGCCACAGCACGTGTCAGTCTTGGAGCCCGGCCAATGCCAATCTTTTTGTTATCATCCAACATCTTTGGACAAAGCTCGGCCTGATCTGGGCAAGCCGCTGAACTCAACGGCGCTTTGCAATGGTCTGAGAAGCTCGCTCTCCACAGAGAGGAGCTAAGCCCGGCTGCGCACAGCGCAAAAAATGAGCCAACAGCTCAACCGGAGATGATTCCTTCAGACAGTCTTCGACTACCTGCACATGACGGTTCCTGTTCCATGCCCAGCATGGCAAAAGTTGAGGGCAACGTACTCGCCAACAGCCACTGCATGGGCCAACCAAACTCACACGGCCCAAACACTTGCAAGGTTACATGGCGAGCAAAGCTGTTGAATCCGTTGCCGTGCTCCAGCGAGAACAACCAAATGTGCGGCCGAGAAGCTCCAAATTATTTCATGCAATCGAAAAGCTCACTGGTTGTCTTTGTGCCGTTCATGTGGCATGTGAGCACGACAGCCGTGTATTTATCAGTGTTTGCAGGTCTACAGTCTACATGTCTTGGCATGCAAAGGGCCGCTCTTGAGACTTGACGCCGCAGCTTCCCGCAGCCCCTTGCCCGTCGTGCTGGTTCAATCCCTGTGGTTACCTGCGATGCATGTTGCGCACCTGGGCAAAGAGGGGAACTAAGTGCAACATTCATCATTGGGTTTTGGGAGTGCCCTGTCGTTTCTATCCTGTTTGTCTTGTCTTGTCTTTGGTTTTTGCTGCCGTACTGGCTCAGTCCTGTGGTTACCTGGGTTGACTGTTGTGCCCCTGTCGGGGATGTAGACTTCTGTGCCTTACATCGCAAACGAAGATGTCATAACGAAGTACGGCCCCGGGGCGGACTCCAGTAGTTGACTTGGTCTTGCCGAAACACGATGCATGTTATGCTTACCTTGTCATCCTGCTTTGTATGCTGACTGTGTTTTGATTGTTGCTGGAAACTTTCGGGATTGTTAACCTTAAACCGGTGGAATGCGGGCATATCTTGCCAGACGGCATCCACAATTTGAAGTGCTTTGATTCGATAGCGCCTGAAGACTGAAGACAGCATTTTTTCAACCTCCTCGACTGCTACATGGAGACCGAAGGGTTGCTTTCGGATGGCCAGGCTATTGCTTGAAAGGCTTCAACAGGACCACGGCCGTGGTATTACTAGTTATTTTTATTTCCAAACACAAACCGTGCTCAAAGTTTCCTCCATGCAATATGATGGCAATGTTGTATTGATATAAATGCAGCTCAATAATCTTCCATTCCAATCGATGGCTCCCACTGTCGCTCATTTTCCTTCACACGTTTGCTCGGCTGGGGAAACCTTCATCGAGCCTCCCGGCTGCATAAAAGGGCCGGGGTAGGCGAGAAACACTCCACGGTCCGCAGAGAACTGTGCAGAGTGAACTACACCCACAGGGCAAAAGTTCACCAGGCACTTAAGCCCAGTACTTCGGCGGCTGCTGAAGTGCACATGAACTCTGCATGCAAACATGTAAACGAAGCCTGCGCAAAAAAAATGAAAACCAAAGATTGAGCAAAAACTTCGGGAGCACTGTTTCAAAACCACAAAAAGGTTCTTGAAATTTTGTGTTTGGAAAGACAAGGTGATTGTCGCCTCCGATGAAATGGCACCTGGTTGCCTGGACGATATGTAATCTCAAATACGCAAGCCTGGGCGATCGAGCATGTGGTTTTGTCGATATGCCGGGGAAAGGGGGTGGGGGTTCCCTGCCCCGCGACTCCTGGGCAAATCTATCATCGAGTATTGATTGAAACAATATAAATGGCATATGTTCCAAAAGAGCAGTCCAGTATAAGTTGCAGAGATTATCAAAGAGAAAATATACGAAAGCCGCAAGCGGACTGAGACACTGATGTTTTGACCTCATCACGCGGCGATGCGTGCGATTGCCCGTGGCATCCAACATTTGTCGGACGCACAGCCGATGCGAACCGCAACGACTGATCCCCAAGCAATGCCGACGGGAGCAAGCTATGCCTACGGATCGGTATGCAATCTTTCGCCCTTCTTGAATTTAGTAGCTCTGTTCCCTTGAAGCTGTTCTTTATACTCCTTGATATCGCCGTAGGCCTCTCCAGCATCTATGAGATCACTGAGGATGATAGAGTTGTTACGGCTGAAATCAAATCGCAGCCGCAATTCCGGACTGCAGGAATCATACTGCTGCCCAATGGAGTTCAAAACGCAACGACCTTTGTTGAAGAATCGCAGCCAATTCCATTAACACCGCGTTTAACGGGAATCATGTTGTTTTCCAGCCAGCAGTAATGAAAGCATTGGCTCTGTTGTCAGTCCCCGCCGAACAATGATTGACGTTTTGAGTGCCTTTCTCGGGCTCGAAAAACAGCTAGCGCCCCAATAGAGCAGTACGATTAATCTTTTCCGAAAACCATCTGCGGCAGCGAGGATTTGCATCGTCGGCGCAACACCAGCCGCCCACCCAAAGCTCCGATCCCTGGGCCTTCGCATCCGTCCGAAAGTGCTCCCTTGGACCGGCAGAATGTCGGGGTACCTCCACGTTCTCTATTCTGCTTCGAATGACACAACGGATTGCAATGCAGAGCATTCTGACATCAATCTTTTTTTACCGCAGAGATTGCTAAGGATGCTATGCTGTGCGAGGCATTGCTCGCCGTAGGAGGAGGGTGGGTGAAAAAGATTTGCTGCATGCGATGCAAAGCATGAGAAAGCTAGTTGTGAGGTCTTGTGCCGAAATGCAGTGCGAAGCAAGGTTACATTCGACACAAGAAATAGAAAGCACAGTTGACACAAAAAACGAACTCACAACTAGCGTTCTCTATTCTGCTTCGAATGACACAACGGATTGCAATGCAGAGCATTCTGACATCAATCCTTTTTTACCGCAGAGATTGCTAAGGATGCTATGCTGTGCGAGGCATCGCTCGCCGTAGGAGAGGAAAGGAATGCGATGCCGAGTTATCCCCCACTTCAGGTGCATCCTTAATCTCTGCTGTAAATTCCCCCTCACCGCGCGAGATCGCGGATGTACCTGGCGAGGCGGGGCTCAAGACCAGCTAAGCAGCGCGGCTCCCTAGCAGAAGAAGAGAGAGAGGCGTCGCTCTTTTTTCCATCATTTGAGCATTGCGTGCTGTGCGTCAAGTAGCTGCTGCGGCCACTCGAGTGTGTGATCATGCAGGGTGACGCAATGCGATGCGGAGGCTAGCTGCTCTAGCGCCACTTCGACTTTGTCAGCAGTGCGATGCTGAAGAAAAGCTGTGGAACCTCTGCTAAGTTTGTCGGCCCACACGTTTTCTCTCCTGCGAGGTGCTCAACTTCAAACTGCACGCGGTGCAGGTGCGCCCAAGTAGCGGCAAGGCGGAGAAAGGTCCCGAGGAGCTCGGCCGTGCTAAAGAGCTTGTTGAGGCCTGATTCTGCGCTTGTGTTGTCCGACGCCGTAGGCAGGACGAAGCGAATTTGCTTGCTGCGCAGCAATTGCCAGGAGCACTGTGCAAGTGCAAGCTGTGCGAGTGCTTCAAAGCACCCGATGTATGGCTGTAGGCTGCCTTGCAATTGCGGCCACTGCTTGCGCACCTCCTCAGAAGAGAAGATACCACTGAACCAAAGGAAGGAGTCAGACGTGCTGATCCAGCCTCCAATTCCCATGCGATGCGTGTCCGCAAAAGCATCTGCGGCGCTGTAGCAGTGCATGCGAGGTGCAGTGCGCAGCGAGCGAGGCTGCTCGTGCGAAAAACAGTGCTGGAGCCAAGCCAGTACAAATTTGCTTTCATGTCGCAAGTGCACTTCGGAGCGATGCGGGTCGGCTAGCCTCAGCCACTGGTGCTTATGCGAAGGCGGCACCAGCGGCACGTCAGCTTTGCTTGCTATCTTGAGACTGCCAACCTCAAGCAGCTGTGCATTGCGTGGCAGCCAGGTGCCTGCCGGTGTGCGAGTGAGCTTGGCGTTCTTGTCGAGGCTATCCAAAAAAGGGCCCCACATACTGTTGAGATGCTATGCAGGGTGCCTTTGCAGCTGTGCAGATCTTTGTAGAGCGGTGCCATGAAGGGCCGCATGTGTCTGCTCAGGGACGTAGCCCAATTCAGCAGACCCAGAACCCCTTCAAGTTCTTTGCGTTGTACCTTGCTTCGCCTTTGCAGTGCAAGGAGTTGCTCGCGGAGCTTTTGCAGTTTGAGCTCGCGGAGCTCAATAGTTTCTGCGTCCGTGCGTATGGTCCATCCGCACCACGTGACTTCTTGCGAGAACTGTGCTTTCTTCCAGCTGATAGGCGCATTTAGTGATTTAGTGCTGAAAGCAGCGCGACAATCAGTGCCGCTGCTGTGTCTTTGTCGGATGTGCGGAGCAGTGCCAGAAGATCGTCAACATATAGCCATGCTCGATGCGCGTAATCGCAAAGCAGTGCGTGTATGCACCTGAGCAAAAGGCTGCCTGTGCGCTGCCCTTGCGGCCACTGGCGCTTTGCGTCTTCTTCAATGCCTTCAAACTTTGCGACGAAGCCTTTGCGTACTTCCTCTTCCACCAGCTCTTGTAGCAGTGCAGGGTTGCTCTCGGCCAAGAACCAGTTGCCTCTGCAGTGCTCGAGCGAGGCAGGGCTGAACTCTTCAGCGAAGTCCAAAGAGCTTTGCGTCGGAGGCCACTGTCCGCTGCTGGGCAGAGCTCCGAATGCGCCTGTAGGCACCCCCTCATCAAGGATGATGGGGAGCTGTGCGTCCTTGTCCTGAATGGCCTGTGCGAGGTATTGCAGCGCCGTCAGGCGAAAGGGCTGCCCCTTTGAAATCCTGAGGAACTGTTCGCGGTTGGTGTTCGGTGCCATGGTTTCATGCATGATGTGCGCCAGGGCTGTGCGGTGCTCCTCGCTGAGCGGGTGCGAGTCTGTGCCGGACTTAAGGTGCTGGGAAATGTGAGAAATCAGGCCGTGTTTACTGAGGTACTGCTTAAAGGCCTTAGCTAGTTTTGCAAGGGGCTTGGGTTTACTACTTACATTATTGGCAGAATGGTCTGCCGTGCTGAACATGCCCGCTCCGTCGCAGACCGCGGGCCTGCGAGGCAGGAAGCAGCTTGGCAAGTAGCTTTGCAGTGCTGCAGGTTGAATGGGCGATTGCAAATATGATGTGCACTCCTGAGACGCGAGCTTTAGGAGCTGTTTATATGGATCTGTCTGCTGTGCAATGCTTGCGAGAGATGAATGAGTAGAGCATATGATATGCAATGCATTGCTTTGGGGCAGCTTAACTTGGATGCAGTGCACAGCTAGTTCTTGACATAGTTGTATGTATAGCTGTGCGATCTTGTCTTCGCAGGGGCTCGGATATTCTGATCAACTTTGGTTTTCGTACTCGTACCCGTATTTTGATTGAACAGTTTGGTAGCTTTTGGACATGTAGCTTTGAGTGCATGGAAGAACCATGTTACGACCGACGTATGCAGGCTCAGAGTTTGCGTGAAAGAGGATTGTTTTCATGGTAGCGGAGCACTGGCTGACCAGTGCTTCGGAAACACGCTTGTGGGTTTCCGTCACTTTAGGTGTCCAGGGGCCCAGGCTTTGAAATCCTCTTCTGCTTTTCGTCTTCGGTGAAGTTAGGTAGGATCGCAATCCCGGCTCCTGACCGGACGAGCCATATCCTGCTTGAACAAGCCGAGTGGCAATCACGGCGGCGAGTGAAGCTTCTGCTGAAGCATTGAGAGAGCGGATCAGACAGCTCTATCTTGAGCAGCTGTTGCAGCGGCCCTGCCCAGAAGGCCGCACGCGCAGAGGTTGGTGCAAGATTCTTCACGGGTTTCAGGAAGCTTTAGATACCAAGCTTGAGCGACTTCATACAATTTCGGAACTGCATTGTTTTGCCCTTAAGTGCTTGAAGGATCGCGATCTTCGAGAAACTTACATTGGGTTTTGTGCAGCGGACACCGCAGAGTTTGCCATACCAGACGGTGTTGTTGAAAGTTGTGTGCACCCGACTGAAGAGCATTCTGCGTTTGACAGGGACCTAGAGCTGTTTGAGCAGACAAGTTCCTCTCGAGGTTTTCAGGAGTTGAAAGATTCGCCAGCAGAGCCGATTGAATTGCGTGAGCCTGAGCGTGGTGTGTTCAAGCGCCTGCAATTATCTTCTTCTGCTGTTATCGATCGATTTAGAGCCCAATCAACCAAGTGCAAATTCATTGCAGAGTGGAAGCCGCAGTGTGATTGACCTTGACTGATTGTTGGAACAATGGCTGATTTAGATGATGATGATCTTGGTGGTGAGGGGCCGACAGGGCCTCCGGCGTCAGGGAGTGCAGGACCAGCAGTCGGACCGCAGCTTCCCCAGATGAGCACGAATCCGTTTTCGCCAGTGGCAGGTGGTTCAGTGCCCAATCAGGTAGTGCTTGATGTTGCTCAGTTTCAGCAGATCCTGCAGACAATGCAAGGCCAAAGTCAGGCTGTTCTTGCAGCGGCAGGTGTAGCGAGCGCAGGGTCCCCGAGCAGGAGTTCAGGGACACAGGGCTTTAGTGATGCAAACCGCATCTTGAATAGGCCCGCATGCTTTGGGAGCACCTCGCATGACAGTGACTTAGGGTCGTGGCTTGATTGGGCACACGCCTTCAAGGCTTGGCTAATCTTCGCTGACCCGCAGTATGAAATTGAGCTTCAGACAGTCGAGTCAAACCTTGATGTGGAAAACCCCACCATGCCAGCTGAAACTGCAGAGCGGTCGCGTCGCTTGTATGCCATCTTGAGCAGTCTGCTGCAGCACAAGCCGAAGATGCTGTTACGGCAAGTGCCGAATCGCAACGGCTATGAAACCTGGCGGCAGTTGGTCAACATCTACGCGCCGCGATCAAAGGTGCGAGGACTTGCATTGCTGAATGCCATCATGTCGTTTCCTCCGTTTGTGAAAAGCAAAACGACCAGGGAGCAAGTTGACGGTTTGGATCGCCTTGCCCAGGAGTATGAAAGGGTCTCAGGAACGGCTGTGAATGCCGATATTCTCCTTGGGACTTTACTTCGGGTTTTGCCAGCGCACTTGAGAAACCACATTCAGCTTCAGATGAAGAGTGACACCAGCTATGAGCAGGTCAAGCAGTTCATTCTGACATATGAGGTGACGACCAGCAATTGGTCTGCGTCCAAAGTGCAGCAAAGCTTAGGCATAGGCTCCTCGGGTGACCATAGTGCCAGTGATCCCGTACCCATGGATGTAGATAGAGTCGCTAAGGGGAAACCTAAAGGCGGCAAGGGCGATGGTCGTGGAAAAGGTGGAAAGGACAAAGGTGGAAGGGGCGGCAAGCCCAATGGTGGGAAACCGAATCCCGGTGGCGGTGGGGGCAAGTCGCGAAATGCCAACCAGCCGAAAGGCAAAGGAAAGGGAGGCAAAGCCCAGAAGGAGACGCGAAAATGCCATCACTGCCAGAAGCATGGGCATCTCGCCAAGGACTGTTGGCCACTGCATGGCAAAGGCAAAGGCAAAGGCGTGCATCAGGTTGCAGAGGTGAACCCTTCAAGTGCAGCGAGCGAGGCACCCACCATCACGACGTCAGGTGGAGCAGCCAGCACGAGTGGAACAGTGCGACGAGTTCAGGTGTTTGACTTGAGTGCGCCCGCTGACTGTATGGGAGGGCATGTTCGTGCTGTCACATGTGCCATGCAGTCAGCTCGGAATCCCAAGGCAGTTCAGAGCCCAGCAGGTCCCAGTGGCCAGGTCGCGATCGACCAGGAGTGCAGCAGCGACATGTTGTCACCAGAATTTCTTGAGATTGTCCGATCGCTGGAAGGTTCATGTTTGAACAGTGCAGAGCCAGCGTGCGTTTTTGAGAATAGCGATGCAGTCAGCTCGGAATCCCGAGGCAGTTCAGTCCCAGCAGGTCCATTTTATTTTGATAATCAGAGCACAGTGCCACAGGTGTCCCAGGCTGCGCCAGCAGCAGATCAGAGCACAGTGCCACAGGTGTCCCAATTTGACATTTCGGCCGATGATGATTCAGGATCGTGGGAGCACGGAGTTTCGGTGCATGAGCTCAGCACTCTCAAGCGCTTGGAGCCCAACAAAGGCTTTGTGTATGCTGTTCAGACAATCCAAGAGTTGCCCTCAGCTGACGATGCCCTGGATGTGATTTTGGATTCAGGTGCAGACATGAGTTGCTTGCCTCTTGAGTATGCACAACATGGTTTCGACCACGGTCCTCACAACTTGCAACTGCGTGATGCGCAAGGCGAGCCGCTTGCTGTGAACGATCTTCGTGAAGTTGAGTTTGTCGTTGAAAGCAGCACAGGGGAACATGTGGTGTGGCGAGAAGTTTGTGCGATCGCCCCAGTAACCCAGCCTCTCTTGCGCAAGGGCAAGCTCATGAAAGCAGGTTGGTGGCCCGTCAGACAGCCAGACATGGCTCTTGAGCATGACAGCGGTGTGAGGGTTCCGATTTCTTTCAAAGGAAATTCCTTGTGCGTTCGAGCAAGCATTTTCAGGATTGGCCAAGAATCCTTGAGTCCAGCAGGGCATGTGATGTTTGTCCAAGCATCAGTTTGCAATGAAATGGCCGATGCGAATTTTGGATGGCAAATGTCAGGCACGGGAAATTTGTACTTTCGTGGCAGGAGCACTCACTACATTGATCCGTCCATCATTGCACCAGTGGGATGGCCCTGCAGAACCACTTTGGTCAAGCCGTGCACACCTGATCATAATGCCTGGATTTTGCTTGAGCATTGCGTGCACTGGGGTGAGTTGCGAGAGCTTGCGGCCATTTTACCGCATGGGGACTGCGACATAGTGTGCATTCTTTCTTCAGAGCGCGAGGAGCTTGCTGAAGTTGGAGTTGAGCCCCACCGGTCAGCGCAAGGGCACGTGAATTGGAGTGGCCCGCAACCTGGAGATCCAGATGCTGACGAGCTGGCAGATTACGAGCCTTCCGAGGCCGACATGCAAGACACTTCTGCTCCACAGTTGGTGGAGGCGATGCCAGGTGTGCCGCAGGTTCACAGGGATGTGGAGGTGTTGCCAGATGCCGAGGGCGTCACAGGCGAGGCGTTAGTGCCGGGAAGCAGCAGTGACATTCTTGTGTTTGAAGGCATCGAGCTTTCCTTGCAGAGCACATTGAGTGTGATTCGTACGGCATGCAAGTCGGCTGGGATTTCCGGTTCGGGGAGCAAGCAGCGTTGCCTTGATCGCTTGAGGGCTTACCTTGACAAGCAGCAGTTGGCCCTGAGTGCCGAAGTTGCTCAGACAGTTGGAGATGACAGTACTCGTGAGCCGAGAGGGCAGTCCGTCACCAAGGCCCCAACAGAAGCCGAGAGGCAGTTGCATGAGCTGACCCATTGGCCATTCCGGCCATGGTGCGATCACTGCCTGGCCATGCGTGGAGTTGAGGACCGACATGAGTCACTGCCGGGGAGTGCCGACACTGAGGTTCCGAGGTTCCGATCATCAGCTTCGATTATGCCTTCACCAGTGTGTCAGGTGCTGAGGGCCAGGGCAATGGAGCCAAGTTGACCGTTCTGGTTGCACATGACACCAGCACCGGCAGTGTGCTAGGGCTTCCTGTGTCAAGCAAGGGGCGCGAGGATCTGAAGTTCAGCGCAATTGAGCTCACAAGGTTCGTGCAAGGTCTAGGCCACAACAGCATTTTCATGTGCTGTGACAATGAGCCTTCCACGTTGGCTCTTCAAAGTCTTGTGGTCAATGTTCGGACCAAGCTTGGGTTCAAGACCATGGTCCGTGATGCGCCGGTGCACTCGCGTGCATCGAAAGGCTATGTTGAGAAGGCCATAGACTTGGTGAGAGGTCTCTCCAATGTCTTGCTTGATCAGGTGAGAGTCAGGTACAACTTGAGTGCTGAAACCATCAGTGCAGATCACCCTTTGATGGCATGGAGTTATGTTCACGCAAGTTACATCTTGAACAGGTTCGGAGTGAAAGGCGGGGCAACTGCATTCGAGCGTGCCACTGGATATCGTTTTGCATCCAAGCTCGCCTGCTTCGGAGAACCGGTTTGGGGTTTTAGGCGTGGAAAATCCAAAGGGGATCGAAAATGGCATAGGGCAGTATTCTTGTCGAAAACTACAACAAACAATATGTATATCTTGATGAATGCCCAGGGCGTCTGGCTGACACGATCCATCACAGAGTGCGCAAGGTGATGCGTCAGGTGCCCGAGGTGATGAGGCACAGGCAGTGGCATCAGGTATGCCGAGTGTGGCGGGGATGGCGGGGATGCCTCCTCTTAGCAGCCAGCCACCGAACCCTGCACCATCCTCCAGAGCCACATTGCTTCTTGATCGCACCGACAGAGGGAGCGTGAGTGTCCCAGGCAGTGTGCCAGCGAGTGTGAGGCCTCCTCCTCCTGAGCATGCTGCGGTGAGTGAGTCACCAATGGAAGTCATGGGGACCGATCCACCCACGTCCTCTGAGTCATCCTCTTCTTCGTCCCCACAGGCCTTGGCCAGTCAACCTGTGTTTGACGACAGCACAATGCTTGCCGAGGTGGTAGAAAGTGTTCGAGCAAGTGCCAGCACAGGTCGACAGGCTGAGGCAGAGCCAGATGAATCCCATGCAGCAAAGTTTCAGCGGATCGCCCGAGTAGGCCGTGAGGACTTCCCAATCAATGATGAGGTTTTGGAGTCCGCTGCAGAATGGGAGGACGCAGCACAGTACGTGCAGCTTGGAGAAGAGGCCGATGCAGAGCTTGATCCAAGCCTTACCGCTGAAGAGGCAAAGCTTCTGGAAGATGAAGATCTTCTATGGTTCGAGGAGATCCCGAGCCTCAGTGATGAAGAGTTGTCAGCCTTGGATTACGTGGCAGACACTTTTGAGGTGAAAAGGCTCCTGGGAAAACAAGTCCTGGAGGAAGTCGGGGACAGCTTTGACCTCAGCGGTTACAAGGAACTCTCCACGAAATTCGTGAGAACGTGGAGGCAAAAGAAAAGGCATGGGCGCATGATGTTCTTCCGTAGATCTCGCTTGGTGGCAAGGGAATACAAGTGGATGGAGCGTGACCGGGAAGGTTTGTATGCCCCGGCGACATCGTCGCTCACCACGAAACTTCTGCCATGGCTGTTTTGCGAGATGAACAGGCGTCAGGAAGGTGCAGCCACAGACGATGATCCCATAGGCGTCGTAGCTCTCGACATAAAAGATGCTTTTCTTTGTGTCCCACAGGAGCGTCCCATGCTGGCCAAGATTCCGGGTTTTCCTAAAAGGATGCGGTTCCTCAAGATGCTGCCAGGGCAGAGGGACGGAACGGCCAGGTGGCATTCGTTCATCATGGACTACATTCGTGAGAGACATCAACTGTCTGTGTGTGCCGAGTGCCCTTCCTTGTACAAGCTGAAGGATGCGAAAGATCGCTCCACTCCGGGTGTGATCCACGTCGATGACCTCTGCCTTGTTGGGTATGTGAGGTGGATCTTGCAGCAACTGGTTCCCAGTCTTGAAAGTACTTTCGAGCTGTCGTATGAGGTTGCATGCAAGCCCGGGGATTCCTTTAAGTTTCTTAAAAAGGAGCACATTCTTCTTGAAGATGGTATCTTGATCAAGCCATTGTCTGATCATGCAGTGAACATGTGCAATCTTCTAGAAGTGCCACTGCACAGAAAGGTGCCGACGCCGTGCACAAAGGACATCTTGGTGCCCGACACCAGCAAACTGCTGGACAGCTCGAAGGCTGCGCGCTTCCGCAGCGCAATCGGGATTGCAATGTGTGTGTCACAGGATCGACCCGACGTTGCCTTCACAGTGAGGGTCCTGTCTCAGAAGCTTCGAGAGCCGACAGTGCAAACTTGGAGTTCGGGTCAGAGGTTGGCATCGTACTTAGCGTGCACCACAGGTTACGCAAGCAAGGTGCATGCCCGAGGTGACAAGCTTAGCATTCTTGAGCCTTCCGATCCTGGTGGAGTGCGTGATGGAGTTATGCTGGAGGTGTTCTGCGATGCAGACTGGAGCGGCAACAAGCAGAATCGTCGCTCGATGAGCAGCAGCTCATTCTTTCTGAACAGTTGCTGCATATACACTTCTTGCAAAAGCCAGCGTTGCGTGAGCCTCAGCAGCACCGAGAGCGAGTTCTACGCTCTGGTTTCCGCGTCGTGCGATGGGATCTACTTGAAAAGAGTTCTTGAATACCTGCTTGAACTACCGATGGACCTTTGGATGCGGACTGACAACCAGAGCTGTCGTCAGATCTCTTTGAAGCAGGGTGTATCAAAGATCAGGCATCTTGATGGAAGATTCCTCTGGGTGCAGGAAAAGACGGCAGATGGAACGCTGAAAGTTGGCTCAGTCGACGGGCGATGGAACCCGTCAGATCTTGGAACCAAGGTCCCGGCAACTGGGAGTCGCTTGAGAGCATTGCTTTGCATGCATGACTTCGTCGACTGTGCCGGTGATTGCATCCAGGAGGTAGGACGTGCCGACTACGATCAGTTGATCGAGTCGTTGCAACACTGCAAAGACACAGCCCGTGTCCGGCGACTGATCAACAAGTCGTTGAAAACCAATGGGTTGAGCAACAGCAATCTTGTCCTGATGATGGTGAGCTTGATTGCAGGTGCAGATGCAAGTGGCACAAGGCGTGATGTGAGTGTTCAGACAGAACCAGAGGCAAGGTGGATCAGCGTTTGGTTGACCGGTTTGGTCATCTTCGTGTCTCTGCTGGGTGTCATGCTGAGCCTTGAGCGGCTGCGGGCCGATCGCCGCAGGCACGATGCAAGCGCGTCTAGGACCACCAGTGCCGAGCTGAACACGGCTTTATTTTCCAACGAAACTTCCGTTAGCGCGCGTTTGGGAAACCCTAACTGCGCTGCAGAGGAACCCTGTGCAAAAACACTCTCTTTTTTCTCCTAGCGGACATGGGGGGTTAGTTCGGGCCCGATCTTCGGGCACTGACGAAACGATGCCACTGGCATCTCGATTCAAAACTCGACCGCTGGTCGATGGTAAGGCGAACGACTGGTTCACCCCCCCCTACCAGGGAAAAACTCGTACCACGGGAAGATAAGGTGAAACATTCTCTGACCTACTGGGTCACTGCAGCTACAAGTTGCTACTCTGTAGTCTGACGGCCTACGGCCTATGTACAAGAGCGCACTCTGTGCTTACGCCTCTCTGCGAGAGAGAACATAGGAGCGCTGCTCCTGGCAGCTCTGCTGCCGAAGCGGTGTCCCGGACCCCGCATACTATACAGGGTGTGGTGGGTGGGACAAAAACTTTTTGGATCACAGATCCAACTCCAAGCCGAAAGCTGCACGGCAAAGTATGTCTAGTGTCACTCACACACAAGTGAAAACACTGTTTTCCTTTTTCGACAAACTTTGTCTACACTTTCGGCGGAAAATAAAACCCATTCACGCACGCATGATGGATGCTTATTTTCCAACGAAACTTCCGTTAGCGCGCGTTTGGGAAACCCTAACTGCGCTGCAGAGGAACCCTGTGCAAAACACTCTCTTTTTTCTCCTAGCGGACATGGGGGGTCAGTTCGGGCCCGATCTTCGGGCACTGACGAAACGATGCCACTGGCATCTCGATTCAAAACTCGACCGCTGGTCGATGGTAAGGCGAACGACTGGTTCACCCCCCTTGAAGGCACTCGAAGCCTTACTCACCCCCCATCTAGTCCGCGCCGAGTGACAAAGCCAACGGCACTGCGTTGGGAGGCAGGTATTGGCGCGCTGCGCCTAGCCTCTCGGTCTCTTCCCACCAGTCTCTGCTGGGGCCATCAGCGATGTTGCTGTCTGTCGGAACTCGGAAGAAAGCAGCCCTGCACTGCAGAGACTCTTCAAAGTCCACCGCTTGCGAGACTATCGCTGCACCTTCTACCTTGCGTGTGAAGGCCTTGTGTAAGGAGGTACGCGCTGCGTCGTTGTCTATCCAGACGAACAGGTCACTGCCTGCTATATGCTTGGCCCACAGTTGAAGGCTAAGCAAATAGGGCAACAGCTCGCACTCGTAGACCAGCTGCTGCTTCTGTGCTCTGGCAGCCCACGCTGCTGATCTGAAGCCCCCAGGTGAAGGCGATGCCTTCTCCAATGAGCACTGCTCCGAGGCCACACTTGGGCACCAGTCGCGGGGTCTCCCACTCGCAGGCCCCGTCGATGTACAGATGCACCTTCCTGCGCGCATGAATGGACACTGTCCTGGGCGGACCGTGCACTACTCGTTGCAGCAGGAACGCCATGGCTTGGCACTGCTGCTCGGTGAGGGGGACTTGCTCTGGTCCGTCCCCAAGGACGTCGCCTACGCAGATCACTGCCATGCGAGTATTGCGACCCCAGGCTTGCTGCTCAGCGAAGATGAGCCTGCCCCGCAGGCTCTGCGCTTCCAAGGGGGACATGCTGCCCCGGGCGAGGGCCTCGCTGAGGACCAATCCCAGCTCTGCTGCACGGGTCGGCTTGTTACTCACGGAGATTTCACCAAGGTGCTGCTTGGACAAGTCGACTCGCACGCCTAGCACGTCAAAGACTTCGCTGAAGTCGGCGTTCTTCTTGGGCTCTGTGGCCACTTGCCAGCCCAGCTTGTTAAAAAGGTTGGACACTGCCAACGTGACGAGCTTCGAATGCGCGCTGCGCGTAAGAACGGTGAAGTCGTCGAAGAAGCTCGTCATGACCAAAGCAAGCTTTTCGCGGCCGATGGCCTTCAGCGCCTCGCTGCAGCGGAGGAAAGCGTGCACGGCAGCCACTGCGCCGAAAGGCATGCTGTGTAGGTGGGCGATTTTGACCATCCCACTCTGTGGGTCCACCATGACGATGCACGCGAATTTCTTGTGTGCGGCCTGCACTGCAAGCTGCTTGTAGGCACTCTTGAGGTCCCAGGTCCTGCCTACTATGCGGTGGGCCCGCTCTGCGGGCACACCCTGGCGCAGCCACTCGAGGCACACGGCAAGGAGCTCGTCGATGCTATCGACTTGGACCTTCTCTGTGGTCCCGCAGCAGCTGTTGATAAAGCTGCTCTTAAAATTATCAATGGGGCGCACCTTGCCCTTTTGCACGACACCGAAGCGAGACGATACTATCGTCTCGTGCAGACTTTCCGGAGAAAAATCCTCCAAAGAGAGCCAGCCCTGCTGGCCTTCTTCTATTGTGCTTTCCCAGACTCTGTCCGAAACCCCTTCCTGTGATGGGCGTAGAGCGCTGCGGACGCCGCGCATGCCTATGCTATGGGCGTTTTCCAGAATCGACTTCTCATCTAGAGAAGGAGGCAGAATCTGCACTGGCCACAACCCACTGGGTTGTATCCAGCCAAGCAGGGGAAAGCCTTCCCGCACCTGCTGTGCCAAGGTCTTGTCCGGGAAGTCGATTTCATTGAGAAGCTTTGCTAAAGCTACTGTCTGCTTGGGCTTGGTGACACTGTTCACCTGAGCGTCATTAGAGGAACGTACCCCGGTCTCGAGGGCTTGGCACTCTGTGCAAGTTCTCGATATATGCATCGATGCCAACGTGCGACGCTTGGCCAGTAGGACAGTGTCTTCGTGCACTTCGGCGGCGATGGCACGCTTGAGGGATAGAGGCACTGCCTCAATGTCTCTGGCTGGGTGATCTATGAGATGCGCTCTGCGCACCCAGTGTAGAGGCTGCAGCGGGATGGCGATGATGGCCTTCTGTGAGGCTTCGATCCACTGGATGAGCCTGGAGCCTTTTGGGAAGCAAGTCCACGACTGTGGTAGCTTCTGGGGGGTCTTCCAGCCTCGAAAGCACCGCGCTGCGGGGCCTTGCAGAGTGACTTTGTCACTGAAGTCTGGCTCGTAGCGCAGGCGACGCAGACGCTTGCGACTGAGAGGCGCTGCCTGGAGTGCTGCTGCGCATTGGTCTGCCGCGAGGGAGACCCAGACCGAGCTCAGCTGAGTGGTGTAGGCGCTTTCTAGGGAAGTGGACCACACTGTCGAACCATCCACTGAGGCTCTGCCCCAAGGCAGGTGTTTATGGCCTCCGTCGCAGTCCCTGCTTAGACCGGAGAACCAATCCAAATTGGAGAGGATTGCAGTACGCTTGCGGCGCATGCTTCCGAACATGCACGCGTCAAACTCCACTCTGTGAGCTGACTGCAAGGCCTCTCTGAGGCAGGGCATCCTCCAAAGAAGGCTACGGGCTGGATTTTCTATGGACCAGCAGACGCCGCGCTGCGACAGAGAGTGGCAACACTGTGCCATGAAAGCGACTAGGCTGTTCGCGCTGCGAACTCGTGCTGCGTCTGCTCCTCGGAGGCCTTTTAGGCCTGCCGGGCGCGACTCGCTGCGCAAAGGGCCCGGCGCTCCTGGCCTGGGAATTTCTCTAGCTCTGCTAAAGGTGTACTTTTGTACTTTGTATGACGCAAACTGTCCAGCAGTCTCGCGCTACGCTACAATGCACAGTGGCATCGGCTCAGAGAGAGAGCAAAAGCAGTGGATCCCACCGGGCTAGCCACATGTGGGCAAACACTGCAGGAGTGGTTTTAAAAACCAACGTCAGCATTAACAAAGGTGAGACAGAGCACAAGTCATCGATCTAACCAGACGTGCTGGACTACTCGATCGTATATACACACCGGTCTGACCAGACGAACTGGACTACTAGACCTTTGTACACATGGCATCGATCTAACCAGACGAACTGGACTACTCGATCGTATATACATCGCGGTCTAACCAGACGAACTGGACTACTAGACCTTTGTACACATGGCATTGGTCTGACCAGACGGACTGGACTACTCGACCGTATGTACATGTACAAAGAAGTCCCATGCTGTGAAAAAGACCGTTGATGAAGCAACACCATCGAAAACAAAGGCACCATACAGAAGATTGAAGAGCAGTGGATCGGAAGCGGATAGATAGCATGGCCCACCAGACTGTAATGGTCATGCAGTCAAAGAAACAGCTGTAGAGGCATCAGACCAAGGTACCATACGTGGCCAGTATGTATAGCCAGTGAAGAACAGTGGTCATAGTAGTAGTGGGATCATCCAGCTGTATGCGACGACATGCCACCGTGTAAAGCTCCTCATAAAAATCCTCCCGATGGGCACCCACTAGCAGTTGTTTGAAATAGCATATGGCACCAGACATGGAAAGCTGATAAACATTGCGGTGTAGCTGCTGAAGAAGCACCTGTTTCCACTCTGCATCTGTACATGGAGCCTGCTCAAAGTAGTAATAAATGCCCCATTCAACAACATCCACGGCTGAAAAACCCCATCGATGCAAAAATTGAGCAAGGTGGTGGGGAGTAAGAAGTTGAGATGCAGGCTGATCGGCCCAGGTATGTAGCATATCCATCGTGATACACGAGATAGGTTCGCTTCCTCGGTCTCGAAGACAATGTGGTACATCATCCAGAGAATCAGATGTTGCCGTAACCAGGACCAATAGCTGCGCTGGTGTGCCACGTGAGCCACTGCTGGATGCCATACGTGCCTGAAAACTGGATGTCGTGCATCGGTTCGGAAGACAGTGTGGTACATCGTCAAGTGAATTGTAGGTGCCTCTGGCATCCATCCACTGGGCACGCTGTCTGGACTGATAAATACCGAAAGGCACGTCATGTAGTAAATTGTAGGGCATACAGGCAGCAGCAAGGCTTGGAACTGCTGTTGAATCCGTCGGTGTTCCCACCGAAGTGTGAGCCGCCATGTAGAAAAGATAAGCATAATGACCTGCACACACGCTCAAAGCTGGCATATGCATGAAAAGCCGGAAAAGGGCGGCGAATCAAGAGGGCACTGATATAATGCAAAGCATGCAAGCATGTACAAAGCAGCACCCGAGTGGTTGTTTCACCGCATTTACAGTGAGCTGACATACCCCACGCACTCCAGGAAGATCAAGTAGACTTCAGTCATCAACACACGGAGTTGTGCATTTGTGGGGC